TGAGAAGAAGAGGAGCATATTGCAGGTATGTGTGTGGGGTGGGGTGGGGTGGGGTGGGGTGGGGTGGGGTGGGGGGGAGGGTCGGTGGGGGGGGTGGGGGAGAGGGGGGAAGGAGGGGAGAAGGAGGGGATGGGAGGCTGGACTGGGAGAGGTGTGTGTGTACGGGGGGTAGCAGTGGGCCGTGGGTGTTCTCCTGGAAACACATGCATACAGACGTACACTCACAGTTTAGCAATTGGGGGTTACCCCGAGTATGCCTTGTTGAGGCGCTTCTTCGCGTGTGTGTGTCTTGTTAATTATTAATTATTAAGGGCAACTCAGTTGTACAGTTGGAAGGGAAGAAAGGAGGAACATATGTGCGTGTGTGTGTTTTGTCGTACTGCAGGGCGTTGAGAAGGCGGTGGTAGCTCGCCATGAGGTAGGACACGCCCTGGTCGGGGCGGCGGTGGCCAAATTGCTCGATGGTTTCGGAGAGCCCGCCCGTCTGTCCATCGTACCCAGGACGGGGGGAGCGCTGGGCTTCACGTACACGCCTCCAAAGGTACGACGTTGTCGTACCTATCGCATATGGCAGATACCTAAAAATGGGAAGATTGTACACGGTACACCACGTGTTTGTGACGTGTACGGCGTCACGGAGCTGTGTTTCAGACTTGTGTTAGGGCTCCATTGTGTCGGGTGGAGGCTGTTAACACATACAGACATAACACATGTATGCGCGCTACTGAGGGCAGGAATCGCCCCTTGATTCCCCCACTCCTCCTCACCTCGTTCCCGCGCTCCAATCGCCATGGGCGCCCAGGGCAGTGCTGCTGCCTCGGTGCTCCCAAAGTCCGCCCGCAGCTGATGCTTCGCTTCATCCGCATCGCCACTTGCTTTTACCTCCCCCCCCCTCCCCCCCCCCCCTCCCCCCTCAATCGTGTGTGGTTCGTCTTTCCCCCTCCGCCCTCCCCGGCATCAGCTTCACTCGTTTGTGGTTCGTCTTTCCCATCCCCCCTCCCCCCACACGCATATCTCCCTCTCTCCCCACCCACCCCCACCCACCCTCGGTCCCGTCCAGTCTGAGGACCGCGCCCTGATGTTCGATTGCGAGATCCGAGCCCAGCTGGCAGTGCTGATGGGGGGGAGGGCGGCGGAGCACCTCTCGTGTCCCGCGGTGTCCACCGGAGCTGCAGACGACATCCGCCGCGCTACTGACTTGGCCACACGTGCCGTATCCGAGTACGGCATGAGCCGCCTGCTGGGCCCTGTGAACGTTGCCGTATTGGCCTCGGGCGGAGCGGACGGCGGCGAGGGCTTGGCTTTTCTCCGGGAGGGTGGTGGCGATGTGGGTCGGTTGGTGGAGAGGGAGGTACGGGAGCTTGTGGAGGGAGCGTTGACGGTTGCGATGGCGGTGGTGGCGGGGAATGTTGCCGTACACAGCGGCCTTAGTGAGGATTTGCAGCGCGAGGAGAGGGTGGAGGGGGAGGTGTTGGCGGGGTGGCTGCGGGGTGTCCGCGTGCCGGAATGTCTAGGAGAGTTTGTGTTGAATGGTCGGTTGCCCGATAGGGAGGCGCTGGGGCTGGGGCCGGGAGTGGGTGTGGGCTCGGGGGGAGGGATGGGGTTGAGGGTGGAGGGGGGCTTGTCGGTGTGAGGCTCGCGGCTGATTGGGATGGTGAGGGAGCTTGGGGGGGAGGCTGGGTAGGGGGAAGGCGAGTGAGGGGTGGAGGGGGGGTTGAAAGGTTGTTGTGAGCGTGAGGGGCCCCGAGAAGAGGGAATTGTTTGCATGATGGTGTATGTGTATGTTGGTGTACGAAAGAGAGAGGGAGGGAGAATGACGAGTGGCTTGTGTGTCTGTTTGTGTGTCTGTGTGGTTTTTGAAGGCGTGTACACCTCAGCGGCTGTGTGTATGATTACGTAGCGCATTCAAAGCAGCAGCAGCAGCTGCCGCTGCTATATCATGCATGTATGTATGTACGTGTATGTGTGTGTTTGCGGTCTAAAATCGAACGGAATGGGATCGCAACGCCGGAAAACTGAGAAGAGTGACATAGCGGGTGCCATGGAGGTGGTTTCAGAGCTCAGCTTAAGAAAAAGGACTTGCGTGTGTATGTGCGTGTGTGTGTAGGTTTGCGCATGTAGGGATCATAATTGCGGCGTTTTGTTGTTCATGTCGCTGTGTCGGCATGGCGCGAGTGTGTGCATGTGCGTTTGTATGCGTGTTTGTCGTGCATGGCATACCTGCTGAATATTCCTTTTAACTGAACTATGCTTTGTGTCGGTTTTGTGAAACACAAATGCGCATGTTAGTCGCTTACGCTGCCATATATTGCCGTACCTACAGTGTGCTGACGTGTCTGCACGTATATCGCAAATTATTTCTCCTTTCCATGTTTTGCCTGGATGTGTTTCGTGTCAGTAAGCTGTTTGATTGAGTGCGCAGTCCAGTGAAGGATGATATCGTCCGGTGGATGGCGGCTGAATCCCCCGGGGGGTGGAAGGTGGAAGGTGTATGGCTGCTGCTGCTACTACTGCTTCACCTGGCACCAGTAATGCGCAATTCTGAGCCGCAGCAAAACGCCATTTTGAAGACGGTGGGACGGCTTTGAGGAGGGTCAGAGACTCAGGGGGCAGACGAGCCGGCTGGCGAGGTGATATGTGCTTGTATGTATGTTTGTTTGTGCGATGGTGACTTATTTCTCATTGGTGGTGATGCTGCTGCCCCTGGTTGCTGTTGTTGATTTGGTTTCATAATTTCCGTTTCATAATCGTTGTCTTAGTCGTCCAACATCCAACAGTCTTCCAATCTGGTTTCCTGCCCACATGTGAGACTCCTCGTTTTCACCTGCTATGCATTCCCCGCGCACGTGTACACAGCTGGGTTGTACGGCACACCAGTCCGCCCGTACACTACGTCGAGAATTAGGAGCCTCTCTCCGCATATCTCCACAGACGGTTGAAAAGGGTGTGTGGGGGGGGGTGAGGAGGGAAAGTCGAGGAAGATGCATTCGGTGTCCAGTCTGCCGTCATCTGTCCATCTAGACAGAGTGTATGTTTGTCGCTTTGTGCTATTGCCACCACCAGTGCTGCTACCGCTACCGTGCTTAGCGTCAGGAGCCGTATGCATGCTATGTATCACACTCTGCAGCTGTCACAATTCCGGTGGCAAATCAAAGTATCTAGTGTAATCATTCTACACAGCTTGTCATTGTAGTTATACCCTATAGCCTTCATGGCTGTACGGATGCGTTCGAAGTGCCGGATAGGACACGGCAAGGCGGAACCGGGGCTGCCAAGGGCCTTACACTACTGCAGAGGAAAGATCGCAGGAGGCGGCCCCTGGTGGCCCATAGCTCAGGCGAAGGCCAACCTTCATACGTGCGGCATCGTCTTGAAGCCGGGTGTCTAGCTGCACAATTGCGTCCGTCATCCAGCGGCCAGCGGCCTTACTAGCCTCTTGGTGCCCCTCTGGCTGCTGCTGTGCTGTTTCCCCTGATGTGCATGGAGTGTGGTATGATTCCGCGCTTGATGCCCACGGCGCTGTACATGACAGCGAGCTTCTTCCGGAATGAGGTTAGAGCTGAGGCTGCTGATAGGTGACTGAACAGAGCCGGTCCTCTGCTGCAGCTGCTGGCCTTGCTGTGTCGCCTTTACCCTGCGCAGTAGCCGACCCACATCCTCCGAGGGGGAGCTGGGGACACGGGCGTAGCTACAAAGCGACAGCAGCCCCTCTGACAAGCCCACTGGGCAAGCCACGCTCCCTGCACGTGCAATCCCCACGGTCTGCCCTTTGCACTCCTGGTCCGTTTTGGATCTGGGCAGTGTAGTGTAATCGCCATGTGGGTGTCGCGCAGGGCGAGCAGATCGTACGTGACGGAGATGTGGGCTAGGTCGTTGAACCTCAGGAAGCCCGCGAACATGACCGATATGGCCGCTACCATCATCAGGTCTGGCAGTGATGCGTCCGGCCCAGCGAAGTGAGCAGCCAACATGCGGACATGCTCTAGTTACATGCTTTCCCTCTGCAACTTCTTCCCTTACAGTGTGCGCCTGCTCAGGTCCCGTACGAGTTTGCATGCTGGGTGCTCCGTGGGGGAGGGGCGGCCTGCGAAAAAAAAGTGGCAGGCAATAGCAGCAGTCGCCCTTGCGACACGACCCGGGCCTGCTTCATCCGCTTGCGCGGTTTGGTAGACGTGCATCAGGTACATAGCCACTATCTCTGGCCTGATATCGTAAACGTCGCTCGCCCGAATGTGTAGTAGCTCTGCCCAATCTAGGAACTCCTGCCATGGCTCCTTGTACTGCGCGACCGTGCTGCTAGCTCGCGCTTTGTGGGCCTCGCTTGCCAACGCCAGAGCTAGACCCTCGATCATTGGGTTGGCGTCCAAGGGCACCTGGCCAAGCAGTGTCTGCGCGCGTGCCTTAACTCCTGTGAAAGCCAGGGGGCATAAGGATCAGGGGCCACAGCGATCAGGCGCGGGGAAGGGGTTTAGAAGTCGGCAAGGAGTGCAAGCGACAGCCAACTTTTTGGGACCTCGTTTCCCGAAGACCCGGGCAGGAAGAGGTCATACGCCTTGCCCAGCTCTCTTAGCCCGTGGACGCAAGGTGCAAACCACTTCCCGTGCTGAGTCAGGTAGGACCATCAGTCGCGCGTCGGCCAGCGGGGAACAATCAGGCAGATGCGCGCCTTGCACACCGTGAGTAGCAAACCGAAATGCAGGTTCGCCCAGCAGTTCCGCTCCCAGTGGAACCTAAAGCATCCACACCCGCGGTATCTGGCGTGAAGAAATTGAAGATAGTATTGTGGCAGCTGGTTGACCACTATCGCCTTCCAGACCGCGGCACAAGCTCTCAAGCGCTCCCGCATCTTAGGCCTATCACTACTACCCGTGCTAGGAGGTGCGGCTTCACAAGGCGGGTCATCAGGCAAAGGTGTTGGGTTCTCACCTTCTGGGGCCACTCTTTCACTCCTCGATGGGGCGCCTGCGGCCTGATGGGGTTCCTGGGCTTGCCGGGCGCCCTTGCTCCGGGGCTGGGCGGGCTCTGCGGGGCCAGGTGCAGGACGCTTGGCGGTGTTCTTGGTCTCCACTTGTGTGTTGTCTGGTTGGGCAGGTGGGGGCTGCGTGGGTGCAGGGGCTCTAAAACCCGCGGCCACGAGCAATGCAGCCAGTATTGTGGCGGCCATATCCCCTGCATGGAAAGAGACAAAGAACGGGGGAGATGAATAGAGCCCGGAGCTCGTGGAGACTGAGGCTACAAAGCGGGGGGAAGCCACCGCTCCCGGGATGACAGCACCCAAAACAGGCTACGTGGAGGCGACCTGCGGCATAGGGGACAGGGCCACCAGAGCCCGCAACCTGTCCAGTGCCTCCGTGTCGCTGTTAAGTAAGTGCATGAAGAAATTCTCGGAAGGAAGGACAGGTCCGGTCCGAAGCCGGCCACCTGCGCCTGGAAGCCGTCATGGTCGACAGGACCGCGCTAACATGGCAATGAGGCCCCAAGGCCGATAGCAGAAAGCAGCTCTCATGCGGATGGCAGGGCGTTGATGTCTTTGACCACGTCCGAAGAGCGGCCTGGTCGACGTTCCGGCTCAAAAGCGCCTCGGCGGCTTCTAGATCGCGTTGAGTGGCTGGCGGCAATGAACCCAATTCCCCGTCGCCGGCTGCTTCGATGGCTCCTGCGTTGACCATGTTGCCTCCCGTTGTCTTTGCCTTCTTACCCGTCATTCTTTGTTTATGCTGGGACTGCTCCTGGTTTTTAGGGAGGCGGTCGGCGGCGGTGTCTAATTGTTATGGTAGGGCGTCGATGAGTATTGAGAGTAGTCGGTAAGGTCTTGGAATTTGAAGTGAGAGCAGCTGGAAGCTCCAATAGTGTAGGCAGAATGCCGGATATGTGGAGCTGTTAGCTGTCAGCTAATAGCTGAGGTGACAAATTCAAAATTTGGCAAGCCGTACGACTGCCGTACACAGCTTAGAGGCTATACTCGCTTCGCGCATACCGCATTGTAACTATATAATGCAGGCATATGCGATTCTTGATGTTGTTACAAGAACAATATGCGATTCTGACATCTTACGTAGATGCAGCACGATCAGGTAAAACATCTGTTTGGTTCCATGTCTTATTTCCAAGGTAGTACGCACATAGTACGATAAGCCTGCCTTTCACCGAGCTAATTCCGCTTCTATTACAAACTGTCATTAGGTCGCAGTTGCAACGAAAGCAACAACAGCAGCAACGACAACAGCTAGGATTCAACCAGTTACGCGTTGGTGGCGCTTTTACTTCAATTTCTCGTCCGCACATCCGGCATTAGGCCACAATCCAGACATCTTTTAAATCAACAGGAAATCTCTATATTTCATACCGGCTATACGCATCTATCTATCTGTCTGCCTGACGCGCCGTCTACAAAACAGCAAACCCTCTCCACTTCAGGCGGGGTGAAGGTGTCCTCCCCCTCTTCCTCTTCCTCCACATGTGTAAGATGTGTACGCCAAGTACGGAGAAATGTCAACGGTAGGTACATAATCCCCCCGCAGCCTTACACAATATCGTCTGCAACTGATAGAACCGATCAATGAAAGGGACCTGATGTACGCGTACAACACCTCCACCGCAACGAGAAAACATCAGCAATGTGTCTGCGTTGCTACGCTGACTAAAATAGCTACTTGGAAGCGCATATTACGTAACGAGACGCGAATGCGAACGAGTCAATTCAACAACAACACACCCGACGCTCCTCCCCATAAAAGGCATATGTAACAAACCACATCATGAACAAGAGCAGTATACAGACCAACTGTCTTTGCTGACCGCGGGAACGGAATAACAAGCAAATCACAATCGTATTTCCAACCGACAACCAACAGTGGCGAGACAGGTGCAACTCATTTTTTTCAGCTGCGCCTGGGGATGTGCGCGTGTCCATTCAGGAAGTCGTCGCCCAATCCTCGACGACAACTATCTTTAGACTAAACAAACAGCGACTGACCACCCTCCAGCGCACTCCTAGTCGTCCCTCCCGTCATCCCCCCGGGGTTTTAGAGAATTACCAGAACCACCACTCCACAACTGTCCCTCCTCAACTCCACGACTATGGTCCTGTAGGACTCACCATCGCGCCATCCTCCACTCTGATCAAACGAGTTGGGCTTTGTGGGGACTTGTTTCCAGATTCCAATCCCAGAAAAAAATCCGGCAATCCACACACGCATATTTCGTACACTAAAAAATGTATACCTGTGTGAAATTCCACGCCCAGCGCCAACCACCTCGACCCTATCTGAATACACGGGACACGACGACTACCCACAACAGCACATCCGGCTCGCGACAGTCCCAACTTCATTTTCGCAACTATCTACGAGAAGGGGGAAGATGCTCGGGAGATCATCACCCTGGTTCGCGGATCGATGACGGCCACCATAGACCGCAGGCCCCGGGCGCCCATTGCCCCTACAGCGCCCGAGCTTGTGCCGGACCTATCTATCGGACCTATCTATCCACCTGCGCGTCTAGCTGCCCGACTGCCGGCCTTGCTGCCCGGCTGACCAACTACCCTACTAATATCCCCTCTTCTTTAACCCACCAACCCAACAATCTACAACCTGCCGTTCCATAGTGTGACCGCCGCAATACTTATGTAGCCAGGGCTCTACGCCGTCTTATATAAAAAGTACACAGCCATATGAGACCAGGGTGTTCACCGTTCGGGATACGGGGACGGCCTTCTCCGACCCACTCATCCACCGACACGGACGTCGCAAACCCGGTAGGTGGTGTACAGCCCCCCATGGAGGAGGACGTGTGTGTGTGTGTGTCAACAACTTCATACCGGCCTTCCGTCATCATCTCCCCCCCAACACACACAAACAAACAAATATGGCAGCGAAACCAACGAGCATCAGCAGCAAGCAGAAGAGCACCGGAGATATTTCATTACCAGACCTCCAGAGGTCGATCCGGCCAGCCGTACTCGCTGCCGTACTCGTTATACAACCTCTGGAATGCCGCCACCACCTTCTCAAGCGTCTCGTCCACCAGTTGCTCGAAGCGTTCGTCATGTGGGTCGGTGTACGGCACGCGGACAGCGCGCCCGATGCACATGAACAGCGGTTGGGGTCGCGGTACGGGCAGCCCCCACAGTCCTGAGATGTGGGGAAGTGGGGAAGGCGGGAACTCCACACTCAGGCGCTGGCGCGGACGCATCAAGGCCGACCATTCTCAGCTGCGCTTCCTCCCCTCCGACATAAACGCCCTCTATCTCAAACCCGTACATCTGTACAAAACACACAGACCCCACCGGCTCAACTGCCTCTCCTCCCCTGGCCCCCCCCCTCACTCACCCATAATAGTCCCAAGCGCCACTCGCAACTTTCGAGAAAGAGGCTGCAGAGCCGCAGGCCCGAAGGAAAGCAGCTGCAGTGCGCCATGGGCGGGGTTCAGGCCAATATGATTTGGCGATCAAGTACATGCCTTTGGATTGGGATGCTGATGGCAGAGCGGAATGTGGGATCCCGCTAGCCGCAGGGCCCGCAGCCTGGATCGGAATAAGCGACCTGCTGTCCCTCAGAGGCCTCTGGTGAACAACAAAATCCACCCGCCGATCCGATTTAAACAGCCCACCGTCGTTCATGCACTGCGTCCACACACACGTCAAAGGGGATCACAGCTCCCGGCCTGGATGGCCATCTCACGAGCTCTCAGCTCAGGGCCATGAGGACCTTCGCTGGAAGCGGAAGGAGCTGTAGTACGGAGAAGCCGCCACCACCACAAAGGGCCCCTGCCGCAGGTGGACCTGAGGACTATACGCTTAACCCATTCCCCAACCACACACACACACACACACACACACACACACACACACACACACACACACACACACACACAAAACGGGCACAGAACGCAAAACGGGCACACATACACACACTTCTCATCCACAGCAAACCTTCGCTCGCGAGGCGCATTCCCGCCTCACGTGAGCACCCACCTGGCTGTTTCCAAAGTGGTACACGGGTACGATGGGCACGCCTGTCTCCAGCGCCAGCCTGTTCAGGAAAATAATGACGACACATCATGCAAGAAGTGTATCAGCACACGCGCGTTCAGATACGCGTCGCGTTCACGCTGTAAGCAGCGGCTCATGGGGTGATCACGCACAGGACCCAGAATCCAGGATCTACGATTCAGAATCCAGGATCTACGATTCAGAATCCAGAATCCAGCTTGTGTAGCACCGCAAACGATCGCAGGCGCTTATGCGTAGAGTCCGCCTTCCATCGGATGCTCCGACGTACCCATGTGGCGACTCTTCCACCTCTCTCCAGAAGGCTACCTCACCTTACCTCACACCACCTCAACTTACCTCACAAACCCACGGCGGCCCAGCATCTTGATGCGCTCCCGCTCCGAGCCACCCACCTCCGCCTGGGCGAACATCTCCGCTATTCCCCCGGGCAACACCGCCACAGACCTACACGCGATTGTCCATTATCAGGAGGCGGCGCACGAAGACTAACGCAACCCCCAAGTATTTAACTCCCTTAAGTGCAAACGTACGGCACTGAGATGTCTCCGCCCCTAGTGCCGTGGTTCCAGTGCCAAGATGCATCAATCAATACTCAGAAGTATTGAATATATATACATATCATGAAAGCGATTTATTGCACAGCGGCATACTCCCGCAACTCGTCATGCCCCGAGCGCCGATCAACCGTCATCATGAGCACAACACCACCAGGTACGACTGACCCGCGGGTCTTCAGCAGGTGCATGGCAGTATCCCGGTGTGCGGGTGCTGCGCCCATCCAGGACTTGATGTGGCGCCAGAGGGGCACGTAGAAGACGCAGGACGCAGCCAGACAGTACATGGGGTGGCCAGGCCACAGCAAGCTGCCCAGGCTGCCCGCTAGCATCTGCAGAGGGGGCCGGTAATGAGTTGTGTGGGTGGTTGGGTGGTTGGGTGGGGGAAAGTCATTTGTTGCCCGGTAGCAGGGGTTGGGGTGAAGGGCCTTCACTGAAGGCTGCATGTTGCATGGCCTCTTTTCATGTAATGATCCCTAAACTCAAAGCCCGGACGCAGCCCTGCCATGCCATGCAGCTCAGACAGTTGTATTGTGTGCGAATATTTACATGCATACATACAGCATCCAAAGCCCAGTAGCAGTAGCAGTAACAGTAGCAGCAGCCCCAGGCAATAACAGCAGTAACAGAGCAGCAGCACTAGCAACAGTCGCAGCATTGACATAGCAGCAGTAGCAGTAGCAGCAGTAACATAGCAGCAGCAGCTGCAGCAGCACTAACCGCCCACCTGGGACAGCGGGAATGCCCCATGCGGGCTCATCACGAAGATGTGCGGACGACTCAAATCGGGTAACTCCTCGTACAGAAAGGAATAATTGAAGTAGGCCCGCCACAGCCTATCAGCAAGGCAGGGAGGGAGCGGATGAAGAGCCAGAGTGTGCGTATGTGCGTGCGTGCGTGAGTGTGTGTGAGTGAGTGTGAGTGTGAGTGTGTGTGAGTGAGTGTGAGTGTGAGTGTGTGTGAGTGTGAGTGTGTGTGTGTGAGTGTGTGTGAGGGCGATCCGGTATCTGATGTGGACGCGTCTTGGAAGAAACGGGGAACGAGAGGGGGGAGATTGGAGGCGAACAGTACTTTACAACCCTAAGGACTTCATCATTCACGCGGTATTGCTGGATCAGGCTCTGGAAGTCAGTATAGTTTTTGAATTTGTAGTGGACTTTGAAGGGCAAAGCAAAAATGTCTCTAGCTGATTGCTAGGTTCCAGATTGCTTTTATTTCATTTTTGCTTGTAATTCAAATAAGCATAGTCCTAAAACATTTCCAATTATTTATATTTACACTTGGAACTCCTCTTGCTCCAGAAACAATAGCGGCATATCGCGTTACGTCCGTGCATAACTTCCATACCTAACTTAGCATCGGTTGATCCCCCTATAGTTTTTTTGCTATTTCTTCCACGCCTATTTCATGAATTCCTGACCATTCACTTTCACTTTTGTTCCCATCCTATGTACCATGAAGTACTTCGTCTCCTACATTTATAGCCGCCACCTAACTTCTAGCAATTTCAGGTCTCCTTTGTCCTGATTGCAACCCCCGTCCAGTGATTAGTGTTTAAGTCTTATTAAACTGGTTTCCTAGTCGACTGTATATAAATGTATACAATTAATTGACTGCATATGAATGTATAAAAACAACTGCTAACTATTTATCCTGGCGAAGGCAGAGGTTTCAGGACTGGGGACATCTTCCTTGGCCCGTGCCATGTTGAAGCTCGGGATATGGCAGCCACTACCCTTTGAACAACAGCCCACAACAGCCAACAACAGCCCACAACTGGGGAATAAAAGTAAACAAGATATTAAAACTCTGACAGATTTAGCGGTCCAGAAAACCGAAGATGTGAACTTCCCTTACTTGAGTAGGGATGAGTTCATGAACGCATCCCATTGCTGCCGCGCCGGCATTAGCAGCGTACCCACAAGCACAGCCAGTACGACAGCCGCCGTGACCGATCCCCAGAGAGCTGCTACTGCCAACATGAGCAGTAGGTACGGCCAGCCGACGTACAGACCCAGCGTCACCTGGGCCAACACCTGGTACGGCAGAGGCAACTTGAAGGACGGACTGCGGCCGTCGGTATAGGCGCGCACGTATGGCGGAGGCCGGGGGACCGGCGGCTCTTGCGGCTGTAGCACCACCAATGGCGGAGGGCTGCTACTGCTACTGTTCGCAAGGCTGTAGCTTCCGTTGGTACCGGAAGCGATGATGGCGTCACCGCAGCTGCTACATGCGCATGCAGCCAACGTCCTCACACTTCTCTTCGTGGCGTTAGCAGCTGAAGCAGCAGCAGTTTTGCAGGCACTGCCGTCAGTTCCGCTGTCGCTATCACTGCAAATGCCACCGCCATCGCTGCGGCTGCTGCTAAAAACGCTGTCGCTGCTGTCATGACGACTCGTAGCATCGCTGAAGCACCCGCTGGCGCAGCTACAGCCACCACTCGACCCATCGCAGGAGTAATGTCTACTGCTACATCCGCTGCTGATGCTGCCGCCGCTGCTGATGCTGTCCATGGGCGGATAGAACCTCCCCTCCAGGGCCACCGTTCCCCTGCGCAGCGGGCTAACGTCTTCAGCCGGTACTGCCGCTGCAGCCGCGCCCGCCAGCTCTAGCTCCCACTCCCCCATCTTTGCCGCCTCAGCCGCAGCCACCAAAGCCTCCGCATTTCCAGCCGCCTGAACCTTACCACCAATTGCCGCAACAGAGGACGTGGAAGGGGCAGCCGTTGGGCCATGGCAGTTGACCCCATTGTCTGCAGTGCGCCGCAGTACGGCAGTACGGCCAAGTAGCAGCGGCGGCAGGCCGACAGCCGTTGCAACGTCAGCGCAATCCGTGCCGCCCACCGCCAACCCGGAATCCGCGGCCGTCGGTGTTGCCGGGCACAACGGCGGTGAACTTCCCCCCGCTACCAGCGAATTGTCTGAGTTCCGCAAGCCCCTCGCCGCCATCGCCCCTGCTGCAGACGGCACCGGTGTAGACGTCGATCCAGAGTGGGAATATGAATGTGTCGGATGCGCGTGTGACGGCGGCGGCGGCGGCGGCGGCGGACCCCGCCTGCGGCGAAACGGCGGCGAGTACGACCGTGTGTACTGGCTGAGGACATGCAGGTACGCCTCCGCGGCGGCGGCAAGTGCTGCGACGGGAAGCGACCTGTACGAACGCAACTGGCGGCTGCTGACGGCGGGAACCGTGGCTGGCATGCCACCACTGTTGCTACTGCCGCCCCCACTGCTGCAACCGCTGTTGTTATTGCTGCCATCAGCAGCAGACTTTGGCCGGTACCGATGATGATGGTGGTGTAGATGGGGCTGTGAGGCCATGAAGCCCGCCGACGGCGGCGATGGCTGCGGCGGAGGTACGGCAGTGGCCGCGTGCCGCTGGCGGCCCATCGGATAGAGAAACGTGCGCCGACTCGCGCGCCCGTGCAATCCCGAGCTTCCGGACACCAGCGGAGGGGGATCACCAGCGGGGCCGGCGGCAGCGGTGGCGGCATGAGCAGCCGGGCGGTGCGATGATGTCCTGTGCAGGGTAGCACGGGGATCGGGAATGACTGCCCCACCGGCTGCTCCTGCTTCGCTGCTCCTGCGTCGCTGGAGCGAGGAAGGCAACGACGGTGATGACGATTGCGGTGCTGCCGTAAACGGTGGCGATTGCCCGTGGCGTGGCGGCGCAGCAGCATCGGCGGCGGCGGCGGCCGCCGCCTCAATTCGTGTAAATTTTGTCTCGGACGTCATGCAGCCCAGGCGCCCCACGCCTTGGCGACAATTTTTATAAGACGATGGCGAGGACGGCGGCGGCGATGGAAGAGGTGTTGCGTTTATGACTTATAACCCTATGGGACACAGTACATACATGCATGCATACCGACATGCATACAAACATGCATACAAACATGCATACAAACATGCATACAAACGTCCTAAACCTCAACCATGAACCCTAAGTATCCCCTGTGCGTCCGTCTGGGTGTGATTGTCAGTGAGATCGCATCTTCACGATTTGTGCGACATTTCGGCGGGAAAGGGACGTTTTATTTAACGAACGTCGGGTTTTAAACCAAGCAGGTCAAACCTCGGGGGGCCTCTCCGAGGTTTCCGCGGTCGGCTTGTGGACTGACGCTACACATCATACACATCAAGGACGATTCGGTTGCTTTACAAAGGGAAAGGAATGTCTGTGGCCGATTAACAGCAGATAAGGCAGAGAGAGTCTAGCTCATTTGCAAACGCATGATCCCAACTCCATTGCTTTGCGCATCAGCTAGATGCGCCTCGAAATCGCACCTCCGAGCGTCCATGGATGAGGCAAGCAGCATAGTCATGGCCCTACCCTCGCCGTTTCGCAACACTGGGCGCGGCCAAACAACATACCTGATGAGTGCGCCTTCCGGTTTCTATATGAGAGGTATGACCTTTCGGACTTTATGCGTTTGCCCCTGACAGGACGCAGGAAGGCGGAGTAAAGCACAGTGACCACTGCGTCCGGCCTTGGCGGTCAGGGAAATCTGGAAACGTGTCCAGGGGGCCCTGCTAATGCTGCACAGCTGCCTTCGCCTTTTGATCTGCTGGGAGCTGGTTTAGTTTAGAGCCCTCGCTCACTACTCGCGCGCTTACTCGCGAAGCGCAGGTTTAATGTGCGGCGCGACGGGTGACATTCCGTGCAGCAGCGTGAAGATCGATGCAAGATTACATATACTTCTCACAACTAAAATATGCGCCATGAACGAAACACTGGTTCGGGAGCTATTAATCCTACCTGACCGCGATGATGAAGCGAAGAAGCGACACCTCAAGTACGGACTGCGCTTGAGTATTTGTTAGGAGTGTTGTGGTCTTGGGATAGCCAAGGTTAGATGCAAATTGGCAGGGCAAATGTTGTGCCGCTGCTTGCGACGACGTGGGCTGGTCTGGACGGTTCGTCTTTTTGTCCGAGGGGTCCTGCGAACGATCGCCTTGCCTTGGCGGGCTGATCAACTCCAGGCTCCAGACGTTAGGAATCCGATTCGCGGAGGAGCTTTAGGTTTATCTCAGGAGGAATTTGATTCAAGATTGCGAATTACATTTCGAAGCCAAAGTGCTGCTTTTAGAGGCAAAGAGATCCTTTCATCCTGAGACGGAACGCCGCCCTGGCGGATGAGTGGTGCATCCAGAAACATTGCCAGTACTCGGGTAGGTCCTGGTCCGTGGAAGGTTGCAAGGTGATGCAATTTCTTGGCTGGTACAACACGGAATAATGTCGCGGTGCGCCGCGCGCGCCGTTCATCGGTCAGCGTTTGAAAGCTGAGGAGCAGGCTTTTAAGCCTATCACCGCGGCTCCTCAAATACAAAGTTGTAAATGCGGTCATTTGTATGTTTTATTGCGTGCTCGAATGTTTAGGAACTACAGGAAACCGGCTGCAACAGGAAATGGCCAGTAGCTTCAAAACGATGAGGGTGCTTACTTTAGGTGCTTCCATTATCAATGAGCATAGCAACGAGTCGTAAAGTGTTGCCCGGGCAGGTAAGTGGTTTTGTGCTGGCTCCGGAGCTCCGTTCGTTGCCACATACGCAAGCGTTTTAGCCCCACGACAGAAAGCTGTATGCTGTCAAAATCCCTTAATACTATGTGGCTGTAATATTGACTGCTATAATATAAATTGATTTTATAACAAAGCTACTTGTATGCGGATGTAACCGCTGTCTACACCAGCGCAAGCTTTAACTATACGCAGCACTGAGGAAAATATACAAACATGTTTGCTCTAACCAGGAAGAGCTATTTCATATAACACCAGCGAAGCAACGGCCATTCTACAGTACCTGGGAAAGTGATTGGCAAAATCTACATCGCTTCGGCTTAAATATCACTTTAAGTAGATTTCCGCCCTTGCTGGTCTGGCATCGTTCGTGGAAAGTAGGCGCATCAACGTGAGCGACTTAGGTAAGTAGTATTCGCGAGCCAAATGGAAGAGTTTAAAACGACTTATGCAATGGTAGGCTGATAACCTGGTGTGAAGATAAATTACGCCAAGGACAGAAGTTTGCGGGCATGCGCCGGCCACATGTCTGAGATTTCCCTCCTCTTCTTGCGTCGATGTGCACATTGCCTAAAATAATGTAACTCACTCATGTTTTTGTGGCTTAACTGGGGGCACTGCCGGTCTTCACATCTCAGGCCACTGTTACTTGTCACAAAGAGTCGCAACGGCTGACGACGCGTAGCGGGTAACGTTGTTCAAACGCAAGCCCCACCCCGCGGGATGTTACCTTAGCCCCTTGGCAGCTGGCTTGTCCCTCACAGCCCCGAGTGACACCCCAATCCACCATGGCCGCACCAAATGGCTACCTTCCACCTCCAAACCAAAGGAATAGCCAAAAACCAATCAATTTTCTTTTGTGACATCCCTACCCCCACCGTGCCTTGAAACCCTCGGCCCCCGTCTCCCCCCCCTACTTGCCGGCAACGTGCTCGGCTTCCCCGCGCCCAGGACAGGCAATTACGGAGCGGCGGCAATTGCAGCAGCTGCCGACCGCGCCACACCTTCGCCTCCCTCTGCATTGCCTTTACACCACCATACGTATATCAGCGGTTTCCAGGGAGAACAAGCACAATCAGTGACGCACACCTTGTAAGGCCCTTCTTGCAATATGGCACCCGAGAATATCCCCAGAGATCCCGTGTACAACACGTACATAACCCGCCACCATGCGGAGGTACGGCACCCCTCCCCGCAACGAACCTCCTCCGCATTCAGGCCAAACTCGGGCCTTACGTACACTGACCAACAGTAAGTGTGCGCGTACAGCCGGGCGGTTGAGACATGGGGCGGCAGTTGGCAGTTGGCAGTTAGCATGTGTATGGGCAGGCCGGGGTGTGGCGGCTGGGGAAGGGGCGGGGCCGCCCTACAGCTCTTCTGCAGATTGGGGGTTGAGGGTGCGGGTGCTGAGGGCCCGTGGGGCTTGGTTAAGGATAAGAGGTGTGTGTGTGAGGGGGGGGCTGCGCGATCAGGCCGATGGGCTGCATGGGTCAGTGGGTGGGTCAGATTTGGTGGGGTTGTATAATCAGCCCTCCGCCCACTTTCCCTTCCCCTGGAGAGGTGTATCAGGGACACGGAAGGGAGGTAGCCAAACACCCCGACTCCTCAGGAAAGGGGAGGATGCAGGAGCCATGGACCTCCCAAATCAGCTGCTTACTTTCGTTCTGCATGTGCTTGCGCGATGTGGTTGCGCCTGGCAACAGCTAAATAGAAAGGGCTTAATATTTACGCTTGCAAGATCAGCTTGTTTTTTCGTTTAAAAGGTTTTTCAATATGTACCATTATCCAAGAAGTATACCGCCCGCACCTCCGCCCTTCCTCACCTTTCCCTCCCCATGATCCTTCACCCACCTTTCTGTCCACCCCCCCGCCCGTTAACAACAACAACAACAACAACAACCACAACTACAACCACAACAGACTGCAAGGCAGTCGCTCCGTGTACCAGCACTTCCACCGGCCATTCAACGACCACTCCAGGTACCTGGCGGTCGCCTCCAGGGCAGATCGTGCCGTGTATCGGGACCTGCCACGTGTCCCCCCTCCCCCCTGGGACGGCTCCAGGGGGGAGGAGGAGATGCTGCAGCAGTGGCTACCGCCAGGGGAGCGAGGAGGAGGTGCGTGTAACGGATGTGTGAGGGGGAGGGGGAGGGGCTTGCAGGGGAGTTCAGATGTCTTCGTGTTGCGGGAACGGTTGGCGACTGCGGGGCTCCGTTTACTGTGTTTGTCTTCCCCCTCCAGTCCAGGCCCGGCAGCATCCCCGCTTTTCCCTCTTACTCTCACCCCGTCCGTACTCCCGTCTTGCATCCCGGCCACCTCGGCCGCCTCGGCCACGTCGGCCCGCTGTCCCCTGCCCCACCCCCTCCAGCTGCCCCGCCGCCCCGCCGCCCCGCCTCCGCACCCCCGGGCACTTACCATGCTGGCAGCAGCAGCACCACCACCACGGCCTACCGCTCCCAGCAGCAAACCGCGAGCCCCACCCTCCGACTGGACCTCCGGGGGATTACACTGGCTGATAACATGGTCACCTCGACGGGTGGGTACGATGTATATATGTAGGGAGGGGGGAAGAGGAGAGGGGAGAGGGGGAAGAGGAGCGGGGAGAGGGGGAAGAGGAGAGGGGAGAGGGGGAAGAGGAGCGGGGAGAGGGGGAAGAGGAGCGGGGAGAGGGGGAGGGGGCAGGCGGGTCCACAGCAGGGCGATGCGAGAGTGCGATGTGATGTGCGCACATTTGTATGTATGTCTGCCCGTCCCGCTCCCCCAGGTCGGCCCAGCTACACGATGGCGGCTCTGGTGGAGGCGGATCTGGAATCCGGGGTTCCCCTGGAGGATCTGGAGAGACCGGCGACGGAGCGGAAAGGCAGGGCTGCTGTCGTACAGACATACCCGGTACGGCAAAGAGGTGTATGGTATGGTGTGGTATATGTGAAATGCCACCATTCGCCTTTGTTTGGGGCTGGGGATGCTTCTAGTTGCCTCATCGCCCCATTACCGCAGTCATTTCCCCCGTTAGCGGGATTCATGTTGGCTTTGGAGGTGGTGGGGGGTTATCGTTGGTGTCGCCTTGGCTGCTGTGAATACCCGGAGGCGACAACAAAGCTTTGCTGGCTGGGGTGATACACACGCACACGCACACGCACACGCACGCACACTATTTACCCTGAATTTCAAAACATACATATGATAGCAAAACATCTTCTATTATTCGTCATGGTGACGCGGAAGTTACGCGTACACACATTCGGAAAACGTCGTCGTATAGCCCCCAAGGCCCCTCTCCACAAACCCAGTAAAGCCCTGGCTGTGTGCTGATTGGCTTTCTTACGAAGGTGGCGCCCTCGATGGTCGGGTACGGCAGCGGTGGTGTACGGCCGTTCCATCAGGACTACCGCCACTACAAGTACTTTGGCTTTGCCGGCAAGGGCGCGAAAACAAGCTGGGCGCATAATCCCAAGTACAGCAAGTAGGTTGGGTGGTGAGGCAGGGAGGTCGGGAGGGAAGCAGGGGCCGATTCCGCTGTGGACGCTGATACTGAGGTGATTTACGGTTCATCAGCATTCTAAAATGCTGATGGTGATGTTTTGGATGCGAATGGAAGCGGGAAACGACATCCCTCTCCTTATTCTTGTACAATTTTAAAAGTTTCGTTGGAAGGATATGAAAACGCGTGAAGGAAATCACGTTTCTGTCAACTGTCTTGAAAAGGGTTGAAATTTGGATCTTGACATTTGAAATTGCGTTCAAATACGAATCTGCAGGCTGTACGCGGACCTCTTGACTTCTGGCGGCCGCGATTCCACGGCTCCGGGTATGGCCCAGAACGGCGCTCCGACAGACCCCCTTCAGGAGGAGTTGGGTGGCCCTCGGAGGCCGCTAACCGCCACAGAGCGCAAGCTGGTCAACGAGTTCAAGTGAGCATCTGCCATTGCGTTGGGAGCTCCTTTATTTCCCCCCTCCATTAAAACCTCTAAACGCTTTCTTACCATTACCCTTTTTTACCTTTTTCATCGGTGGTGGTTTCAGGTGGCATAATTACGAAGCGGAGGGAATTCCCTCCGACCCCAATGTTACTCGCCTGCTGGCTCACGTGGCGGCGGGGGTTCAACCCACACCCCGCACCCTCCGGCACCTGAAACTGCACCCGCAAAAGCAGCAGCAGCAGCAGCAACTACAGAGGCGGCGGCGGGAGGCGGCTACAGCAGAGCGGCAACGGCAGCAGCTGAACCGGATAGACCCGGAGATCATAGGTGCGGGGGACGGGGGATAACGTTTAGGGTTTTAGGGGTTAGGGTTTACTGCAAGTACTAAAAAGACGAGTGGGGCTTGGAGTGAACGAGGGGTGTGCGCGTGTGACTACCTCACAACTCATCGCTTCTGGCCCTCCCTCCCTCTGTCCGCCTCTGTCGGCTCCTATTGATTTAATTTTTGTCGTGCCTGCGCGGCTATCGGTCGGTATCTGTTGCCGTACCGCTGCCGTACGGTGTGCCCTTGCAGAGCCGTATCGTGCCCTGGTGGACCTTGAGCGACGCCAGGCGCTGCCCGCCGACGCCAACAGTACGGCAGGAAAAAGTTACGGCACCCGTGTGATGACGTACCGTCAGATGGCCTCGCCGTACGCTGCGGAGATCAACCGCTCTCCCAACCACGGGTCCCAATCCCCTTGGCACCAGCGCTACGCGCATTACAAATACTCGGGCTTTGCGGGGAAGGGGGCGAGCTCTAGTTGGGCGCGTAATCCGAAATACGCATACATGTACGACTGAGCTCGTAATGCAAAACCACGAAACGTTTGATATATGCGTTCATATGCATGTAACTGTATGAATATATGGACATAGTTGTACAATCTACACATGGCGTGGGCTGTACGGTGGGGGCGTGCATGTTGAACTGTGTCGTACAGTGCCGTACAAGGCCCTCCTGAACAAGCAGAGGGCAGGGGGACGTGTGCCGCTATAGCTCTGGCCTATAGGGCGACGGGCTGCTGGTGGTAGTGGTGGCAGTGGTGGGGGAGTGGATTGCAGTGCGCTGGTGCTGCTGTTCTCCCGGGCCTTGTCCTGAACCTTGACTGTGAAGTCAGCAGGTTTTGCCGTACATTAGCAGGCGTTGGCCGTTGTGCTGTTGGGTGAGTTTTGCGGAACGAAGGAAAAAGGACAAGGTCGGTCCAGGGTTGGTCGCTTCCTCGAAGTCAATGAAAAGAGTGGAGCCCTCCTCAAGTCGGTGCAGGCGGGTGCGGCCGGTTTCTTGGGCACGCTTGGCGAATGAGTTGGTTCCTTGTTGGAGCCGCACCCCGTGATGTGAGAGCTTGACATCCGTACCTTACGGATCTTGCACGACAATGGCACGCATGTATGGACCGGCGAACTGCGAGTACATGAGTGTAACCCTAGCCAATCTCTCGGCACACGATGCATTTGTGATCAAGCACAAAAGCATGCGGTGTGGAGCTTTACTCTGCCAGTTCGCGACCAGCCGCCGGTCTTGTTCAAGTCCTTAAAGTACGACTCCAAATGGCCGTACGACCGGAAAAAGGCTGCATTGTCTTTGGACACTCTCCATGTAACCTTGCATTGTGTTTTCACGGAATGAGCGAAAGTAGTCGCGGGCTCCTAGGGGGGCGGTGCGGGAGCTGTTGGCTGCCGGTAAGGGGGGTAGTGTGGTTCGCAACTTTGGCTGCAGTAGCAGTCATTGCAGTAGTTAGATACCTTGCCTCTCCCGTACACTCCAGGGGAGCCCACGAGAGGACGACTCTACGACAGCTGGTCAAAGTTTTGACTTGAAACGTCATTCATTTTTGCCCCAGGGCGCGCGTTCGTGTTTATTTGCCCAAGAGGACTTTTGCAGCCAGTAGCGATTTCGCGAGTCGGTGGGTCGGTCTTGATTGCTGTGTACGAAGGCATGGAACCGGCTTTGCTCGCTGTCTTGTATCTTTCGCCACCGCTGCCGCTGGCTACTGCTATCACCCATTGCCATCGGCAAAGTGCACCGCCAGGTCTGCCCAGAGCGGCCACCAAGTACACATTGCCCCTGGATGAGCTGACCCTTGGGCATTCACAACTAGCTAGCTCCCTTGGTCCTACGGGTACGGGCGCTGACCAACTGACCCATAGGTCCTAATGGACCCCAAAGCTAGTGGCCCAATCGCCCACGCAGCAGATCCTCCCTTTGAAATTCCGTCGGAATTCTAATCAGCCGGCCCCCAAGTGGACACCACACAGCACGCAGCGACCCCACGGGGTGCCCTCCGGGCCTGTGAGCCCCTAGGCATGTGACCGCGGGTCAACGGACCCAGGTAAGCTGGAGGAGGGATTTTGAGGAGCATGTAGTACTACATCGTGAGCCGTACAATTGCCGTATTCATCGAATTTTCCGTCCTGAGTCTCTGGTGCTCTCTGCCTGAGCCTCCGGTGGCGGCGCACACGCATGCGCAAATACGCGCGTGTGTAAGCAGCCGCAGTATAAAAGTCGCATGCATACGTCGCACTCGGAAATGTACAAACAAATCTAATCGCTAAGGTAAGGGTCCTGATATTGATTGCCGACACCTCTAAGGGATTGCTCACTGGCGGAAACGTACCGCCGTACCGCCATACCATATTTTGCCTCAAAACGACGGACTCGTACCGTAACCCTAAGCCCAAACAGACAGAAAGACAGACAGACAGACAGACAGGCAGGACAACGGCAGGGTTAAGAGCTGGCAGGAAGGAAACTCCTGTGTTGCCGTACAGATGCCGTATGGACTGTATGGCCTCAGTAACGAGCTCCCTCGCCCATTATTCATCTCAGAGGCAAAACCGTGGCCGTCTGTCCAATCATGCATATTGAGCCGGACTGCCGCTTTACTGTTGTTCATCGATTGATGAGTTGATGCATGGAGCACACACAAGTCCTCCCTTGCATTGTATTTTGTCGTACGTGTTTCCCATTATTTCCTGAATTGGACATACAGCACCTCTCCGCGGCCAAACCACCAACGGCAACAACTGACACAAAACAAAATGCACAACAACCCGCAGCAGCAGCAGCACTGCCCAGAAGCAGTATTTACGACGCCCCACAGCGGCGCTATCATCAAATGCATCAACCATAGTAACACACCAGGTTCAGAGTTATTGCGCGACTTGTAGTGTACGTCATTCTTGGTTTGTTGGGAGGTTGACAATGCAGGATTCGCGTACATGCGGTAGCAGCGCAGCTTTGGAGTTCGCAAAGTTTTTGCGTCGATGCAGATACATGCGGTAATTGGATGTCATGCGGCGATGCGGACGTACGGCAATAGCGGGGACTGACGTACTATCTGTCGAGGATTAGGCCTAATCGTGGAGCGGAGGAAAACACAGATGCACGTGCATACACACACACGCATACGCATACACGCGTGGTAAGGGCGTGTATCGACATAAACATAATATGTGTATATGTGTATGCATAGGTGTGCACTCACGCACGTCACGCTTCGGTCTCAGCACTCTGCTCATATACACATGGATATATGCAGAATGTCTTTTCATGCACGGCAGAGAATCGCAAAAATGCCAGCTCGCACGTCGATTTGTCATTAGTACTGCAGTGATCAGGGCCGATACCAATGGTGTTGACGCGGCACCACCCACGCGGCACACACACATACATACATGCAAACTCCTAGCGCTATACGCCCATCCTCACCCCTCACCCCCACCAGCCCCCGAAGTCATGCAACCCGCCAGGGCTGCGTCATATCGCGTCATATCGCGTCATGTCATGTCATGTCATGTACCAGACCCCTTCCTTTGTAACATCGGGGGACCGTACGGCTAAAGCAGGAGCGCCACAATGGTGGAGGGGGATTCAGGGCAATGACTGAAGACGCCGGAGGCCCCTACGCGTTCCATTTCCCCCACATGTACCTCACGCGCCATGTCACGTTGCACCCACCATCATTATCCCCTTGATAACATCCCTATAAATTCAGAAAGGAGGCAAGAATCTGCTTTTCCACGCGTGCCATCCTGGCAAGGGTGCACCAACGCCCCCACAGGCGCCCCGTGACGTCGTCTTATTAATAACCGTCAAAAAACATGCGGCTAAGCTCGTTTGTAAGAACAGCTCAGAAAAGAGCCGATGGGGGCATTGTCGTCCTCTCGCACGAAGCAATCAATCACGCAGAGGCCGACTTGGACCACGTTTACGCTGCAGAGGAGTTGCGCGCACGCACATGTACATGACGTACACACGCAGTACGCACCCCACGTATCCCGCCCCCCTCAATATACATCTATATATATGTAGATATATATGTACACACACAGACATACATACACGCATATGTAGCATACCGCCTGCGCATGATGATGTTGGGGCCCAGCCAGCTTTCCATGCAGGCACTCGCCCATACACGTATTTCCGTACATGTGAAGCACAGAGGCACGCAGGTGGCCGGGGACTTCCTTCTCTGGGCTTCCCCCCCGGCCGCCCTTCGTTCTCCATTTCCACCATTCCTCCCGACCTGCCTCCCTCTTCCGGTGCAATGCACTTCCCCCCCACCCAGCTTCCCTCCCCCATCACAAAAGCAAGTTTTATGAAAGTGGCTGTTGAATTCTCTTCAGCACGCCTGGCAGGCTAGATCTTGTTCGTCTATTAGCCTGGAGCACGAGGGCGTGTGTGGAATGCAGCATGATGAGGAAAGTGAGTCGAGCTGGGGCGGAAAGGGAAAGAGAGATCGGCCTCAGCGCTTGTTTGGAGAGGGAGTTTGAAGAGGGCGTTTGAAGAGGGCGTTTCAAGGGCGTGGAAGAGCGCCGCATGTCCCGAGAAAAGAAGGCTGTCATTGCAATTCACAATTCGTCAACAAACGTTTGCGCATACCACCTACACATTCCGGCTCCACACGCAAACCACCTAGGGGGTTTCCGCAGGAGAAGAATGCTCAACAGAACAACTCTAGGCATGCACTGCCAAACCGATGAGACGATCTGGCAGAAGTGGGAAGAGGAGACCCACTTCCAGAGGGAGGGAGCAAGACTGGCGGGAGCGACCCGGCGGTTTCCCGGAAGAGGATACCGCAGGCTGGTAAGGTGAGATGCGAGGTGAGGTGGTGTGCGGAACTATAGTGGAACCCAAGGGCCAGGAGTGACCCATGGGACATCATGTGCCTCAGCCACTGGCGGTAGTTGCCGTAGCAGCGAGTAGCAGTCACACTTCAGGCAGCTGAAGAGCCAAGTTGACGTGCCCAAGCCACTTACCCGTTGCAGTCGTTATCCAGGCCGTCTGCGCACAGCTTGCAAGGCTCTTGTTGCGGCAGAAGGCCCGTCCCGGCGCTGCAGACTTGGATCGTTGCATAATTAGCGTCCGTACTGACAACCCGTACTGCAAAGTACGGGCTGGCCGTTGCGCCGAGGCGCAGCCGTTTGTAGACGTCCACATCGGTGCTCGCGCCCACCAGGAGGGGCTTGTACGGCGTGCCAACACGTGCGGTCATACCGTCGTACTGATGTACGTACACCTGGAAATGATTTGCCGGGGCTGATATGTTGGGGTAGCGGAGTGGCGTACGTCGATGCTAGTTGCGCGTCTCCGCGACATTTCGAGCTACTCATGTGTACGGCAATTGTGTACGGAACACTGGTACAGTACAATATACATAATTTATGATCTGTAGCTACATTCCATCGCCATGTTGGGTGCACTCATGGTAACATGTCCTCCCTGGACAAAAACACACACGACCCCTTTCCCGTCCGGGGGAGAGAGCTTAGGCGGTCTTTCCGTTGGGGCTGGGCAGCAGCAGCCCCTGACCAGTGCCAGGCCTTAATCACAAACACACACACACACACACACGTATATGCGCGCGTGCGTGTGTATATCGACGGAGCCTCTGCCCCTGTCACATGGCGCATGTGCCGCATGGGGAGCTTTCCTAACAGCGGCGCCGGCAGCGTCGGCTCTTCCGTCACACATGCCACCACTCTCCGCACCTGTCCGCTCAGCTCCGCCGCCAGAGCCTTGTCGTACGCGCTGCCGGTGCTGCTACTGCCTGATAGGCGGTAGCTGATGAAGAAACGGCCGTTGGGTGGGGAACCACCTCGGAGTCCGGTGGCCCCCGTGGGGGCTGCGGCGGGTACTGTCACCGCTACAACGGCATCCCGACGTGTGTTGGTTGGGGGGAGCTTAATGGTGCCAATGAATGGCCCTGTGATGTTGCCGGTGCTGCTGCGAGTCTTACCGTCTAGAAGAGTGAGCCAGCCGTTCTGGGGAACACGAGGGCCGGAAGCATTGAGTGGAGAGGGAGTGAGGTTGTGGATTTGAATTTGGATTTGGATTTGGACTTGTCAGTTTTCGCCGGTGGCTTCCGGATATTTTGTACTGCACAAACTTCACGGGGTTCACCATTTTTTACACTTTGCACCATCACCTCGCGCATCACCTCGCGGCCCGTACCTTATAGCTATTCGGTGCATTGGGACACACCAGCCCGGCTGCCTCGGAGGCGGAGCCCATGGGGCAGGTGGGGTCAGCCCGAGCTCCCCCCGCCCGGCCCAGCCCGCTCGGTAGAGCGCCTTCCCGCGCGCCGCCGTGCGACAAACTGTACGAATGACCCAGATCGTGAATCAGCTGCGAAACCACCGTACGGACGGAGCTGCCCGGCATCTGCGGTATCCGGGAGGTATGTCGGGTTTGGGGGATGGAATCGGACGGGGTCGATTTCCAGTCACTGGTAAATGGTGAAGGGCGCTAGAAAAGAAAGGGAGATAAAGCAGCTAGTCGAACCAAAGGGCCCAGTATCCAGATACGTACACAGCCAGGACAGGACATGGATCCTGATTTGGATCGTATGGGCCCGGATAGACGACATCTGATGAAAGAAGAGACACAGGTGGAGCTGGTGTTTAGAGGCACATTCACATATCCAGCCAAGCACCCGCATCTAAACCCCCATCCACACACCACACACGCGCAGTACCGACCACTTTCTGGACCAGGGGGCAGTCCGCGGAGCAACCCACAGACGCCAGGGACCACCACTCGCCGCAGGCGGGCAGGTCGGGGATCAGGAAGATGCGTCGCTCGTACTTCCAAGGCTGTAGCCCTAGACTCGTTTTTGACTGGATGAATGTACGGCAAAGAAGGGGGGGGGGATGAGGGGTGGGAAGCGGGGGGCAGGAGGGGACTGTTTAATGAGGCGTCGAGGGGGGGGAGGGACCAGAAGGGGGGGAAGAAAGATCGAACACCTGCCGGAGGTTCAGCTGCCAGCGGCCGGCCAGCCGGCCAACCGAGCAGCCGTGCGGGTGATGATGATGGGGGGGAGATGTATCTGTTACTGTGATGCTGTCCGTCCCCGACCTCCATCTCCCTCACCTCCATTGGACAGTTGGGGCCGGAGTTGTGCCGCGCATTCCCAGGGAGCCCTGAACCTCCCTTTCAAGCGAAGCGTCCGGGGCTTTCATTCCTTCTTCCCGTCCCACCGCCGTCCGCCTTTCCGTCCGCGACATAAGATACATACTTACATACATACGCGCAGACTGTACATCGTCAACGACACATAACCGAACCGTATACACAGTGGGACCGTGACTTCCCATATGCACCTTTCCCACCTGTTGTACGACATCCATGGCGTACTGCATCCAGCCAAATACCTCCCTGTCCGTGCACCGTTGTGAGTCGTACGATCGGTTGTTGGAGGGTGTGGCGTAGCACGGCACGTCGATGGGTTCCAGGAGGACGTTGTTCTCCTGACTGCAACACACGGAGAGCCACGGAGTCAAAAGGAGCGGGTGGGATGGGGTGACATGGGGTTTGGCCCGGGGGAAATACACACACGGCGGTTCTCTCTTGAGACAGCTCTTTAGACGGGGATTGTAAGTGAAAGGAACTGCTGTACATGCACCCTGCGACACGTACTCATTTCGGTCGTCGATAACTCGCCAACGCCGCGGCACCGCAAGGCAGAGCGCGCACATCGTTTGTATGCACTAGGCTTGAGCCGTACCATGTGCGCGTGTGCTATGCGTGTATGTGCGCCCCGCCCCAAACCCCGGTCCTCCCGCCACCAGCACCAGCCCTGCCCCTTCTTCCCACCCAAGCCAACCTGAAACTCTCCACCCCGTGCGAGCAGTCAGATATGAACTGGGGCAGTGTGGCGCCATCCATTGCGGAGCCGTCCCAATAGGGAAGCAAGTCCTGGGTGGGTGGGTGGTGGGTGGGTGGATGGGGCAGTTTAATTTGCGAGCAGGGGTGTATAAGGGCGTGCACGGGTATAGCTTTGGTAGGAGACAAGGATCGCAAATCCAGGTGGGCGGGGAGAGCACGGGAAGGCAAGGCAGGGAAGGTAAGTGGCTAGGGCGGGGCGCGGGCTGTAGAAGCGGTGGCGGGATGGCCAGGGTAATCTTAGGGTTGATAAAGTAGGATGATGAAGTCAGAAATGGAAAGGAAACCGCCCGCTAAGGCAAGCAGGCAGGCAGGCAGGCAGGCAGGCAGACATTCCTGATTCCAACGAAAGTGAATTAGGGGGGAGGTCGTTGTTCTGACTCCCATAATGCGCTGGGAGATGTACCTGCATCATCGGTCCTAGACCCCCCCCCCTTGGGGTTCCCCCCTCGGATACGTCCCCCCGCCCTCCTAGCCGCCCCCCAAGCACCTGGCGTTTCAACGGGTTGACCTGGCCGCATATGTTTAAGATGTAAGTGATGGAGGTGAAGGGCCGCGGGCGGGGTACTTCATAACTAATATGCCGCAGATAGCGGTAGAAGCTGCTGGAGATGACGCTCAAGGTGTCCGCCTGGATGTAGTCGGAATCGACGTCCTGATCAGCAGCGGCCGCCGTTAGACCAGAGCCCTTTCCTGCCGCTGCCTGTGCGACAGCTGCCGCCGCCGTTGCCGCCGTCACGCGCTGCTGGCCGATTAGTCGTACGGCATCTCCGGTCTCCAGTGCGTCATACTGTTGGGCGCCCTGGTTACGCCGGAACGGCGAGCGAGTTGGTGAGTAACCTCCGACCTACCCCCCGATATGGCTTCTGTGGCCTCTGTCCCCTTTTAGGGGACCAAAAAGGATTCGTCAAAGTGGCCAACAGCCCCTCCCAGAACTCTCTCTGAAACACTGAAATGAATAAGTAGCTTTCCATGTGAATTGCATAATTGCAAAACAGTGCATGCCAGCCTACGTCACGTGACGCTGCATAAACGTCAAGTCAGAGGATACCAGTTTGCAATCCCTCCCGGGCACAACCGCAGCTCCGAACCCCTATGGCCGTGTCGTACAAGTACGGCATCCCGACAGCTCAGCTTGGATCCCTCCCACACAACAGCCTTCATGCGCCCTTACCCACCACGCCGCTGCTGAATACGAGTCGCCGATACGCGTTGGAGGAGCTCTGGCCCGGCAGTACAGGAGGTACGACGACAAAAAAGAGGCGCGAATCGTCGTCCTGAGCAGTGCTGGATGACGAGGAGGTGGAGGTGGAGGTAGAGGAGGAGGAGGAGGAGGAGGAGGGGTTGTTGCGGGGATCGGGTTGGACAGAAAGCACCAAAAGCTCATCGCCTGGGTGCCGGTAAGGCGTGCAGGAGCAGGGAGCGAACACAAGTTTTTGGACATGGATGTACGTATGGACGCTTTTTGACGTTTTTGCTACAAGCTTCACGCGCTTGTGGAGCCCCCCCCCAAACTAGGCAAGAGGCCCATTAAAGAGGCCCATTAAACAAGCCACCGAGGGCAAGGACGACGTAAGGAAGGTGGAGGCCAGGCGGTGGTTTCCGGCTGGGGGAACTGAATTCGGTGGCGATGTGTAGCATGATGGCAACACTATGGATAACATCCGGATGTAGCAGCCAACCATCTTGATTAACGGCAAACAGATTGCACGATGTGCCCATCCGCAACGATGGGCTGGCTACTGCACTTCCTATCCCGCTGTGGCCATGCGCCGTTCCTTGCGGCCCAGTCTTCCCCCTTCCCTGCGCCTTTGAAGACAGAGACAACGCCACCCGGGTGACGTCGCAGTCTGATCTAGGCGCCCAAACAGGCATCAATATCGATAAACGAACCATGGCTTCTGCGGGGTCTCCTAAACAAGCCACCGCCAGCCACTATAAACTTCTCTCAAAGCTCCAGCGGTGCCGTACTTCCCGGGTAAAATGTACCCTCACACCAGACACACACACACACCCTTGCAACACCCATGCGACAAAAAATGATGCCATGTCGTACCATTCTCGGGTTGGGAGTTGTACGGCTGGATTGAAGGTGTAGCCGGGGGCGCGAGCGGGGCGTCGGGTACATGAGGTGACGGCGGGGGTGGGGGTTTGAGTGCGGCCCAGACGAGCGGCGACTGAGGCCGCTGCGGCGACGCAATCTTGAATGGGGATGCAGGCGAAGGTGTCTTTGCCACCCGTAAGGGAGAGGGTGGTGGTGAAGATACGCGTGGCGGGCTCCGCTTAATGGGGGGCGATCGCCGTGGTGCTGGCAGCCGTGGCGACGGCGGCTTTGGCGACGGAGCCGGCGAAGGGTGCTTCTTGGGTTGAGGACGCGGCGACGGTTGAGGCCGTGGGGGGGGTGGCGATCGCTGAGCCGGCGACGGCGGCGGCTCTGGCGACAGCTGTGGGGACGGTGGCGGTATGGGCAATGAAGACGGGGAGGGCGGTAGGGTACTGCTGGGTTTTGTTGGCAAGCTTTTGGGGTTACTGGCAGCTGGGGGTGTTGAGAGGGGAGAGACGGCTGCTAGGGAGACGCCGCGTGGCTGAGCTCGAAGTACTTGGAGGTTTTGTGCGGCGCATTGAGCCCACATCAGGGTCACCAGCGTGACGGCAATGGGGCCGCGGCATAGAGAAGAGATTGCGGCAGTGATTCTAACGGCCGCTGCCATGACGCGCTTGGCCTGTGCTGATGTGTTGCTCTATAGCCGTAAGGCTGCCACGGAAAGAAAGATGGGAGAGAAAAGGGGAGGGCGAGAAAGAGGAAGTTGTGCCTTGGAAAGTGCCCCTGCGGATGTTTGGCGCTTGTCAGACGCAAAGAACTGGGGTGAGCTGGATGGGTCGCAGGCACTTGGGGTGCCTGCGGATGGGGCCAACGGCAATTGACTGGGTTGGGGAGCTGCGGCTTACTGCTCTGTTATATTAGTCGCGCCTTCGCCCTTTGTGGCCTTCGCCGCTCGCGACTTCCACCGCTCGCGCACAAGGGTGAGGAGGCTGCGGTCGAAGGGGCTTTCCTAAAATGCGCTGTGTGTGTACGGAGCAGCACCTGCGAGGGGCAGAGACGAGGCCATAGTTTTCGGCTTAGGGGCGGGCGATTAAAGGAGACATGGAAAGAGGCCGCACCGCGGAAAGCGCACCAATATTCAGAAAGGGCCGAGGTCTGCGTGTGGTTTGTTTGTTTGTGCGGAAGTTCTGCAAAGATTTAAGCTTTAACCCTTCTCGCCATAGATTTTTAATTTGTATTCATGCTAATGCGCGCTGGAAGATGAACGGCCACGTCGTCTCCACGACAACAGGTTAAGCTCAAAATGATAGCGATTCGTAACTGTCACGTTGAAGAATGCTAATTAAGTGGCGTTAGACATGCGAAACGACAGCGGTAGGTCGTTCAAAAGCTTGTGCAGCAACACCCCACCAAGGAACCGTTAGCTTACCCAGATATCTTAATACTATAGGATAACTGGAGGAAAGAGAGATATCATACCTGGTAACAGAATTGCTAAGGCATACTCTAAAGCTTGCTCCGCCTTCAGTAAGGTTGCGTGATAGTGCGAGTTACAGTTTGCGTTTTGTACAATATATGTAAGGAACATTGCAAAAGAAACACCGTTTTATCTATGCCAGCCTTTCTTTTGTACAACAAAAATAAATGTTGGCTTTAGCAGACAGAGTCAGCTGCTCAGGAACGAAAGCCGATTCGACAGGGTTAACCTGTCGGGACTGTAGCACTGGAGGCCTTACGCGCCGCCTTTCCCAGCGGTATCTGCGATGCCCGTGCACGGGTGTCGGTTCGCCTCCACCTTATCGGTGCATTACTGAGAGCGTGTAGCAATGTATTGTACTTACGCCTTGAAGCTCACAAACCCTTGACATACCCGATGTATCCAGCAAGTGCGTAGCTCATGAAATGTCAATGAATCGATTTTGGAAAACGCGAATTGCGATGGTATCATGGTGGCCGACTGTCGACACGATAATGGAAGTCGCGAATCACACGTTATCAATAAACATAGCTGTTAAAACATTTTGCTGTACAACTTCTACTTGCCCGCATATGCGCTCCCCAGCCGGCAGGCTTGTTTAAGCCCGGCACAGAGCCGCTGCAAACGCGCGGCGCCTGAATGGCGCCGAAACCCGACAACCCGAACGGCCGTCAGGAAGAAGATTTAGAGACCGAAACTCAGTTTTTACCTACCGGCTCTAAACTCTGGCCGACGATTTTTGCAAAATCACCTACCGTAGCACAAAGTCCGGACAATCACTTTTATTCAAGTTACAAAGCGAACGCAGAACGGTCGCAGCAGTGCAGGAGGCAGCAGCAACCCCCCAAGAGGACACGCAACACAGATAACGCTACATATTCAACACGACGGGCGTATGCTGCAGCCCACGTGCTACAGCCAGCAAGTTAAGGCCCACATAGCAAACGTCTAATTTTTTAGCGCCCTCCTTATGTAACCAGGTTAAACCTGAATCCCTTGAAAGAAGCATATGCTCACGGCCTCCGCGCGACATTTTGCATACTCGCTAGCTGCTTCTTTCTAGCTTGTTTGTTTCAACACATCACGCAGACAAGTGAGCTTTCTTTTTTTGCGCCGGCATCATCTGTGCTTTGTCCTGGAAGCAATGGGGTATGTAATGCTTCAAAGTTAGTTGACGAACTTTCGGGACTCATGTTAGGTCTTGTCGTAACTTCGGAGCTAGCGGAGCTAGGACTCAGCTGTACGGTGTGCGATGTTGACGATCGCTAGCTTGACTATATAAGCAGACCAACTCATTGCCACTGTAAGCCTGTGTTAGTCTGAAAATCCTGAATCTCGTGGCTTACGCCAGTATCTCGGCAAGGAAAGTCTGCTTACGCTTCCCTATTATTATGATATGTGGGACAGGGGGGCATATCTTCACCCGTGGCCGCTACCCGGCGAAACCCTGCCTTCCCCGGTATTTCGGGGCACCCTCATCCAGTCACCCTAGTCAACTTCTCAGTGGATCGCTCAGGTTCCGCACCCACCATCAGCATCCAACGGAATCTGCCGGGTCGACGGCGGCCCAACTCTATTGGTTAGGAGCGGTTTCAGTTGGTATCCGAGCCTCGGTGATCCACCTCACAATCTTTATTACGCTGTGTAATTTTAGTACTAGTAAACTAGACCCTATATACATTATTGGACAGCCTTGCTCGTCAACATCGACATCGTTTTCGTCGTCATCATCGACATCGTCATTGTCGTCATTGTCGTCATCATCGCCGTCCGCTACCATAGATTCCATCCCCACCGAGATCGAGCAAACCGTTTATGAAGAAGCCCTTAACCTCGCTTCCCGGCGTATCGCAGCTGCAGCCCAACCGCAGGGCTTCCACACTGCTCGGAGTCAGCTGTTCACGCATCCGACTCTGAACTCCCCGGGCCCCGTCCCCGCGTCCGGCCTCCCAGCCGCTGGACCTTCCTCCACCTCCGCGCCCGAAGCTCCTTTCCCTTGGGAAAGGGAAAGGAACCTCTCCGAATTGGCCTCTCCGATTTGGCCTCTCCGAATTGGCCGCCACTGCAGCCATTCGAGCGTTGCACAACACAGGGTCTCCAACAGCGCCTGCCAGCTACCCAGCGCAGGCCGGCCAACGCAGCCAGGCTCCCCATTTCACTCCCAATGCCAAGGGCGCCAACCTCGCCGCGTGAACCAACCGACTCCGGCTGCACTTCTCGCGATGTGTGGAGTACAAGAAGACAGTGATTTTGCCGCCATAACCGCCCTCTCCACAATTGACGGCCTCTCCTCAATTACTCTTGCGCCACCAGTCTGCACCCTTTACTTCTTTGAACGCTGTCCTCCCTGAGCATTGGCACCCCTTGTACCCAGGTTCGACAGAACTCTTCAGGCACAGCTAGGCATGGACACCATTCGCCAAGGTTCGGGACCCTCCCTCCCTGAATTCATATGTGGCGGGCCTTCTGTCGACTAATGGCCGACCTGCCCAACCGCCATGCACCGACCACGTTTTCTACTTCTCTAAGGGTCTACGAGCAGACCTATGTGACGAAGTCCACACCCGCCTGCAAGGGTACGGGATGAACGTCAGTCTGCAAGCGGTAATCGGCCTAGCCCTGGGCATCTTCGCCGGGCGCCACACCGCCCACCTGCTCAACCATCCCTCATGCTCGCGTAGCACGCGCAGGGATGTCCGCCAACAGGACGACCCTGTGGACATGACAGCTGCTGCAGCCGCCAACGCCAACGCCGCAGGCAGCATCCCAAGTCGCCGCTTCCGAGCGACATCAAAACGACGATGGGCGTCTCTCTCAGCGTATTGCGCCTACAGCGCATGGCGCGCCATGTCTGCCTCCGGTGTGGGGATGAGTCGCACACGGAGGAGCACTGTCCGGAGCTCCGTCGCCTTCTGACCGAACCCACCGTCTCGCAGCCCCGCCGCTCCTTTCAGGAGGACACCAACCGCCACAACCCCTCCCCACTCGCGCGCCTGCTCGCTCTCCCGCTCCTCCGCGCCATCCATCTCTGAGACCGATGTTCCCACAGCCCACAACACGACGTTACCCGCAGCCACCGGGTCGTCCCCCCTCCTACCTCTAACCCCGTCACCACCTCGTCCCATCCCGCACCCGCCTTCGCAAACCACAGCCGTCACCACCTCCCGCATCGTCTGTACAAAACCTCATCCAGCATTTCTCCGATCCCCGTCTAGCACCTCCGCCCCAACCAACAGATCGCCCTCCACCATCTCGCTCGTACGTAAGTAATCTTGTCGCCCGCTTCTCGTCCACCTCACCACCACCACCACCATCTTTTTCCCCACCTCCGCCTTCACCACTCGCCAGTGAGCTAGCCCATCCATCTTGGGAGGGTGGTGGTGGTGGTGAGGTAGACGAGAGCAGGCGACAAGATTAGTTACGTATGAGCGAGATGGTGGAGGGTGATCTGTCGGTTGGGGCGGAGGTGCTAGACGGGGACCGGAGAAATGCTGGATGAGGGTTTGTACAGACGGCGTGGGAGGTGGTGACGGCTGTGGTTTGCGGAGGCGGGTGCGGGATGGGACGAGGTGGTGACGGGGTGAGAGGCAGGAGGGGGGCGACCCGGTGGCTGCGGGTAACGTCGTGTTGTGGGCTGTGGGAACATCGGTCTTCAGAGATGGATGGCGCGGAGGAGCAAGTCCACTTTACCGTAATCGCGAATTGGACGCGTCCTGATCGTAACCAAACTTTTCTGCGCCAAAAGGAACCTGGGAAAGATGGTTTACAACCCTACGCTGTCCTGTTTTACGGCTAAAAAAGAAATTTGGAGAGACGAGTCACCGCCGACCCGGCGGGTCGAGCTGCACGAGCATTCTGAACTATTGCCAGCAGGCAACGGGTCAAGCACCAACGCCTGCGACTCGCCAAAGCGGAGTCCTGCCCTTATTGACTCGAGCGAACTTGTCGTAAATATGAATAAAAGAAATGCTTTTCACTACGTTGATGCGGATATGGCATGAAAAGCTCCAACCCTTGGCGCATGTCGTGTAGCTCGAAACTATGTTTCGTATGCAGCTCTCCGTAGGCTGTCGTAATCATGCTATCTCGTGATCATGCAATTAAGGCATCATGCCAGCAATGAACAGGTCAGCGCCGGCAAGCCAACCTCCAGGACATCCCTATCCGTTCCCCCCCCTCAAAGACTGATCATTCATCCCGACGATATCGACCCATCCTGGACGAACCCACCAGCCTCCCAGCCTCCCCTGCCCTTCCCAGCCCTTAGTGCCCCCAAGTTGTCGTTGCTGGCCCCTATGCTCACAGAGGCAGTGTCTGTGGCCGGCCATGCTCCCAGCTACCCACGTGCTACACGCAGGTTGTCAACAATCGCAATCACACATTCACGATGGTGATGGTGATGGCGGTCAGAGCGACAGCGTCGTCCCTGCCAAACCTGCCGCACCTTCGCATTCTGCATATCGCGTGTGCACGGCGCGCCCCCAAACGGACCACTCAAACCACTTCCAGCATCCGTGAGCGAAACACACACCCAGCCGGCACGCCGCAGCCTCCACACGGTGTGCCAGGACAGCAACCTGTCCCTGGCCAAATGGCGATCGTGGGTGTGGCAATATTTCCCCGTATCCTCGTCTGCACGCACGTATCCATAGCATGACCTGGACACAACCCCCCAAACCCTGTTGGCCGTCGCCGAAGCTGTAATGTATAAGCCACACAAATATCTGGTCTGGGTTGACACTACTGCAATTAGCGGTTTAAGGTCCTGGGTTCGATTCCTGGGGAGACCCCCGAATTAGTCGGGAGCGCGAGATTATGGCTAGCTGCTAAGATGTGGAGTTGAGGTCACAGTTGATGGACCAGATTCGCACGCTGGATTGGTGGCGATTGCCGAACCCTCTGTCTCTTCGGGTGTTCGGGTGAATGGATGAGGAGGGGTCCCCGAAGGCTGGATCCGCCGCCTTGGACTTACAGTTCGTATGGCGAAGTACAGTGTGGTAGTGGTGGATGGTGCTATAAGGTGATAAATGATCTAGAACTGACAATGTGATAAAGCGGCCCAGAAGCTTCCCACTCTGTAACATTACATTACATTACATAAGCCACACAAATATGCCTGACCAGCAAAGGTGAGGTTCAGGGCGCAAAGCACATGTCCCCTTGCATGTCATAATGATATACGTGTCCGGTGTATTCGAAATGGAGAGAACCTAACACTATGCCCGTCCGCACATCCGCATCCACCATTCCCACCATTCCCACGATGCTAAAACACGAGCCTTGACCGTCAAGAATCAACCCAGTTTCGTCGTCACGCAAAGCTACATCTACCTGTCTTTCTGTACTATTTACTCTTGTCATGTCGACGTAAGCGATGATGTTTTTTCCAACGCGCAACCACATACACGCACACACACACACACAGGTAGCCAAAACATAGGCACATGCACGCTCATCCTCATCTGGCGTCGCAGAAGTCAGATGAAAGGGCGTCTTCATCGTGTGGCGGTTCTACTCCACGACACGCGATGCATGTCATGTCAAAAAGAAAAACAGCTTAAGGTGGACGTATTGCCGTACGGTCCAGTCCCCTCTCCAAGTGGACCTTGCCTCGGGCGTCTCCTCGCTCCCTCGTTTCAACTTCCAACCAATCAACACGTCGTCGCCGTCTGGTTCTATCATATAGGGCTTAAATGTTGCTTAAACAAGCACACACGGTGTCGCCATCTTTCATAACGCACGTCGTGTTGACTCCTTACCACAAACGCACTTTTCCACGCACACAGTTTGTACACATAGGTACACATACATTCCCACGTTATATCCAAGTCACAGGTATGTATGTACGTGCGTGCATACATGTCACCAAGCACATGCGACCCATGTGTGCCGCTTACGCTACGAGGCGTCTTCTTGCAAGCGACGTTCCCTCCTCTCCACCATAGACCTCCCCCCGTCAAGCACCCACATCTTCCCTTGCACGGCGCATCCCCTCGCTCGCTCGCTCTCTCTCTCTCCAGCCAAAGTCGGTCGGCTAAACAGGCAGTCAGTCAGCCAGCAGCCAACCAACCAGCGACCTCACAGAAGACTGAAACCACCTTGGCTCACCCCCTCAGCGCCCTTGGCTCTGACCTGAGCTCATGATGACGACGACGGCGACGATGACGATGACGAGTTTCCATCCTCAAGCTCCGGGAAGAAGCTTCAGCCCCCACACGACCATAGCCAGTTTGGGATGATGCATGGTCCAACATACAGTATACGGTTCGATAGTGGAAATGGTCTCATTAGGCAAAAAAGACAAAAGAATGGGTGATGGGCACATAAAACACCTCTCTCTAACACCCTCCGAGCGCAGGGACATTAGAGCTTTGTGGCAACACAAGTTATGTATCTCTTGAAGGTGGGTCTCTGCGAGGTCGTCCGCTTGGGCGAGGTCAACTTAGACACGATGTCGCTTTCTGGACTGCTCGTCCACGCCGTCAACTGTGCCCTCATCCTCAAGATGCGCATCCTTGCCACCCTTCTCAACCCCCCTATCGCCACGCTCCTCCTCACGCTCCTCCTCACGCTCCTCCCGCTCGTCCTCAGCTTCAGCTTCGCTACTGCCGCTACCACTGCTGCCGCTGTTGCCACCAGCGCCGTTCCCGTGCTCTTCACCGCCTAGTCGTAGCAATGACGTGGAATCCTTGGCTGCCTCGGGCGCTTCCGGACTGGTGGCAGCGGCGGCGGATGGCGACTGGGGGGCTGCGGCTTTTGCCGCTTCCTGGAGTTGCGCAGACACCGCTGCCGTCCAGCGACGGACGTCCAAATCCTGGACCAGGAAAGGCCGTAGCAGGCCGTCGGTGCGATGAAGATAGAAAGTGGATGGATGGATGAATGGATGAATGGTTGGAAAAAGGAAGTGGCGAGGGGGGCATGGTCTTGCGGGTTACGGAACAACGCCTATACCGCTCAGCACCCTAAACCTCCAGCGCCTGCCGCAAGCGCACAGAGATCCTCGTCCTCTCGCTTTCCGCTGCTCCTCATCCGCCCCCGCACGCAGGTACACGGGCACACACACGCACCTCCTCCGCCTGCGGTGCCACCCGCGCAATCAGCGCTTCGCAGAGCAGCCTGATCACCTGGCAGTCGACATCCTCCTCACTCCAACACGGCACAATCAGCATGTTGGATTCCTCGCCTGAGGGGGAACACCGCCCGGTCCGGTCGGGTGAGGTGGGGTCGGGTGGGGTGAGGGCAGTACGTGATCCAAGTCAGGGTCAGAGGGTGAGGCCCCATCCCTGGGGGCTCAGGTCAACTCGGGGTCCCAGGCAACGGGCCAGCAAGGGGACCAAGGCAGGGTGGGTGGGTGGGTGGGTGTACTCGCTGGAACTAGGAACCTGTCGAGTCAAGGCCATGTCAGTGCAGGTCAGGATGCAAGGCCCCTACCTGATTAACCTGGACTCCTCAAAATACGATGTATGTATGTATGTATGTATGTATGTATGTATGTATGTATGTATGTATGTATGTATGTATGTATGTATGTATGTATGTATGTATGTATGTATGTATATATGTATGTATATATGTATGTATATATGTATGTATATATGTATGTATGAATGGTTGGTCCATAGATCCATCCCCACCCACCCCGGTTAATCGCCCTGTTGGTCCAGCAGCAGCCGGCTTTCCCCCTCCCACCTTCCCGCCTTTCCGTCCCATCCCTCCAATCCCACCCGCCATGCTCTTGTACGAATCGTCGTCCACCAGTACGACACGGTCCAGGCGGGAGAAGTAGCGGCCCAACGGCTTGAGCGTGTCCCACGGGTTGCCGCCCGAATCCACGTGGTCTGCGAACACGCAGCACGCACAGCACACAAAGCATGAAACCCTGCCCATACGTCCCCCGCAGCACGACTCACACAGCACACACAGCACGGGGGAACGCATGGATCGCTAGGCACCAACGCGTAAAGCTACGCCCGGGATTTCAGTAGGCTGGCTGGCCGGCAGGCCAGAAAGGCCAGGATGGGAGGGTGGAGGAGACCAGAGGGAGGGGTGCCTGAGGGAGAGGCCGCACCTGCCGGTGCAGGCGCGGTGTGTTCTCTGTGTAGCACCAAGCGCCTGTCAAACAGGGTTTCCCCCGCAGCCAACTCCAACATCTCCATAGCAGCCTGCACGGTGCGCACCGTCGAGGAGGTGTAGATGCCCAATCTGAAGTCAGAAGGGAAGGGAAAGGCGGCCAAGGGGAAGGAGGGGGGGGGTGAAGGGACAAGGTTAGCAAGCGAACCCTAGAAGAGAAGTCTCGAGCGGGGCCAGTGCGCGGTCGAACAAAGCATTAATTGGCACATCGGCCCAACCTAAAGCCTCTTACCTTATTCTTATCCCTATTCTTATCCTTATCCTTACTCTTATCCTTACTCTTCTTCTTATTCGTATTATTCGTATTATCATATACACACACCCATATGACACCATATGACATATGATATGATATGCACGACATGATAGCCTTATCATATGTGTGTGTTTTACACCTAACTAACTCGCGTTTCTCATCAGTGCAGCCTATTGCAGCCAGCAGAGGGGCCCCCAAAATAAAATACCCCTCCAGAGCTTTACCGAACGCCCCTGCCCAGCCCGCCCTCCCTCCCCTGCCCAGCCAACACACCTGAACCGCTCTCGCAGCCGCGTCAGGTGCGCGGTGCCGGGACGCAGCCTCGTAGTCCCCTGCGCCCGCCGTACGCTAGTGTGGGACGTGAGCGTGCCATTGAGATCAAACAGCAGGATGACCCGTGGGTCGTCTTCCGCCCCCGGCTCGGCTGGAACATCGTACGGCGTCGTGGAGCTTTTGGTTTCGGGGCCAAGGGACGGGGACGACAGGGGAAGGAGAGGTGCGCGGCCCAGGATGTGACGTCAAGGACAGGCGGGATGGGAAAGGCAACTTCATTTTGACAACTTTCAAAAAGGTAACTGCCGATATACACATCCAAAACTGCTGTTGGATTAGCCCAATGTGGGATGGGGAGAAGGGGAAGATGGCCCCTCCATACACACGCGTTCCGTGTGCGAACCCGCATACCTAGGATCGGCGAAGCTGTGACGCAATCGTTGCACAACGTCGCGATGGTGCCATTGCGAATCGCGTCTCGTCCCCTCCTGCCGCCGATAGCCGCCGCCACCACCACCCCTGCCGTAGCTACCGCCGCCACCGAAGCCACCGGACCCCTGGCTGTAGCTGTTCCAATGCTTCTGGCGTTGCTGCTGCCGTTCCTGCTGCTGCTGCTGCTGCTCCTCCCCCTCCTCCTCCTCCCTTGCAGGTTGCTCCCTGGCGAGCTGGTGCTGCTGGTGCGATAGATCGACGCCACTCCCATCCGCTAGGTACTGCTGCTGCTCCTGCTGTTGTCGTGCTGGCGGTGCTGGTGGTGCTGGTGGTGGTGCTGCTGCTGGCGCCAAGGACGACGGTAACAACTGGCAGCTCGAAGGCCGCCCGCCCGCCGTGCCCTCTACCTGCCCGCTCATTCCCCCATTGGGTTGAGCCCCCGACACCACGCCGTGCGGCCCCAGGGACTCCCCTTCACGGCGCTCCCACCTGCAAGCTCTCTTGTTCGACCCGTGGGTCAGCCCCTGACCTCCGATGCTGCCGCCCTCCTGCGCGCCAGTGACAGCGAAGCTCATCGCTTGAGCCAAACCCTGCTGCGCGCCGGTGGCCCCTTGGATGCCGCCGCCACTGGCGTCGGTGACTGGCTGGTAGGCATGATGGCCCTGGGGGTGACTACCGTTCTGTACGTAGTTGCCGTACTGGACGACTTGGCCGCTATAGTACGAGCTGGCTGCCAAGCCGCCGTACATACCAGTGTTCCACTGCTGCTGCTGCGGTTGTTGCTGCTGAACCGCGGTATGGGCTCCCCCCTGGAGAAACCCCACAGCTCCGTGCGCGTAAGAATAGTGCTGTTGCTGCTGCTGCTGTAGCTGTTGCTGTAGTTGCTGCTGCTGTTGTAGCTGCTGTAGCTGTTGCTGTAGTTGCTGCTGCTGCTGTAGTTGCTGCTGCTGCTGTAGTTGCTGCTGCTGCTGTAGTTGCTGCTGTTGCTGTAGTTGCTGCTGTTGCTGTAGCTGTTGTAGTTGCTGTAGCTGTTGCTGCTGTAGCTGTTGTTGTTGGTAGTGATCGTGGAGAAATTGCTGCTGAAAATGATTCTCCGGCTGCACATACTGGGGCGGCCGGGGCCATGTCGCGACGGCGGAGCCAGCACTGCCAAGCAAGGCTGCCGGAGGTTGTGGTGGCGGCAGCAGCGGCGGGGAGAACGCCACCGTCCCCGCCGGCCCCACCTCCCTCAGTAGCTGCTCCACAGCCAACACCGCCTCTTCACTGGTGCGCACACTAATCACCCGGTCGAAGCCCTCAACGGATGTCGCTTCCACAAATCCATTGGCAAAACTGGGCACACCGCAACGGTGGTGGGTCCACAGGGAGGAACGAGGGGGAGGACGGGTCTGCGGAACTCGACCCAACCCAACATGCATCTCCTCTTAATGCACTTCTTATTGACAGGTCATGTCATGTCATGTCATATGTCATGTCAAGGTAGGACGGGGGGCAGGGGGAAGACGAAGACCACAGACGAATGAATGATATAAAAATGCTGACACCAGGGACGTAGACGGATACTCTAGGAATAGGGACGAGGGAGGGCGATGCGGGGGAAGGGAGTATAGAGCGCAGCTGTCCCGGCCTCCATGCACATGCCCTAATTCTCCCGCCGCCAGCTAGCCCAGCCCCGTACCCACCACCACCACAACCTGAGCTGCCGCCAGGTCGCCCGGGTGCCAGCCGTACCTCTCAAAGACCCCGATGCAGTAAGGGTGTCCCACTCGGTCGCGCGCCCGTTGCCTGCACAGCTCCAGGGGCAGTAGCAGCTGCAGCGCCACCACGGACGTGCTGTAGGATGCCGCACAGAGGAGGAGGGTAAACACATGCAAGGGAAGGAACAAGGAGTTTGAATGGAGGAGAGGGGCGGATTATTTGTACAAAGAAGCGATGGATCGACTAGTGGCCAAGTGGAGATCAACCAAGTGAAGGGGTTATCATAAGCAGGGAACACGCAGTCAACCAAATGGGAGGCGCACACACGGAGGTACAGCGGGCCCGGCAACCCGGTGGAGCTTAATGCTGGGCCGCAGGTCATAAGCGTTGTCCATGTACGAATGCTGTACGACGCTACGCAAGCGGCAGAGGAGGCGGAAGTCATGCGATCATTAAAGTTGGCTGATGCCTGCCGCCCTTGCCGCCCCTGCTCCCCATCTCAACACTTTGCTGCCGCCGACCCCGCACTGGTACTAGGACGTACGGACGGAAGGAACGGGGCCCCTGTGGACGCCTCAGGCTGAGCGAGACAGGGGAGAGCTACACAGCGACCGCCGCGGCACCGTCAATACAACATTCAAGCTTAACGGGCCAGCAGCTTCCTGTCTTCCCGTCCTCAAGGGCGGAAAGGCAGGGCAACCGGTATCCATAAATAGCAGCACCGGGCTGTTCGGCCCGGTTGTTGTTGCCACGCCTCTTTTTGCGTCTCGTAAAGACCCGAGGGGGAGGAGCGCAGGGAAGAAGTGTGGGAACCCCCGGCGGTAGCGTGATGGATTCCGGTACAGAAAGCGAAATGGAACGCATAAAGGAGGGCGGCAGCGAGCCACAGGTGCGGCTGGCGGTTGCTGCGGAAGGGGAAGCTGTGTGTCGCCGCGGGGCACGCTTCCATGTCAAACCCAGCGGCGCTCCCATGCCCCTCCCCCCATACGCGACCGGCCCCCGACCGGTCCTCTGGTCCAGTGCGGGACATTGCCGCGGCCACCAGAACGCTGCACTCTTCAATAACCTGTGTCCCTCACCAACATGCATGTGCACGTGGCCGTGCTCCACCACATGTACCATTCCGTGACCATCCCGTCCTGGGGCCCCGGGAAAGCGGCATCCTCAGTTTCTTACCCAAAGGCTCCACACTCACGCGCCAGCTTAACCCAGTGGGCGCGCTGAGGTGGGTCCACGTTGCGCCTGTGGTTTGTGGCAGCAGGTGGGAGGCGGATTGTGTAGCGGGAAGATCGGATGGACAGCTCCACTTCAGCGCCGCACCGGCGGGTTTGCCTGGCACCCGAACGGCTTCGGGTAGAGCAACGGACCTGGGCCCAGCGCCCCGATCTGCGTCAGTTTACCAATAGAGTTGCTGGATTGGCGGGAGCCTCCAAATTATGAGGCGTGAGGTCACAGGAGGGCGCTCCATCGACCGACGGGGACCGTTTGCCCTCCCGACGACGTACAGGATAATGAGAAGTGCATCTACCTAATTATGGTTATTTAATTCTGTACGATTACGAAGGAGCGATAAGGGACATGCCTCCTTGTCGCGTACCCGTCGACTACTACGTGCTGTCCCGCGCGCAGGGCTACACGTACGGCGTTCTCGCAGGCTTGTCTGTCCCCAAGTTCATCCTGTTGGGCGATGTTCCGATGTGGTCGGGAAGTAACAGGGGGAACAAGCCAGAGCGTCCCTGATTGACAAATGCAACGGCTGGGCCAGCCGGCTCCTCAAGGTTGTTGTCGGGAACATAGCACCGGGATAATCTTCATACGCAGTAATTCAACTATTGCATATTTTTGAATTATTATTGCGCAAACTATTTAAAGGCTGCGCATGGCCAGGTCTACCTGGTTGATGTGACGCCAACCGACAGACGCTAAACGCCTGCTGATCGTTGTTTTGCCTGGAGTGTTAATAGATATCGGTATCCGTTTGTTAGGTCTCTCAAAAGAAGCAAGGCGCAAAAGCTCGATGCGTAAAGCAGCTGACCTGCGCCTGGAACGCCGACGAGGACCAAAACATACATATCTGTAGCTTACTCAGGGTGGCCGCATTCACTGTAGAAATGGATGGATGTATATGGCATGGTTAGAGTATCAGGAGCAAAAGGATTGGCTGGAGCATAGCGTACAGGGGATGCTCGTACAATGTTTTGCCAACTGGTGAACTGGAAAGACGAGTGACAGTTACTGTTGACAACTTTGTGCAGTTGCATTTCTCTGTCAACGACCAAAAGCCATCACCGAAGAGATTCGTAGCCACTGGGGATTTCTACTGTGAGCTTCTGAACCCGGCCGTCCACCCTGCGCGCGTTATGAGCGGCGACGAGGGAGACGGCCGCGATGGAAATAGTAATGCTAGGGAGCAGGACCGGTACCTGCCTATAGCTAACATTAGCAGGATTATGAAGAAGGCTCTGCCTGGGAATGCTAAGATAGCCAAGGATGCCAAAGAAACAGTTCAAGAATGTGTCTCCGAGTTCATTAGCTTCATCACGTCGGAGTGAGCTTACAGTCGCATTCTGCTTGACAGAGCGACAGACCGCCGTCTCGATAAGGACCGCGTGCCTGTTGTCTGTTACAGAGCCAGCGATAAATGTCAGCGAGAAAAGCGGAAGACCATCAACGGTGATGACCTCTTGTGGGCGATGACGACGCTGGGGTTTGAGGAATATCTTGAGCCCCTGAAGCTCTACCTGGCCAAGTTCCGAGAGGTCGGTCGGTGGCACGGGCAATGGGGCATGACTCGGGGACCCGGGCTGGCTGTCTTGGGGTTGAATTCTGTGATGTTGGACAGGTTTCGGGGCGACTCTTTGAGCTGTGCCATCACTAGAACGAATGTCATCGGCAGCCCAACTTGTCACCTTTGCCGAGCTTTCCATGTGGCCATGCAGCATCACCGGTCACGTACAAATTCATGCTTATGTGCCCAAATCCCTGTTCCCCGTCCTCACGCAGGCGGAGGTACGTCAGTTGGACCCCAGCGCCGGATACCGCCTTTCAGCGCTGCCACATCATGTCCGCCCGCTAGGGGGTCGCGTCTGAGGGCCGCGATACTACGCGTGCCAGCATATTACAGGACTGGACTTTGCAAGTCCAGCATCTAGCGCAGTTGGAACATAGGGTGCATAGCGCACTTGCGCGCACTTTTACTCATCATGGACAAGAAGCACTCCACGCTTAATGAACGCATGGACTCATTTCCAATGTGCACCTTAACCTTCGAACCCTGAGCTGCACGCGCACAGATACTAGAGCATGTCCTGTCCACGCATGGCGGAACGTGACATGGCGCATATGGCGCGTATTGTCCGCGTCTGGCACCGTCCGCCACGCTGCCTTACAATGTTAGGTCACACACCCGTAACCAATATGTTTCTATCACCAGGCTGCTGTGGCGAAGCAGCAGCCAAGTAGCGCTGGCGCGGGTGCGGAGGCTAAGCGTGAGGCAGCAGCGGCCGCTGCAGCAGCGGCTGCCTCCTCACAGCAGCACCAGGCGGCGGCACATCACCTACATGCTCAGGTACTCGACACTGATCAGAAATAACAGTAGCGATAGCAGCCCCGGCGGTAGCTGCTCCCTATTGCAGCAGGTCGTGCTGAGGAAGGCTCTGCTTTCATCCCCACTCACCGGGTTGAGGTTGACGCCACATTGCCGCTGTGTGGGAAAATGCCGCTCTGGAGGGGCAGCCTGGGCTGTATGCGTGCGTACTTTTGGGGGATTGCTGTTATGACATTTATTTAGAAGTAAACATCGCTTACATCTGCTTACTTGCTTATCCACGCCGATGTGAATATGCGCTTGCTCGTTCTCTTTATTGAATGTAAGACCATGCTATGCTAACTCAAATCATCTTCGTCCACAGATGCAAGGTGCGATGCCGTTCCCGCTGATGCCAGCCCAATTCCAGGTAGGTGTCAAGGTTGCGCGTGCGTATCGAGGTAGGAAACGACGGTAGTCTAGGATTCCATATTACACGGTTTGGCTTGCTTGGTGCAGGCTGTAAATCAACCAAAGCTGCCCTCATAAGTCCCGAATCTGCCTCTGTTCAGCACTAACTGCCCCCTTTTTCACTTCGCAGTCGCTACCGCATGGAATGATTCCTGCTGGCTTCACGGGACTTCCCCTACCACCTGGCATGGCCGGGCTGATGATGCCAACGGGTTCGCTACCGAAGCAAGAGCCACCGAAATGAAAGGCGTGATGATAAGCTATGATATCCCGGGATGACGTGACGTGACGACGGTGGTTGCATTTCTATTGTTGTTGAATTGGCTGAGCCACGCACTCGGTATGAGCGATTAGACGACGCGTTATGATGACGTTAATGGTTGCAGTTTAGGTTTGGGGACGGGCGGAGGGGCATTTTGGGCTAGTTAGGCAGGTGGGATTACTTAGCGGACCTGTGGGTTGCGTTGGACTTGTGTTGATTGATAAGTTGGACCCCCAACACCCCCTATACAACCAGTCGGTTTGCTGCCTTGACGACTGCGGTCACGACTTTTTAGACCCTCAGAAGGGGTCCTTTGCGCAGGCGCCGGACGATGTGCCTCGGACACATCATGTATATAGCTGAAACTGCGGGACAAAAGTGATACAGTATGGCTTGGGGTCTGTTTCGTGCAAGCTTTACCGAACTGAAGCAGCGGTACGGCAGGTCGTTTCCCAGCCCCAGTGCTTCGGTTGTATGGCCTCAGCTCGACTGTGAAAAAACAGGTACAAGATGTAAATTTATGCTGAGGCTGTAAGTAACACTTTCACGCGTCAAATACGAATTCTTGTCTTCGTGACAGACAACGCAAGAAATTCACAGCGCTCACCGTTGTCGAATGCATGAAGCATGAATGAGCCTAGGATACTTAAGATCGCTCGTCGTGAGAACAAACTCGGAAATGCAAGGGAATTTACGCGCAGGCCTTTTCCTTTGACCACAAGGTAACTTGCACCTAATCATTTGCGTCCTGCTTCCAGACTTAAGTTATCTTTACAATGGAAATGCAGGCTTGCTGAGATCGTCTTGCTGAGAACAAAGCACAGATGTAGCCAGTTGGACGGAACAGCACCTGTTGAGGGTAAGAGCCGGTTTCACAGCATTTCTTAGGATAGTCAAAGCTATCTGACTCCTGCTCATTTCATATCCGTAGCAGATTGTGCTCCCCAGCCAACGTCCTCAGCTGCGGGCTTGGTGCATCCAAGACGGGATGCCGAGCTGGCAAGTATGCCGCAGGAATGTGCGCCCGTGCACGTATATATTCCCTCAGCATCAGGTAGTGCACCGAAACTGTGTCTAGACGAGGAGAATAATCTAAAGTGGCGCGTGCGAGTGAAACCTGCAGCCATCGGAAAGGGGTCGGGCCGCCGGATCACCCCACGCGGATTTGCGCTGAGCGTGACACTCCCCCTGATTCGGCGGGCCGTCGCGCAACCTCCGTTGCAACCCCAGCAGCCCACTTCACCATTGACGGAGCTCGACCACCAGCCCGACGCTGCACGGGCCGATTGCCAGCCTGTTGATCTGCAGCCAATTTGCCTACCAAGCCTTGAGGAATTGATTATTTTAGCACGCGATCAAGCCTTAGCCAAAGAGCAACTGCCGTACAGTGGGAAGGAGGCATCTGTTTTGGCAATACCCGCATCACAGCAAGCAAGCGTGGACGCCATGGAGCTAGATGGGGCTGCCGCTGTAACCCTACCAGCGCTGGCAGACCAACCTTTTCAGATGCACCTCAAACAGGGCTTGGATGTGCAGACGCCAGCGCTGCTCCGCATTAAGGGGATTTCTCCTCAAGTCGGGCGACACTGCCCATGGCACGCTCCCACGCCTGTGGAAGGCGTGCCGGAGCGCTTTGCCTGGTCGGCGTCCCCCTGCAATGCTGCCGCTGCAGCGCGGCCAACCGCCGCATCCGAGGGGTGCAGTTCACCCGGAACTAGCGTGACGCCCATTGAGGGCGTGCCGGAACGGCTTTTCAAGCGGCGGCGTGTTTCGTTGCGGCCTCAGTCGCAGTGGCCACGGGCAGCCGCCAGCAGCACGCCTCCTGGCGTGGACCAATACGCTGCCCGCCGCATCCACGACCCTGCCAAGGGCGAAGCAAGCGCCAGCATCCCGGCTTCTTCCAGACACCCAGTCGAAGATGGGGGCCTCGACCCAGCCGAAGCAGCCGATGAAGTACCTCCCGATCATCTGAGTGCCGCAGCCATAGCGGCCGCCGCGACTGCAGCTGCTCGGGCGGCCTTGGAGCGGTTTGCGGCCGCGGCAGGTTCACCACTCTCATACTGCCCAGGAGCGGCCGCCGTACCGCTCAAAGGCGCCGTAACAGGTAGCCCCATACCAGGGAGGTCTTCCAAGGACTTTGTTCCAGGAGAACCTGCCGAAGACAACTGCTCGCCGCATGACATTGACCATGAGGGCATGACCGCCGCCGACATTGCGGTGGCCGTGTCTGCAGCTGCTCGGGCGGCTCGGCAACGCATCCAGGGCTTGACGTGCGCCACGGCCTCGGACACGCCCGAGGCAATGGCCGCAGCGTGCAGCGCTTCCCATGCCAGCAGTGACGGCACGCCCGCCCATATCAAGATTCAGAACCTGGCGGTGGCGGTAGAGGACGTGGTGCAGCGGGCAACACAGGCCATGGGCGGCCTGCCCAGCTGCCCCTCCGCACAGAGTTTGCCGTGCTCGCGATTGCCGCCGCGCCCGCCGTCGGCGGTTGGGCGTGCTGCAGGCACTGCTGCCGGCGCAGGAAGCCCCACAGAGGAGGCTTTGGGTGCAACCGACGGTCAGGCTGGCCTTGGCAGCATCATTCACAGGGCGCCGCCCAATGCCTTACTGTTCCCATCGCGGACGCCGTCCCCCATGGGTGGCATCCAGTGGCCGTTGATTTTGCAGGCGCCGGAGCCACATCTCATGGCAGGTGAGGGCCAAAGGGTGGTTCCATCGACTCCCGCCGTTGATGCGTGAACGATGGCACATGGAGCGCATGAGTTGATATGTGTTAGGAGGGAGCATTCCCTGACTCCCAAGATGCATGGCAAGCATTATGTACTTATAAGATTGCTGTTACAGTTGAACCTTAAAAATCGCCGGCGTGTGAGCCTCAACCAACACTTAGGCTGAAGTCAAGCCCCGCAAAACCGACTACCGACCAGAGGCACGCCCCTGCACCGCGAAGTAATAGTGTGATGTACATATTATTGTGATCACCACCACGGTGGCTCGGCATGTGGGGCCAGGTCGGCCGGAGCTAGTCATGCTTCCCGTACACCCGCTTTCCACGTGTTGGTGTTGCAGGGTGCATCAGCAGGGCGGACATGGTCACTCCCGCTGCAGGAGTCACCTTGGCCCCTTTCGCTGGCGATTGTGTCGAACCTGCGAGCAGCACAACGCCCCGTGCCGCCGCCAACCATCCTGTTGCAGCAGCAGCTGCACCAGTGCTTATTACGACAGGAACATCGCCATTTACAGAAGAAGAGCTTCGCGCCCTCGGGTGCGCGGATACCAAAGCTGCGGTGACCATGTCGCCTGCAGCTAGTGGCGACCAAAGCGACAGTGCGGAGTCAGAGCAGAGCACTGATGGAAGCCCTCAGCAAGGCGCCGGGGACAGCCCTGCGCAGGGAAGTGAGCTGAGCCTGCGGCAAAGCGTCGGTGGATCTCCCGAGAAAAGCAGGAGCGAAAGCATGGGACAAGGCGACTGCATGGGCACGGAGCAGAGCATCAGTGAAAGCACAGAGGAAAGTGGAAGTGGAGGCATGGAGCAAAACCATGGAGAGGAAGGGGAGCGAACTAATGCGGAATGCCCGGAGCAGAGCTGCAGCCGAAGTGCGGAGCAACGCACTGACAGCGGTATGGAGCAGGGCGCCAGCGGGAGGGCCGAGGAAAGTAGTGGCAATAGCCACGAGCACAGCAGTGGCGACCGGTCTTTCGGTGCACAGGGTGTGGATGGACCCACTGCACACACTCCTGTCGGGACCCTTGAACAAGCTGGCGTCGGTACCAGCGACCCGCCGGCTGGCCTACGCGCTGTCGAGCTCAACGAGTCCAAGATTCTTGCAAGTGCCCTTCGGCTAGACTATGTGCGACACGATGCGGAGGACGAAGAGTTGGCGGTGGAGGAAGTCATGGCTTTGCCTGACCCGCCTGATGAGCCAGATGAGCCCAAAGTCGCGTTACGGGGCAACACGGAGCGCAGCAACAGGAGCGGCGGCGCGGGCATGCGCGGTCAGTCGGGGCCAGCACGGCGGCGGGCAGATGCAGCAGCAGCGGCGGGCTCAAGCCGCCCGTCGACTCAACAGTCGTCAGAAAGCCAAGGTCAAAAACGAGACCGACGTAACTTGGGCATCCGGAAAAGCATGGCAGCGGCAGGTGAGCTCTGGTTATTGTGCGGGCCTTGGCAAACGGACAGCATCAACACCGCAGTGAAGTGCATGAATCCATGCATGCAGCTTGACTAGAGTTCTGACCACGCCGATAACTGGACCTTCGGCTGGTTTCCCCATCTGTTAGCACCGCACAACTAAATTGCTGGACCGCTGTCCCGTTAACCTTCTTTGCAGACCTCGGGCTCACTGTGGACGAGATGGGAACGCGGCGCAGCACTCGCAATCGTGTGCGGCCGCTGGAGTACTGGCGGGGCGAATGCAAGTGCTACATTCGAAAACACGAGAGTGAGTGCCTTTGAGGAAACGGGGTATGCCCATAAAGGCGGTCCCCCAGGGGCAGGACTTACCAAGACAATGCCAATAAAGATAATGCAATGGGGGAAATGAGACCTCGTCTTTGCAGGCATGCGCGAACGAACGATTGGATTATACTTGCTTGCTGTTCTCCTAATTTCCCGTGCAGCCATGCCGACTGTGATGGCCTTCAAGATGCGCACTCCGGAACCCCAATGGCCTCTGCCATCGGGCAAGGAGGAGAAAGCGAAGCGGAGAGCGCGAACGAAGGAGAAGGTGGCTGAAGAGGAGTAATCGACCGGACGACCAGGGTTTTTCCATCCCGTGCTGCAGTTGCCTGTATGATTGGTGTGGCTGCCGACCCTCGCTATGAGCTGCACACATGTTCACCTAATGCAATGATGTTGACACGATGAGATATCGTGATGTTTATGTAGCGGTGTCGACCACGTGGGGCTTCGTCGCCCTTCTTGTTTCCCGCTCTCTGCGTGACACTAGATCAGATGCAGGCTACGACAGTATTGCCTTGTTACGCATGCTATGGCGTGGCTGTAGGGTTTGTGGTCAGTGGCATTTAATACGAAGCGCCGGGCAATTCCTGCGAAAGAGGTCCGCGTTCCGTTCCAACTCCCTTCTGGTGCTTTGAATTTTATGCATGATTGCTTCTTATATACACAGATTGGTTTTAAAACTGCGTTGTTTCGGACCCGAGACATTGCCTACACTCTCTGCCAGGGAGCTGCATCGGAGGCAAGATCATGGCCTATCCGTATGCAGATGAGATGCGCAAAAGGCTTCATAAGCCTAGCTTACCAAGCCTTTCGGCTGTCGTTCAGTGCAACTTAAGCTTCACCGTACAGCTTCACCCAGTACGTTGCATATGGAGTGGACTTTGTTACGGATACGTTCAACAGAAATACGCTGAATCGTCGGAGCCACAGATTGCTGGCACCTGGCCGTTTTAATCGCTGCCGAAGCCTGAGTCCTAGACTGTGGCCTTCCGCACAAACATGCCGGGACCTCCTTTTTTGCAACCGCATCTAAGCATATTGTTCCCTTAACGTTTGCTCAGGCGCAGCACATGCCAATCGGACCTTTTGCAGGCGTGACAAGGGACACTAGACCTAGGCCTGCATAATTTACCAGTTTCTTAGGAATGGCAGTGTACATTACTTTCAAGGAAAAAGCAATTGAGTTTGCAAAGCAGGCGGTCGTAGAAGATGAGGCTAATAATTATGACAAAGCGTTGCAGCTATACCTTTCTTCGCTTGAGTACTTCAAGACGTATCTGAAGTATGAAAAGAACGAGAAATGCCGGGAGGCGGTGATGGCCAAGGTGGGGGTTTATACCTGTGGGACATCGCATACAGCCGTGGGGACTGCTGGCTTCAGACTGATATGGTGGCCACCATCATGCAGTTCAAAGAGTACCTTGCACGGGCGGAGTACCTGAAAGGAGTCAACGGTACTGATACTGGTGGCAACGACAGCGGCACGGCAGCAGCCCAGAAAGTCCGGAAGCCTGGGCAAAATAAGGATGAGGTGCGTGGCCCGATATTCGACCCCGAGCGGAAGGGCGGGTTTGTACCTCCTCTTATGTAACTGGGCGGCTAGCTGCGTGTGTAGTCTTTGGCATTTGGGATGGGCACGGGTGGACTTCGGGAGCGCAGTGCCGCCCCTCCTACCCTCATGCCGTCGTCTGGATATTTGCATGTGCTTGACCTCCTTGCTTGACCTCCTCACGGACTGTCAGAAATAGCTCGGGGGTTGTTGGACTCACCGACATGAAATTGCATTTGCCGGTGCAGGAAAGGGCGCCCATGCTCCCTTCGCCCTTTCCTGGGTAGCCCTGCGGCACATCGAGGCTCCCTGTTGCCGTCTTCGAGCGTCTTCCGCATTGTAAACATCGCAAGCAATGCTGCCGCTACTTTGCTGCTGCCGCTGTCAGTCAGCAACTCCGGCCTCAACACTCAAGTCTAACAGTGCCTGCACGATATTGTCCACCTTTTCCAGGAGGACAACAAGGAGAAGGAAAAGCTCAAAGCCGGGCTCACCGGGGCAATCCTCACGGAGAAGCCGAATGTACGGGTAGGTACGGGTGCGGGGCCTGGGGGAAGGACTGCCAGGACAGAGGGTGGCACGGAAAGTTCGACAAGTGGCCGAGGGGCTAGGGGTGGATGCGGGAAATATGATGAAGCTTAACCTTGTGTCCAGTACATGGGCCAAGCAATGCGTGGAAATGAAGGGGAGGTGCGGAAAAGGGGTAAGGGCATGGGGGTGACAGGGTTGGTGCAAAGGATATGCCTGGGGCATCTATCTATTAGTTTTTTTGACTGGTCAATGGCACAGCTGCTGCTGCTGCTGGAGCTGCGGCCGCAGCTACGGCGGCAGCTATTAGGACTGACGTGACTGCTGCCGCCTTTGCTGCTACTGCTGCTCCTGGTGGCGTCCTTTGTACAGTGGGATGACGTGGCGGGACTGGAGGGCGCCAAGGAGGCCCTCAAGGAGGCGGTCATCTTGCCGGTCAAGTTCCCGCAGTTCTTCACAGGCACGTGCAAGCGAGGAGGGGCTGTGTGCAAGCGTGGTGGGGCTGGGAAAAGGACTAGTGAGGCCGACAATGTGACTTGCGTTTTTTGGACGTGATTACGTTTGTTTAGCGTGTAGCCCGACATAGACAAGCGTGCTCGCGGGGCTGACGTGCGGGGCCCGACACAGACAAGCAGGTGTATACGAGGCACCCCCCATCACGATATGGGTCATGTGCGCCATGTGCCCATTCATGCACGCTTTTGAGTCGTTATGGTTCATTCACAAACAGAGAGTGTTGATTTAGCTGGGAATAGAAATGTGCTGGCTTCCAGATTACTCCAGAGGTCCCTTTTCTCCTGGCTGGTGACACCTCTGTCTGCCCGCGCCTGTGGCAGGCAAAAGAAAACCATGGAGCGGCATTTTGCTATACGGACCACCCGGTACAGGGAAGTCGTACTTGGCAAAGGTAGGCTTCGTGGGTATTACGGCGGCCGGCGTGAAGCTGGGAGAAGCGGGCTTTCTTTCCTTTTACGGTTTGGTTAATGCCCGATGGAATTCAGTACAGGATTGGTAGTGCGCTGCCAGCGCTGCTAAGCTTGCAAGGCGGAAGGCCTTCAGGCTAAGAGGCGAAGTGGCTAAACCCGAAGAAGAAGAAGAAGAAGAAGAAGAAGAGCAACAACAATAAAACAGCGCCTCTTCGGTTGCCAGAACCGCTGTCTGTTGTCAGTCCCGGCTGTTGCTCTGAGCCGGCCAGCTCCCGTCGCCCTTCTATCACAGCCTCAAACAGAGAGTTAAAACCCCACTTCCCAGCAGCCAGTCTCCTGTTCTTCACTTCTTTCATTTGGGCTGCTTCAATTTGGTCGGTCACGAGTCGGCGATTTTCCTTCCCTTCTAACTTCTCTCCATTCCTGGTGTTGGTGCTTTGGACATCGGCATTCGTTTTCCATAATGTTTGAGAATAATCTGATTATAACGAACTCCAATACACTGCCCACTTGCGCAGGCCGTCGCGACGGAGGCCGACTCGACTTTTTTCAGCATCTCCTCCCAGGACCTGGTGTCCAAGTGGTTGGGCGAGAGCGAGAAGCTTGTGTCACAGTTGTTCGCACTCGCGAGGGAGAATGCGCCCTCCATCATCTTTATCGACGAGGTGCGGAGAGGTCGCTGCTGACCTGGGTTACATCAGATCGGAACTCGATCAAGCGGGCTTTCACGTGACGAAAGGCCCGTAAAGCACCCAGGAAGAGGCGACACAGCCGACTGCCGTCTGTCTCTTTGAACCCAACGCGTTGCGCAAGCTGGCCGTCGTGACGACGGTCCGCTTGACCTTCTCCTTCTTGTTCGACGCTCATCCCTTTCGGATTGCCCTCTCGCCTCCTTGGGTGCCTGCAGGTGGACTCGTTGTGTAGCGCCCGAGGTGACAACGAGAGTGAGGCGGCTCGGCGCATCAAGACGCAGCTGATGATCGAGATGCAGGGCGTCGGATCCAACAACAGCCGTGTGCTAGTGCTCGGGGCGACCAACTTGCCGTACAATTTGGACCAGGCCATCCGCCGCCGCTTTGACAAGCGCATTTACATCCCGCTGCCCGACGAGTCGGCGCGTGCGCACATGTTCAAGATCCATCTGGGTGATACACCGAATGATCTGACAGGTGGGTTGGCAACTGTATGGATGGGCGGTGTAAGGGGGATTTGGGTAGGTGTGGTAGGGTTGGTTTGGTGGGCTCCCCGGGGCGCGCTTGGCCCGTGATGTGATGTGTCTGCCTGCCCGCCGGGCTTGCCCGATTGGCCGTCTAAAAGCTCGCCCGCGGCCCTTGGCTCGCACTATTCATGTCCCTGCTTTCGGATGGTTCCGGTGTTTCTTTTCTATTTTGTTACCTCCTAATTGCACGCCGTTTGTTCTCATTCAGATGCGGACTATCGGGAGCTGGGTCGGCGCACGGAGGGCTTTTCCGGCAGCGACGTAAGCGTGGTGGTAAAGGACGTGTTGATGCAGCCCATCCGCCTGTTGCGGGAGGCCACACACTTCAAGAGGGTCCGAACACCGGATGGAGGTCAGTGCTTGGCGAGTGGGACGTGAATGGACAAATATGTTTGGAAAACAACTGGTCTAATGATGTTGCCGCCCGGATGTGAGCGTGCGTGGCCGGGAGCGGGCTTTCGTGGTAAGGGGCTTTCATGCATCGGGCGTGGACGTTTCTAAGGGATACCATTTTCCATAGTGATTCCTGAGTGCGCCGGCTTATATCCACCGTATACAACTTTTGCACCACTTGTATCCGGGAGTCTTAAAGCTCTTGTGGTTTTCACATCCATTCTAAAAACTAAATCTCACTCGTTTCTCGCTTACGCATGTTCTCTCTCTTCCTCGCTTCCAGGCGAGGGCTGGGAGCCGTGCAGTCCTGGGGACCGCGGGGCTCAGGAGCTCAGCCTCAACCACTTTGCGGAGAATGGCCTGGCGGACAAGGTGGGCTGAACCAGGGAGAGGGAAAGGGAGGGGTAGCGGGGAGACCTGGCGGGATCGGCATGGGTCGGACGGAGCATGGGAAAGGGGAGCGACTTGGGAGCGGAGCGGAAGGGGACCTTTTTTGCGTTGGATGGCCTGCCGGGCTGACGTGTCCTAGCTAGCTATTGTTTCCTAGCTATTGTTTCGGCTGCTGGAGCTGTGAGAAGCAATCAGGCATGTGCTCCTCGTGCGCTTTATGCAAAATCGTTGCGGTGCAGCAAACAGGTACAAGCGAAGCTTGCGATTATCACCTGCTTGCCTCTCTGTCTGTATATATGTATGTCTCCAACGCAGGTTCTGCCGCCCCGCATCACGATGCGCGACTTTGAAAAGGTGCTGGTGCGCGCACGACCCACCGTGGGCAAGTCCGATTTGAACGTGTTTGAGCGATTTACAGCGGAATTTGGAGAGGAGGCTGTTTGAGCGAGGGGAGGTAGAAAGGCAGGCGAGGGAGGGCGAGGTGGCAAAGCGGAAGGTCCCGGACCGCCAATTGCGCATTTTCTCCGTCCACTGAACCACTCGGCGCGCCAGAAGGAGTTGCAACAGCGGAGGGAGAGGGGGTGAAAGAAACAGTGACGCGGAGTCTCGAGTGCGTCAAGGGTACAAGAGCGGTGGCGATGGAGGCGTCAGCAGAGGCAGTCTGGGGATCCGATAGACTTGAAGAGTAGATGAGCAGATGAACATGAGCGGACAGACAGGTAGCTAGGCAATGCCGCGCAGCCGCATGATGGGATTCAAACGGGCCGTTATGGGTTATGGCCCTTCCATGCAGTTGGAGCCGCGTGGGGATCTCGGGAGCCCCTGGGGCGGTCAGGGTGCGGTTTTTGCTATGGGGGTTGCGTGCCTTCTGGGGGGCCGCCCCCACAGTTTCTTTACTGCAACTGAGAGGGACAATATCTGTGTGCAACCACCTGGTTTGTAATCCTACAGAGAGGTTTAGAGCGGAGCGGGAGAGGAGGGCGTTTTTCAAATCCATGAACGGCGTGAAACATGCCTCTTGAAACTGTCCTTTTAGCTCAAAGATCGCTGCCGCTTATATTGCGACAAGAGGGATATTTTAGATGTCACTTTGCTCCGGAACAAAGGTTAACGCAAGGCAAAAGCGGTCTATCCCAGTCGAGCAGGATGAAAATAGTTTACGATGTTATGTCATTAGAAGAACAGCCCAGGCACTACGGTTCTGTTTGATGAGGACTTGGAAGGGCGTTCCCAGCCGTACCTGACCGTGTCCCACCCGGCTGCAGCACCCCGCGGGGTGTGGGCTCCGATGGTCGATTTGGACGGCGGCTGGGAAGAGCTGCCAGCGACACGTCCCTTGGTGGATATGTCGCAGGCATGTGCCCGGTGCCAGTGTACTTGTTCCTTGGCAGGACTGGGGTTGTGCCGATTTGACGTGATTGAGGCTGCGCAAAGCTTAGCGCACTAGCCTTAAGGCTAGTGGCTTCGTAGGGTTTCCCGTTCGCACAAGCATGCGTTCGGAGTTGTGTCGGTGCATATGTAAGCTGTGTCGCGTGGACAACTAGGAGATAGTCAGGCTGCACTTAGCTGTTAGCAAAGGTGAATTAAAGGTTCCTTCACCTAGTGGCAAGGGCCCCAGGGTTATCAATCGAATCTCCATGGGGTGTAGAGGAAATAGTGCTGATTTCACGACTTCTACATGAAGGCTCGATTCTTGCCTTTTGCACCAGCTACAACACTAGCTCATCATGGCGGAGTCTGGCAGTCCTGTAGGGCACCCGTAATCACCCGTACAGCTGTTTTAGAGTTTGACATATTGTTTTAAACAACTACACGAAAAATAAAGGTTTGTACTAACGAATGGGGCATGACCTGATCGTTGTCAGGCGCAGGAAAAGGGTTTGTGCGCCTTGAGCTCCTTTCCATGAACGGGCTGCAACGTCGAGCATACTGATCTTCGCAAATGGTTTAAGCCACGGATCGCAGGTACAGTTGCAAACTTTAGATTTTTGCTTTCACAGCTGCAGGTTAAGAAGACCGCAAATGATGAGATTAAAAGCTTGGGACTCGATTTGTAACTGCTTATTAACCTCTTGCAACAAGGGTGGCGAAGATGCGCCTTCTATCGCATCCTGCATGCTTGCATAGCATTACACTACTGAGCTAGTACATGTCCTTTGCCGATTCACGCTCTGCCACCAGACGAGCGATGTTATTCGTACATCGATACGGGGGCATTGGGCAAGGTGCAGGTAGCTAGCTACCCCGACCTCATTGCGTGCGTCCACTACTCTGTATAATATGTGAATTCAGTCATCAAAACGTTCAAGATACTACTCAAAGTAACAAAGGCCTCGACAGGCACCTCAGGCTTCGACGGGCACGCAATCACTCTCTACCCTTCCGACAGCCCACGATCTTCTTTGTAAGGGCAGACCACTTGATCCACACTTTTTCAGCTGATCAGGACTATTACACAAGACCATTCTGCTAGGATTTGCAATTTTCAAGGAATTTCATATCATCCATGCTCACAAGAACTTGGATCTTCCCCAGATGCCGCCGTTTGCCTTGATACTGGAGCCCGCAACTTTGTGAAAACCGTTCAAGAGAGCCCATGACGACGACTCAAGGTAAACCCATGATTAAGGAGCAATCTGGTTGATGTCTTCTCGGATCTATCATGGCATCAGCGCTGCTACACGTCCCCCCGTTCGCGAACGGGTGCTCCGGTCGGAGCAACACAAGCGTTCGTTCTTTCCAGGATCGAACCTGCCTGCAGTCACAGCTTATTATTGCATCAGACGAGCGTTTAGATACTAGTCAAAAGTCGCTACGAGATCCTTGCAACTCGCTATGACTTCTACCTGACTTTGCCGCCCGTATCGCTCATTGCTGGCGACCATCAGCCAGTTCAGTCTCTGCTGAGCGCACCTGCAACCTGGTTGTTACGTTTTATTGAGCCTTGGCAGGTCACAATGGTTCATTGCCTATCGTTGCTGTTTATCGCGAAGTCAAGTGGCTCCGCAGGCTCCGGATACAAAATAGGGTAAACTCCCCGGCAGCCTCGTGCATGATGATCTACACGTATCCCCCAGGTCCTCCAAACCTCCGCTGCCTTTTTTAGACGGGCTTCCCACAACGTGGCAGTAAACTGCAAAATGTAGCAGGTGTAGCAGGTGGTGACCACCTTAGATTTTAGGCTATGATTCACACGCTGCAGGCTTCATGTGCTTCATTTACGAGCTGCCGGCTTACCGCGGCCCCAACCCCCTCCCCGATCCCCACTTGAAAACCCACCATTTCATATCCTGTATTCAAATTTAGCTATGTGAACCCGCCATGTGATCGCCGTGCTGCCCTCGGCACCAGGATGGGCTCTCCTCACCTTCGTCCAGCTCTGGATCTTGGGCAACCTGGGCGCCTCAGCACAACGAGGGGCCCATTTACCGATAGCCTCGTCCACGACTGGACCACTGCAAGCATCATCACCATCCGGAAATACAGCTAACCTCGCACATGTGCACCAACCGAATCCATCAAGCCCAACACCGCGCACACCGGACCCACCGAGTCCGATGCCACCGCCACGCCGACCGCGGCGCCCACCGAGTTCACCACCGGGCCCACCGAGCCCGCCGAGTCCGCCGAGGCCACCGCGTCCACCTATTCGACCACCGCGTCCACCTATTGGATCACCGAGTCCACCTACTGGACCACCGAGTCCACCGAGTCCACCGAGTCCACCAAACAAGAAAAATAAAACACCGTGCTCTACATGCCCATCACCGCACGCGCACCCCTCACGCCCCCCCGTGCCACCCCCCATTCCGCCACCTCCACTGTCGCCTCCGCCTCCGCGGCCGAGCCCTCCGCCACCCCCCATTCCGCCACCTGCACTGTCGCCTCCGCCTCCGCGGCCGAGCCCTCCGCCACCCCCAATTCCGCCACCTCCACTGTCGCCTCCGCCTCCGCGGCCGAGCCCTCGGCCACCCCCCATTCCGCCACCTGCACTGTCGCCTCCGCCTCCGCGGCCGAGCCCTCGGCCACCCCCAATTCCGCCACCTGCACTGTCGCCTCCGCCTCCGCGGCCGAGCCCTCGGCCACCCCCCATTCCGCCACCTGCACTGTCGCCTCCGCCTCCGCGGCCGAGCCCTCGGCCACCCCCCATTCCGCCACCTGCACTGTCGCCTCCGCCTCCGTGGCCGAGCCCTCGGCCACCCCCCATTCCGCCACCTGCACTGTCGCCTCCGCCTCCGCGGCCGAGCCCTCGGCCACCCCCCATTCCGCCACCTGCACTGTCGCCGAGGCCACGCGCCGAGGCCACCGCCGCCCCCCAGTCCACCACTGGACCCACCGTGTCCGATGCCATCGCCACGCCGACCGCGGCGCCAACCGAGTCCACCACTGGACCCACCGAGTCCGATGCCATCGCCACGCCGACCGCGGCGCCCACCGAGTTCACCACCGGGCCCACCGAGTCCACCGAGTCTGCCGAGGCCACCGCGTCCACCTATTCGACCACCGCATCCACCTACTGGAGCACCGCGTCCACCGCGTCCACCGAGTCCACCAAACAAGAAAAATAAAACACCGTTCTCAATATGCCCACCACCGCACGCGCACCCCTCACGCCCCCCCGTGCCAACCCCCATCCCGAAATCTCCACCGTCGCCTTCGCCTCCGCCACCCAGGCGCCCGCCGCCGCGCACACACACAGATATGGGTTCGGATCCCACCACTGGTCCTGGGTGAAATAGATCGCGGTGTCGAATGCTGAGATGAGACACTGGGTTTCTCCAAAGCGCTGGGCGGCTGGATGGTGGGAGTTCACCATGAAGATCTACACACTGCCACCGAGCAGTAGAGTAGGTATAATTATTCATATGACTAGGCTGTACGCCCGATGGTGGTTGGACAATGAAACCGGGCAGCGGCAGGAATTGCAAGGGCGGGGTGGCGCGATCGGCACCGGTATGAGTGGATTGGTCAATCGCGCAGCTGTAGAGCATGCGATCGTGGAGGTTGTGTGTCATCTGAGTTGGTGTATGTAGCTGGTTAGAGGATTCGAATAGGTGACGGCGCCTTGTTGTTGTTGATTAGGGAGAGCGGTTTGAACTCTGACCGGTATAACGCCCCTCAAATGATGGAGAGTGCTTCGGCGGTTGGTCCCGCTGGTATACAGTTAGTGCCCCTGGCCAGCGTCAGGCCCAGATTGATATGTGTGTGTTACATGGTCGTGGGGTGCGTTCCCCCTATCTGCAAACCGCCCTAATACGAGCCGATGGCTCAAGGGCTGCCAGATCGCCTTTAAGCACCGTCCTACCTCGCACTTTAGACAAAGCAAGTGATAATGAATACTAACGACCAAAGGGAACGACAGAGTTGTGGTGGGACCACATACGTTCCAGCATCCTTGCCAGACGTTCAGGTTCCCACTTCAGAGCGTCCTCCATATGCTCGAAGTGTGGAAAATCCATGTCAGATCTGATTTGCACCAGACAGTCCAGCAGAGCATGTTTTCCATCTTCAATATGGCTATCAGTGCCGCAACAGAGGCATACTCGCTCCTCCCTATGTATATAGACAAGTCGGGTGTCGGCTTCCTCGAAACCGGAAAAAGGGCGGGCACCCCCTGCATCCGTACAGGCCGGTAGCTAGCGAGGCACGTGTGACAATTGATGGGTAGTATGAACGCGATGGGAGATGTGCTTGTTGCAGCAGTGCTGATGGTGTGGGAGTTAAGCTTGCACCAGCGGGATCGTCAGCACCGCCTGCGGGCTCCACGCGAATCGCATCCATCCCGGGTGCATGCCGCATGGACAGTGTGGCAGACCGCAAGTCGGAATGCCCGTGCGGGCAAATGGTAACGCAAGCTGGGTGTTCAAGTTATCATACGCTGTCATCTCGGAATTCAATTATGAGATACGCGGCACTTTTTGAGATTAGATTTAGCCCAAGAGGCGTTGATGTGACTTTGAGCTCGGTCAATGGAGGCAGCCAAAGTTGTTTGTGCTCATGCAATCTTTGTTGGCTACAGGCGAGATACCTTGCAATAGCGAATGCAGTATATTACCGATAACGTGTTTCAGCCGGGCGAGATATTGTGTTTGGTCCGTTACACACACACGGCCACACGGCCACACGGACATGGGCAATCCCACAGGTCGGGGGCCCCCTGGGCGCTTCGCGCTGGGGCCCCGCCCAAAAACGGAGGAGTAGTGGCCCCCATCCCGCCAATTCGGGGTTGGAGAGGGACTCTACGACCTCCTGTCGCAAGATTGGTGTGACATGGACCCACGCTGTAAACGGACACAGTTCCAAAACCTCACAATCTGCTTGACAACGTGGTAGTGTAGGGGTAGCCGCGACAATTCAGCGAACAGGAGGCGGTGCGCTGGTCTGACTGCTCTCACAATTTGCCGCATGAACGATACCTGAAGCTGCACCGCTCCATCCTTCAGACATGCCTCGAAGGCCCCTTCTGCAAGGTTACTCACATCATTCCGCCTCATGAGCCTGTCCAAGAGATAAACGGGCCCCGCACTTGAAAGCCACACAACAGAATTGCTCGTACTTGCCTATCAGAACACCTCATCCTCACATCTATATTGATATTCGTGCTGAAGAGGGATTCGATCATCAACAAAGCATGTTGGAGGCCATGAAATGGGAACCAGCACGTCTGGCGAGGATGTTGGAACGTATGTGGGCTCACCGAAACTCAATTACCCCCTTTGGACGCTAGTCTGGGCTGATGTGCGGTGTTTTCCTTTCCTCCGTGGCTTTTAGGCGTTGTAGTATTGCCCTTGGGCCTTCGGCTCGTATGGGTAATCTTAGAGGTATGGGGTTACGCACCCCCAACCATGTAACACACACACACACACATCTGGGGCGAACAACTTAAGCGAACAGCGTCATCAGCATAGAGGAGGATGTACACTCGCTCGTTTCCAACCGAGAGATCGATATGTAACATATACACACAAACCTGCGGCTTTCGGCTGCTTAGGAGGGGACAGAGGCGCCTCACGCCCCTCTCCCATCCGCGAGAGAGCTTAGGTGGCCTTTCTGTGGGGGCTGGGCAGCAGTCCCTGGCCAGTGTCAGGCCTGGTCAGATACTTGTAACGTTCACACAAACACACACAAAACACACACATACGGGTGCTGGGAGGACCCCGGTAATTGGGCTATCCCGCTGGTCAGGGAGGGGATAGGCCTGAGGGTCTTTCTTTGTTGGGTCTGGGTAGAGGGCATAAGCATATGCGTTCGGAGTTGTGTCGGTGCATGTGTAAGCTGTGTCGCGTGGACAACTAGGAGATAGTCAGGCTGCACTTAGCTGTTAGCAAAGGGTCCTTCACCTAGTGGCAAGGGCCCCAGGGCTGTCAATCGAATCTCCATGGGGTGTAGAGGAAATAGTGCTGATTTCATGACTTCAATGCCATAGAAAATACCTGAAGGCTCGATTGCCTTTTGCACCAGCTGCAACACTAGCTCATCACGGCGGAGTCTGGCGGTCCTGTAGGGCACCCGTAATCACCCGTACAGCTATTTTAGAGTTTGACATATTGTTTTAAACAAATACCCCCAAAATAAAGATTTGTAAAAATGAATGGGGTATGACCCGATAGTGGTCAGGCGCAGGAAAAGGGTTTGTGCGCCTTGAGCTCCTTTCCATGAACGGGCAGCAACGTCGAGCTTTGAAAATGGTGCAAGCTACGGATCGCAGGTACAGTTGCAATCTTAGATTTATGCTTTCACACCTGCAGGTTAAGAAGATCGCAAACGATGAAAACTCAAAATTCGGGACTCGATTTGTAACTGCTTATTGATCTCTTGCAGAAAGAGTGGTAAAGATGCTCATACTAGCGCATCCTGCATGCTTGCATAAGCATTAAACTACTGAGCTAGTACATCTCCTTTGTCAATTCACGCTCTGCTACCCAGACGAGCGGTGTTATTCGTACATCGATACGGGGCATTGGGCAAGGTGCAGGTAGCTACCCTGACCTCATTGCGTGCGTCCACTACTCTGTATCATATGGGAGTTCAGACCTCCAAACGTTCAAGATAGTACTCAAATTAAGAAAAGCCACGACAGGCACCTTAGGCTTCGACGGGCACGCAATCACTCTCTACCCTTCCGACAGCCCACAATCTTCTTTGTAAGGGCAGACCACTTGATCCACATTTTTTTCAGCTTTTCAGGACATCTTTTCTGTATTTTTTTACATGGTAATGGCTTACTTATGAGGATGATGCATGTATGCTGACTACCATAAAACTCAAACAATAACAACAGATCATATTGCTAGGATTTGCAATTTTCAAGGAATTTCATATCATCCATGCTCACAAGAACTTGGATCTTCCCCAGATGCCGCCGTTTGCCTTGATACTGGAGCCCGCAACTTTGTGAAAACCGTTCAAGAGAGCCCATGACGACGACTCAAGGTAAACCCATGATTAAGGAGCAATCTGGTTGATGTCTTCTCGGATCTATCATGGCATCAGCGCTGCTACACGTCCCCCCGTTCGCGAACGGGTGCTCCGGTCGGAGCAACACAAGCGTTCGTTCTTTCCAGGATCGAACCTGCCTGCAGTCACAGCTTATTATTGCATCAGACGAGCGTTTAGATACTAGTCAAAAGTCGCTACGAGATCCTTGCAACTCGCTATGACTTCTACCTGACTTTGCCGCCCGTATCGCTCATTGCTGGCGACCATCAGCCAGTTCAGTCTCTGCTGAGCGCACCTGCAACCTGGTTGTTACGTTTTATTGAGCCTTGGCAGGTCACAATGGTTCATTGCCTATCGTTGCTGTTTATCGCGAAGTCAAGTGGCTCCGCAGGCTCCGGATACAAAATAGGGTAAACTCCCCGGCAGCCTCGTGCATGATGATCTACACGTATCCCCCAGGTCCTCCAAACCTCCGCTGCCTTTTTTAGACGGGCTTCCCACAACGTGGCAGTAAACTGCAAAATGTAGCAGGTGTAGCAGGTGGTGACCACCTTAGATTTTAGGCTACGATTCACACGCTGCAGGCTTCATGTGCTTCATTTACGAGCTGCCGGCTTACCGCGGCCCCAACCCCCTCCCCGATCCCCACTTGAAAACCACAACACCATTTCATATCCTGTATTCAAATTTAGCTATGTGAACCCGCCATGTGATCGCCGTGCTGCCCTCGGCACCAGGATGGGCTCTCCTCACCTTCGTCCAGCTCTGGGTCTTGGGCAACCTGGGCGCCTCAGCACAACGAGGGGCCCATTTACCGGTAGCCTCGTCCACGACTGGACCACTGCAAGCATCATCACCATCCGGAAATACAGCTAACCTCGCACATGTGCACCAACCGAATCCATCAAGCCCAACACCGCGCACACCGGACCCACCGAGTCCGATGCCACCGCCACGCCGACCGCGGCGCCCACCGAGTTCACCACCGGGCCCACCGAGCCCGCCGAGTCCGCCGAGGCCACCTATTGGACCACCGAGTCCACCGAGTCCGCCGAAGCCACCGAGGCCACCGCGTCCACCTATTCGACCACCGCGTCCACCTACTGGACCACCGAGTCCACCTACTGGACCACCGAGTCCACCGAGTCCACCGAGTCCACCAAACAAGAAAAATAAAACACCGTGCTCTACATGCCCACCACCGCACGCGCACCCCTCACGCCCCCCCGCGCCACCCCCCATTCCGCCACCTCCACTGTCGCCTCCGCCTCCGCGGCCGAGCCCTCGGCCACCCCCCATTCCGCCACCTGCACTGTCGCCTCCGCCTCCGCGGCCGAGCCCTCCGCCATCCCCAACTCCGCCACCTGCACTGTCGCCTCCGCCTCCGCGGCCGAGCCCTCGGCCACCCCCCATTCCTCCACCTGCACTGTCGCCTCCGCCTCCGCGGCCCAGCCCTCTGCCACCCCCAACTCCGCCACCTCCACTGTCGCCTCCGCCTCCGCGGCCGAGCCCTCGGCCACCCCCCATTCCGCCACCTGCACTGTCGCCTCCGCCTCCGCGGCCGAGCCCTCCGCCACCCCCAACTCCGCCACCTCCACTGTCGCCTCCGCCTCCACCAAACAAGAAAAATAAAACACCGTGCTCTACATGCCCACCACCGCACGCGCACCCCTCACGCCCCCCCGCGCCACCCCCAATTCCGCCACCTCCACTGTCGCCTCCGCCTCCGCGGCCGAGCCCTCGGCCACCCCCCATTCCGCCACCTGCACTGTCGCCTCCGCCTCCGCCTCCGCGGCCGAGCCCTCCGCCATCCCCAACTCCGCCACCTGCACTGTCGCCTCCGCCTCCGCGGCCGAGCCCTCGGCCACCCCCCATTCCTCCACCTGCACTGTCGCCTCCGCCTCTGCGGCCCAGCCCTCTGCCACCCCCCATTCCGCCACCTGCACTGTCGCCTCCGCCTCCGCCTCCGCGGCCGAGCCCTCGGCCACCCCCCATTCCGCCACCTGCACTCGCCTCCGCCTCCGCCTCCGCGGCCGAGCCCTCCGCCACCCCCAACTCCGCCACCTCCACTGTCGCCTCCGCCTCCGCGGCCCAGCCCTCCGCCACCCTCCATTCCACCACCTGCACTGTCGCCTTCGCCTCCGCCGCCCAGCCCTCTGTCGCCAACCCCCATTTCGCCACCTCCACCTCTGCCGACGCAGCTGCCACCTCCTCCGAACATCTCGTCCGATTTGGGCAGCCCCCATCCCCCATTCCCTGTACCGCCACTCGCACCATTGCCGCTTCCTCCGCATCCACCGCTCTTCCCACCGCCTACTTCTCCCCAGTCACCGCTGCCACCGCGGCCACAGCCTCCACAAGACGACGACCCACGGGTCTTAACAGGCACAGCGCGTTTCATTGGGCCCGCGGCTTCATGCGTGGTAAGGGAGGGCACAGCAATCCACCTAGGGCTGACGGACCGGGTTTACCCACCTGCAGTAGTTGGGCGCAGCACTGACCAACCTCTCATTGGATCTAGTGCAACTAGGTTCATACGTTGTTGATGGTCGATTGTGGTGGTCTTCGTGTTTTGGGAAGGCATACGGTTCTTGACCTGGTATATATGTGTGTGTGTGTGTGCGTTTGTGTGTGTGTGCGTTTGTGTGTGTGCGCGCGCGTGGAGCAGGGTAGTGGATTTCCGGTTGATTGTGATCATCCGTTGTATCAACGCCATGAAGAATGAACAACAAAGTGCAACTCCCGGAAGCTTTCCCCCTCGCCCCTTGGTCTTATTTTCACTTCCCACTTCTGACTGACTTAACCACACGGCCGCACACACGCATTTTGCAGGGAGCGGTTTGGACTTCAGGGCCCACCCTAGGGGCTCCCGAGTCCCCTGCCGCTGAATCCGGATCCTCAGGATCTGGATCTGGATTTGGATTCAAAGCCGAAGGTGGTTCAGTGACTACGGGCTCTGGAGGCGATCTGGCGGTCCTCCTACCTCAGGGAGTAACCTCCACCGCGGCGAATTCGCTGGTGAGCTGTCTGAGCCGGTGCGGGGTGGGGTATTTAGATGCCATGTGGCCATGGTATACGTTGTCCGAACGACAACGAGCAATCCGTTGCATGTAAGTATGCAATCGAGTGCTTATGACAGAACAGAACGAACGGATGCGGGAAAGGAATTACGTGGCGGGACATCGGGGATTTTAAAATCCAGCACCAGCGCCAGCGGAATAAGGTGGTGCGGCGTGCAGGCAACTAGAGACCCTGGCAATGTTAATAAGCGTGAGCATCAGGAGTCAGGAGCTGGGTCGCCGCAAGTAAAGACCGGCTGCTGCTGCTGCGTTGAATTCCTCCGCCGTGCGGATGGCATTTTTCTTTGTGGATGGTAGGTTGGCGAGGAGGATGCCCGAACATCTGCGCACGTAAAGACAGCGGGGTGGAGTACAACAGGGCATCATGACACCAAGTGCTCCACAGCGCACCCACACGCGGTTCCTACATGTTCCGGTGCTCCCAGTGTAGCTCTTTCCGTTGCTCTGGTGCCGCTCCGGGGTGCCCCCTTCTGGTGCTCTGCTCGGTTAACCCACATCATGGGTTAACACATGACGTCCCAGCGATGCCGCTTCCATCCCCATCCCTTACATGTTTTGGTGTAAAGCCGTGTTTCTTTCAAATATTTTCCATCTTTCCGTACTTTGAACCCAGTCTGGCCTCCGGTTGCCCGTTCTGCCTGCGTCGAACACCAAACAGACCGTGCAGCTAGACGCCTCCGTCGCCGGCTGCTACGATGCGTTTACGGGTTTGAAGCTGCCGTACGACATCTCCTCCTCTTTGAGCCTGACGTCACCGTTGGTAGTCACTCCGGTCACGACACTGCTGGCAGCAGCTGTGGCCGCCGTCACCTCCGGAGGCGACGACTCGCTTTCCTCAGGCACGGTCGTGGAGAGAGCGTACGGCATGGTTGGAGTGAAGGTTACGGCATCTGCTGTCGCTGGTGGGCTCGTAGCTTTGCGCCAGGCTGATATTGACGAGAGGTACTGCGCTTTGTGTTTTCGCTTCCAGGGGGCCTGTTGATGTTGTTACAAGGTGGTATAGCTTCACCAGTGACCTCCTTCCCGAGGCAATTCCCTGCTATCCCCTGCTAGAGGGGCACCCTAATCCATTCACCCTATCCGCCTTCAGAGTGTATTCTTTGGGTTTGGCAACTCACCACCAGCATCCAACCAAATGTAGCGGATCAACGGCACCTCAACCTTGCTCCTGGTTAGCTCGTTGTTTCACGTCCTACACCGTCCACAAAATGAGGGGCCACATTCCATTACATCACTCCTCAGACACCCGAGGTGTCAGCAGGCGAATTTGAACCTGGACATTCAGGGAGCAGAAGTCAGGCCTTGACCTCTGCCAGCCACCTGCCGTTGTCCTATTGTTGTGGATTACTAAAATCATTCGGTGCTTTCATGTATTGGTTAGGTTGTATTATGTGGGTTATGTAGGGCAAACTCGACCTTGGTTTGAAGATGCGGTGCTCTCTGCTCACGGTATTGCGGCTCGAACTTCCACTTCCCACTTCATTTGCGGCTGGATAGCTTCCCCCCAGCCTCATCGTTCCCACGACAGTCCCAGGGTCCTCCGCCCTCCCCCTGTGCAGGCGAACGGGCGTGCGAATGGTGTTCGCCGACGCGGCCCTCTCCTCGCTCGTCATCACCGGGGCCGCGGCACTTGCGGCCTTCCCCGCGGGCACATTGCCCTCTTGTACGACGGAAGCGGCGCTCGTTAATGCAGTGTACGGCAGCCTGGCCGCGCACATCAACACGTCGGCGTCACTCGCCATATCGCTGGACGGCACGTCGTTGCTGAGTGACGTCGTGACGGCGGCGGCGAAGGACAAATGCGGAGCATCGACGGCGACCATGTCGAACAAGGACGTGCAGGCGTTACTGACCCAAGGGTCACTACTCTACCGGATGGTGCAAAGCTCCTTGCTGTCTAACGGAAGTAGCAGCAGCAGCAATGGCGGTAGCATTATTGACGATGAGCTGGCGGTGTTGCCCCTGGAGGCTCTTTCGACGGCGTCGCGCGTGTCGTACGTCGTACAGACGCAAGCACCGACAGTGCTGAAGGCTCTAAGCAGCAACACCATGGCTGTACAGGATTTGACAAAGGGTACGGACCAGTACGGATGAACGTCGCGCTAACTTAGCTGCAATCACAATCACAACCAGCAACTGAGAGCTTTGGGGATACAGGACAGGACAATGCCGGGCAATGCCGGACGATGTGACGGTCTAGCCAACCGTCTCCTAGCCCACCCCGACCCCTCTCTGTAACATCTGTCTTGCAGCATTACTCCTCGTCGCGTATTCCTCTCACTGTGTGTCCACTGCCGGGTGCACCCGACATTTCACTTATACTCTCTCCTCTTTTACCAATTACCACTGCCCACTCTGTCCGGCTCATGTCGCCGGCAGTCTGGGCCGCGCACCTGGCTGATGCACCCGTCGATTTGGCTGGAATGGCGTCTGAGGTGGGACTGGGCTCCCTGGCGCCGTCTGCGGGCACTCTGCGGATACGAGTGCGGGCACTTGGAGGCCTTAAACAATGCCAGGTGAGGTGGGTGGGTGGGTGCGCAGCGCCCAGGAAGACTGGGAGGCAGGCGGTGAGCGGGGGAAGGCAGGCGGGATGTGGTCTATAAACCTCGGCGCAGGCCCACCGGCCGATTTCTTACCGCCAAGCTGAATTTCCCACGGGTCCCCCCGCTGTCTCTCTCCCCGCTTGAACGGGGGGGGGTGCCCTCCTTCTTTCCGTTCAGGTCCAACTGCAGAGTCCCTACCTCGCGAACAGCACCAATGTCACCACGGACAGCCGTGGCTTTGCTAACGCCAGTGGGGTGTGTGCACCGATGGTGGGTCGGTGGGTACGGCACGAAGGGTCACGAATCTGCTGGCACAGGGGTCGTTCCTTTGTGCGTACATCTCACATCACCGGGCATCTGCCTGTGGGCGCCTCATGCCCGGGGAGACTACGAGCAGGATTTGATGGAAACGACGCTTTAGAAAGCCCTGCCCAAAATACGTATTTGTGTGTGTGAGAGACTATGTGTGTCTGTGTCTGTGTGTGTGTGAATATGTGACTGTATGTGTGTGTGTGTGTGTGTCGCCTGATCGGGAGTTGGGTTGACCTTGTAGTGATGTGGAGTACCCGCCTGCAGGTGACTGTTCCCTCCGGCTGCATGGATTCCGCGCTGTCGGCGAACAATGCTAGCGTCCCGATGCCCCCTTTCAAAGTGAGTAAAGCATGCGGCTACAGATAGACCCGAGTAGTCGATAGCTGCCTATCCGCCTTGCCCCGCCTCTCTCGGTACAGTAGATATATGTGCATGTGTGTGTGAGGGTGTGGGGGGTGCAACTGGTTTTCAAACCCAGCCCCACTTCCCTCGGTCACCTGCTGGCCCCCGCGTTTCCCTTTATCGGCAACTCTCCGGCCGGTCCTGTTAAGGCGCTCGTGCCGTTCAACACCACCGCCGTGATCAACCCCGCCGCCGCTATAGCAACTGCCGCCTTCATGCACCTCCGTACTAATGAGGCCGCTGCTGCCGGCGGGAATGACGAACGTGCTAGCCACATCACCGCCGCCGACTACGCCCTGCCGTACACGTATTTTGGAGTGGGTCTTGTCGGTCGCAAGGACGCCCTGCCGGCTAACACGAGTTTCGTTAGTCAGGAATGGAAAGCGGGGAGCCTCCTTGATCAGCGTGCGTTCTTAGTGAACCTGAGGTTGCTGTTGGTGCTCAACACCAGCTCTGAGGTCGTGCTAGGTAAGCGGGGGTTCACCAACTTTGTCTGCGCACCAGGCAAAGAGCGTCGATTATTCCGCTTTCGTCTGAACGCACAGCACAATTTCTTTGTGCATGTTTGGGTTTTGGGTTTGTATGTGTTTGTATGTGTTTGTATGTGTTTGTATGTGTTTGTATGTGTTTGTATGTGTTTGTATGTGTTTGTATGTGTTTGTATGTGTTTGTATGTGTTTGTGCGTGTTTTGTGTGTGTTTGTGTGTGTGTGTTACGACAGCTGCCATAGAGCGCTACCGTGTCCGGTATATGGCTTGCTGCTGGGTACTGTTTCAGACCAAGACTACTGTGGTCTAATCGCATACACCACCTTTTCTTCGCCTGGGCCCCCTCGCCCGTGATCTCCCTCGCAGGCCTGCAGCGCCCAGCAGGGACCCCAGCCGATGAGGTCCAGAAGGACCGGGTGGTTTCGGCGCTGGTCTCCCAAATCGCAGCAGACATGCTGTCCAACAAGCTGATGATTACGGAAAGAAGCTACCTGGAGGGCCTCATAATGTCGGTCTACAAGGAAACTCGCGGATCGACGACAGGAGGTTCCCGCCGTGCATTGCAGCAGTCGGAGCAGGTGGGGTGCGGGGAAAGAGAGGGGGATATAATGGCGGGCGTGTAGTATGTGGAGTACGTAATCTATCATAGCCGACCTCGTGACAGCGAAAAGCCCATCCTTGCAGCCTTCCAGGAGCACATGTGGAGGTGCGGAAGGAGTTGACGGAGGCCTCGGCTTTGGCTTCCTGGTTTCCACACAGAAGAGAATTCCCTTGTTGTCCTTGCAGCTGGGCTTCACGGGACTTAGCGCAGACAAGCGCAGTCCGTGCCACAGAGCGGAGCTCGGCAGGTGTAATTGGCGGATCTGAACCAACTCCTCCTTGAGAGGGCTTCGGCACCAAAACCCTTGAGCCCTTTCGCGCAAGGATTGCGCCGTGCGGGCCCCTCCGAAAAGGAGAGAGCAATCTTGAGGCCTAAATCGTGACCCTTACGCTTCGACATTATATTTGCAGGTAAAGAAGGTACTGGCAATCACAGCCTCCGTTTTGTCAAATTGCACCAAACGTCTTGAAGGCCTTGACGCGAATTGCACCGCGGCGGCGGCTGATGGCGGCGGCGACGGCAGCGACACGCTAGATGCCATGAGCAAGCAAGCTGCGAACGTGACGGCGATGATGCTGTACGCTGTGGTTCCGGACCTGCGAAACCTTACCACCGCCCGCAGTGACGCCGCCATCGCCGCCATGGAGCAGAATATCGTCAATTCGTACATGGTCGACAACCCCGAAATCCCTGCGGGAATATTCATAGACACCACAGAATTTTCCAACAAGGACGGCGACGCGCTTGCCTCGATCGACAATGGAAATCCGACGCCGGCGCTAGAGGCGCCATCGCGAAGCTTAATACCACCCATGGCGGCAGCCGCTGGGTCACCGCTATCGGGGCAGATTGCGATAGCCCCAGATATCGCGGGGGGGGGGTCGACCCGGGAAGCCGGCCGCGGCACCCTACTGCCTATGAGCATCGCACTGAGTGCTACCATTGGTTCCGTGTTGGTGTTGGCGGCGGCGGTGTTTGCCGTACGCCACGTCAAGGCGCGCAACGCCTTCCGATTCAAGTTGGACGAGAACGCCTTCCGGCTCGCACTGGACGATGGCTCCCCGCCGCCGCTGGCACGGCTGTCATCACCGTGCATGTCTGGCTGTAGTAAAGACGGGCGCAGAGGGAGCCTAGCATCGTCCGAATTGAAAGCGCACTCGAACTTTTCCAATACAAATGATCCAGAGGCCGCATCATCATCACCTCCAGAGGCGGCGGCGCCACCGCCGCCGCTGCCGCTAGCTGTAACGGCCTCGGCATCCGCGCCGGGCTTGCTGTACGACTCGGAAATGTCGCCGCGGAGGCACCACGAACACCATCACGGGCACCAAGAGTTTTTGGTACAGACTCAAGAGCCGCAACAGGAGTGGCAACGGCTGGTACAGACTCGAGAGCCGCACGGCTCTGGGAGCCCGGTAGGTTTGCTACTGCCGCCCCCGGAGCCTCAATTGCTGAACCGCCAGCAGCAGCAGCAGCAGCAGCAAGTAGAGGTGCAAAGCATTCGGGATTTGAAGTCGGCCTCTACGGCACGAGGCCCCGGCCCGGACGCGGATGACTCAAAGGAAACGCCCGTCGAGCTCAACAGCAACGACAAATACCCGTCGTACCATTCCGGGAGCTCGTCCAACAACAGCACAATGCCGTACGGGTCACCGCCTCGCGCTTCAAGTAGCGGCACGGGGAGTGCGGACCAGCCCCAGGCTTACGCGGAGAGTGCCAGGGGGGGCCCTAAATGTACGGCAGTGACAATGGGTTGTACGGAAATTACGCCGGCCGCCGCGGGGCCGGAAGAGGAGGCGGCGGCGGACAACCACTTCGATGGCCGTGCTGGGACGGGCGGTAACCCCATGCAAAGAGTTAACGGCGGCGGGGGCGACGGCGCCTACCCGGCAGCTCGCTCTGCAGACAGTATTCCGATCGCTGCTGCCGGCCAGTCGGCAGAGCTGCCGTCGGAGGCGTTAGCGGCGGTGTTGGCGGCGTTGCGGGCGGTGAGAACATTGGGCTCCTCCATGGACGGAAATCATGAGGGAGCTGCCGGCTTGGATCCGAGATCCGGATCTGGATCTGGACCGAGCTCAAAGGCCTTACATAGTAGCCGCAGCATGGTCAAATCCAGGTCAACAACGGCGGACCCGTCGCCTTGGCCAACGCCGCCAGGGCAGGTCACATCCCCGGCCGAGGACGCGCCGCTGCAGCGGCCCTCAATGGATGCGGTGCCATCGCCTCCACCGCCTCCACCACTGCCGGGGTCGGGATTTCCCTAAGGTGAAGGGAGCTGCAATGAGAGACCGAAGGTGGGTGGGCAGCGCACATCTCCCCATCAGAGACGCGGTAACGGCGGGCGAGTGCAAGGTGGGCCGATGCCGCCAGTGCGGCTGCGTGGGATGTTCAGGGACACTGAGCGCGTGTTCGCTGTCCCCCGGGAGCAGGCCATGTTCCCTGTCCTCTACCCCCAACCCACCCGGGGTTGAGAAACCTTCGCGGAGGGCAGCACACACGGGGCCATGGCCATGGACGTGGACAGGATTGGCGGTAGGTGAAAATCTGTGTCGCCGATCTTTATACTGGACCGCCGTGTAGCGAGATTTGGATGTGATGCATTAGATTGCCATCAGTAGCTGTGGTTGGATATGTCTCGGTGATTCAGGTACGGCAGGTACGGCACGTTTGGCAGGATAGGTATGGCAGAATTCGGTTGGCAGATTGCTCGGGCGTTTTCGACGGAGAGGCTTGCGGAGTTGTAAGGGTTTCTTTCGGTTTTGTTATCGCGTCATGGGTGTTGTATGGCGCAAAATGGATGCTGTCGTACATTGTCGTGATTGTCATGATTGTCGTGATTGTCGTAATTGTCGCGTGTGCATGGCGCGCTGGAAGATTTGCGCAAAGAAGGAAGCAAACGGAAGCTGTGTTTCTCCATCTCCCTCCTCCCTCCCTCCCTCCCTCCCTCCTCGGTAAAGGCTGGAAATTTGAAGTAACTAGCTGGAAAAAGGCTATTGGTGAATAGCGCAGGAGTGCGCGGAAGAGCGAAGTTTATCATTTCTTAGGTTGCCTTGGATCGCTGATCAAGCTGTTTGCCAGGGGGAGGTTTCGGCAATCCACAGCACCCGGGCGAGACTCTCCTGGATTATGTGGTCTCTAGGCGGTGCGCAATCATCTAGGCTTTCAAATTTTAAACTAGCGGAGGGCGACAGCGACAGCCGGGGAGCTCGAATATAAGTTCAGGGATAAGGGATAAGGGAAGACTTGTGCTGTAACGGTAGCCGTGCCATGTGGCCTCCCGCCGGCTGTCGTACAACGGCCATCGTACAATATTGCACGTATGTAAGTCATCCATCAGGATTGGGCAGCACAATGGATCCCGGGACAATGTCCTTCGCTGGCTTTCAATCTGGTCACACAGTTGTTTTCAGCGCTGGGTCAATCATGTCATGCTTTCCTTGCCATCCGCCTTACTAACTGCCGTACGCAGCAGCAAGTTGTACGGCAATGTCGTTCAGCAATTGCTAGTGTTGCCGCTTCTGCTCATTGTTTTTATTATGCGGTGTAAGACGTTTCCTTATCATGGTCTCATCCAGCAGGCGTACAATACGCAATCTTTCCGAAATTCCCGGTGGCACTGTACTGTCGTACCGCACGCACCGAATCTGTCGTGCACATGCTTGCATTCGCCAATCTTGCATTTGGAGGCATGGTGATGGTAATAATGAGCGCAAGAGGTGAGAGGTCCGGCAGTAACGACTAAGTGTGTATTCAAGGAGCCGCACAACTAACCAACCCGCAATCGAAGTAGCGTGGCGGGTGTTGGGGTCCTCGGGGATTGCCGGAGCCACGAAATGTACCATGTACGAAATGTACGACAATCGACATAATGCCGGAAATCAGCGCAGCTCGGGCGGGCTCCAGCGCTGCCTCTCTTTTCCTGCCTCTCTTCCCTTACCCCAAGGCAACTAGATAAAGCTGTGGACGAAGCGTGACTTAAAAAGGGGATCTTACATGGTTGGGTGTTTGGACGACGTGAAGAATCCACTGAGAGGAATGAATGGCGATGCGGTCCAGGGATTTTGGCGTAGGCACGGCTGCCGAGCTTGGCCTGACTGCCCTGACTGCCTGTACCCAGAATTATGACGATTTCACAACCCTCAGAGCAGTACAGACGCGGGCCGACTTAATTGAGCTTGGCCACAGGGGCCTTCAGGAGTGTTGTTCGCGCGCCTTACGACGGAAGGCTTTGGTGCTTCGTGCGTTACCCCAAGGAATGCGGAGTAGCAATATCGTCCACGGACGACACCGCCAGGAGTTGACCTCTGTAGGGACTCGGCCTGCGCAGTCCCAGCATCGTCCGATCAGGTGACGTGCATAAGGACGGCCTGCTGAGCAGGAGGGTTGCGTGGAAAATGTGGAATCATGTTTAAGCAGCCCCTCGCAGAAATGTGTCCGGTCGTACTTCGCGAATAAAAGGTCCGTACATCACGCCCCAAAAGCCAGGAGCGAATTTCACCGCGCGGTTGCGCGCGTGCGATTCACAAATTGCGCGTGTACAAGTGTATATATTTTTTTTGGCGAAAAGGCCGAGGTGCGCCAGCGCGTTGCGCAGGTGGGCATGTTAGAAACAGCCGCATGCGGCATGCAGGCTGGACTATTGCGTGGATGCTTTGCAGTAACTAAAAGCACGGTCGTAGCTTGCAACTCTGGGCTCGTGAAACTGCCGCGGAAGATGAAGCGGTCGGCGAAGAATCAGCCATAAGGCGCCTGCTTTCGGTAGCGCAGCGCATAATGCACATTGTTCCCACTAAACTCAAGTTACACTCTTACGAAATAAATATCAACAACGCAGAATTAGGTAAAGAGAAGAATCGCGAAAGTCGTTCAGAACCTTGCAAGTAAAATGGATGCCGCTGAGGGCTTGGAACAGCTTTTCGCAGCGCATTCGGCCGTGCCTGCGTTAGCCGTGTTGCAGCAACTACGGAAGGACTTGAGCCAGCAGCAAGCTCAAATTCTGTTTAAGAACCACCGGCATTGTCTTCAGATGGGAACATGTAGTTTTGGTCGGCGCGGGCGAGCAGCGTACGCATTGCGCACAGGTACCGAGGTGCAGCGTCTCAGGATGGATTTCAGCCAACAAAGCCTCAAGAGCTGCTGCACAACCACCGGTGTGTCTTCAGTTGGGCACGTGTAGTTTTGGTCGGCGGGGTCGAGCAACGTATGCATTGCGCACAGAAACCAAGGTGCAGCGTTCTGTAACATCGCCAACATATCCGGTACGCGGTGGCAGGCTTGCCGAGCACGAAATGAAGGGGGGGTCGCATCTCACCATTCAACTAAGCATGCATGTGCTCGGTTGAATGCTCGGTAGCATGCGAGTTTACCCCTATCAGGATGTTTGTTTGCATATCCCCCCAAGCGAGAGGGCTTGCACCTATGCTGATGTTCGTTCCAAGAAATGAACTGAGGACTGATGCTACGGTGAAAGATTTGCACGTAAATTCGCCCGTGCAATAAAACGCCCTGTAACTCGCTTACGCTAATCTCACATTCCAATATGCCACTGCACTTTCCTCTCCAGCCTGGCCACATTATCTTCCTCGCAAACGTACTTGGGCACCATACAATCCAACACCATACGTGCTTTAGAAACGCGGGCAGCTGCTTCACAAGGGCCCCCATCTTTCCCTCCATGCTCCGGAATCAGACCGTACGGAAGCACCGGAAAATGTAATTGGTCCCTATGGTGGTCTGCATCGACAGCCTATTCGTGTTACACAAGCATAGAAAATGCTGCGTAAAGCTTTCATTCAGCTTGGATTGGGCGCTGTCCTGACAGGCGGGAAATGCAGCCGATTTACAGAGCTTGCAGCACCGCTCGCCGCCCGCGGATTCGCCACAACTTCATCTGATACTTCTACATCTACAACGGAAGGAAAAGTACAGATTTGGGTGGGCAACCTGCCTTTTCGGGCCCAACCCCGGCACGTCAGGGAACGTTTCGCACCATATGGTGTCGGTCGCGTCTTCATTATGCGAGACAAGGAAACGGGGAATAGTCGAGGAATGGCCCTTGTCGTGGTTGACGCGGACAAGTGCGACAAGGTGAGGCACACGGAAATACTCTTTTGCACAGGCTATGCGACCGCGTTGCCTTCCCCTATGATGTTTTAGCTCGTTAATATGACCACTTATGGGGTCGCCGCTTCGCGGAATTTCATAACCGGGGGAAAAGCTTTCAAGTTCAACAGGCCTTTCGGCGTGCAGCTCAAAGCTGCATCCAGGGAATATCCTTACGTGGAAAAAGACGTTTATAAATATATATTAAAATTACGTCCCGGCGAGGAACCTGTTCGCCTGGAACTTCCGGTGACCGCCACGTAGCCAGCCTAATGGGAAGCAGCTGCGAAAGCTTTAGCTTCGTGCTCTGGGGGAGGGAGCCACATTTTGGGCATTCCGATTATAGCTGCATGCCAACACAGGGCTTTATCCGTATGTAGGCCTAGCGATTTCCCGTACCGCAGGGGACGTCCAGTAAGAAGCAAAGAAACTGCCAGGTCCGGAGGTCCTGGGCACGACCCAAATGGCGTCATTCCAGGATTGAGTTTCGGATATAGGAAAGGGCTTTAGGTATGTACTTAAATAGATAGACCTGGAAAAGCCGTCGGTGTCCAGGCCCTTGACACCCCCGTTTGTACTCTGCGCTTCCCGACTTCCCTGCACCACCCTCCACCCCTTCCATCCACCTAAACCCCCGGGGCCCCCACATACACACCAACACAAGCCGCGTCTCTCCCCGCTTTCAGGCCATAGCCGATAACAACGGAGCGGACTTCCAGGGCAGGACGTTGAGAGTGGCCATGTCCACAACCCCCATGCCCACACTCAAGGAGGGACCTCCTGCCTCCGATCCCGCCGGAGCAACTGCCGCTGCCGCTCCTACTTCTGGCCCCGCCTCTACTGCTTCAAGCGCCCCGGCAAGCCCTGCTTCTCCCGCGAAAGCTGCTCCTGCCACGGACGCGCCATCAGGAGCACCAGCCTCAGCAGCCCAAACACCAGTAGCATCCGGGAATGCTGTCAACAACAACAAGCCAGCCTTCCCAGGAAAGCCGCAACCGCAAAAGGGTGCGCCACAGTCGGCAGCAGCAGCTGTATCAGAACCGACCAGCTCACCCTCTACCTCCCCCCGCCCCTCGGGCAGCAGCACGTGAGTGAGCAAGTGGCCTGGTGGTGGATCAGGGTGTTGAATTGAGGCCTCTGTGGACCGCCGCGGGTCGTTCCATGTGGACCCCGGCTTTGAACGTGGACCCCGGACAAGAAGAGGAGGACAAGGAGTGCGTGGAAGTGGGATGTGGAAGTGGAGATGTCCTTCCCTGGTTCGATAAACAGGAGCGTGTAAGAAGAAGGGCTTTGCATTCGGGATGCGGTACACGGCAGCGCACTTGGTATTTCGCACTTGACGGATCTCTCCGCATGCCGTGCCATGTTAGAGCTTTGTCGAATGTATGATTGAGTTACGACGGGATGTTAGGGACACGATATTGTTATGTTTGCACAGGGGATGTATAGCGGGTTGTGTGGCCCGCGGGGCACGCACACACAAACATACACCCCGACTTCCCTCTCGTCCTCCTGCCGGTGTGGTTTGACGCGGGGCCTAGCGGCCGAGCACCTCCCTGGATTGGAGTTTCGTGTTTCCGCACACACGACGTCCCATGGAAAGTCCTTCGACTGTCGCGTTCTGGCTGGCTATGGTGTATGCACTCGCGCGTTTGCGCACGCTCCAGCACATATACATATGCTTTTCCAGGTTACGTCATTTCACACCTGTCGCTGGTTGTGTATCAGCTGTCAAGGTGTAGGGTTTTGTAATGATGCGTGTGCTGGCTGCTGCTACTGCTCGGTCTCGCAAGGGAGGGAGGGAAGTGAGAGGAAGGAGTGTGGCGGAGGGGCTGCAAGACGAACAGGGACACACGCCGACATGGTGCTGACCAAGCCGACATGGTGCTTGAAGCCGGTGGTGGAAGGCGTTGTAGGCGGCGGATGGCGCTTGTGCGTGTGGCAATGTGAGGAGGGAGAAGTAGTGGAAGGGCGCTGCTGCCGTTCCCAGCCGTACCTGACCGTGTCCCACCCGGCTGCAGCACCCCGCGGGGTGTGGGCTCCGATGGTCGATTTGGACGGCGGCTGGGAAGAGCTGCCAGCGACACGTCCCTTGGTGGATGTATCGCAGGCATGTGCCCGGTGCCGGTGTACTGGTTACTTGGCAGGACTGGGGTTGTGCCGGTTTGACGTGATTGAGGCTGCGCTAAGGCTAGTGGCTGCTAGTGGCTTCGTAGGGTTTCCCGTTTGCAAAGGCATGCGTTCGGAGTTGTGTCGGTGCATATGTAAGCTGTGTCGCGTGGACAACTAGGAGATAGTCAGGCTGCACTTAGCTGGTATGCTAAGGTGAATTAAAGGTTCCTTCACCTAGTGGCAAGGGCCCCAGGGTTATCAATCGAATCTCCATGAGGTGTAGAGGGAAATAGTGCTGATTTCAAGGCCTCAAATGCCGTAGAAGTTACCTGAAGGGTCGATTCTTGCCTTTTGCACCAGCTGCAACACTAGCTCATCACGGCGGAGTCTGGCGGTCCTGTAGGGCACCCGTAATCACCCGTACAGCTGTTTTAGAGTTTGACATACTGCTTTAAACAACGACACGAAAAATAAAGCTATGTTGATATGAATGGGGCATGACCTGATCGTTGTCAGGCGCAGGAAAAGGGTTTGTGCGCCTTGAGCTCCTTTCCATGAACGGGCTGCAACGTCGAGCATACTGATCTTCGCAAATGGTTTAAGCTACGGATCGCACGTACAGTTGCAATCTTTAGATTTACGTTTCCACAGCTGCAGGTTAAGAAGACCGCAAATGATGAAAATTCAAAGATAAGGACTCGATTTGTAACTGCTTATTAATTTCTTGCAGAAAGAGTGGTAAAGATGCTCCTAATAGCGCATCCTGCATGCTTGTATAAGCATTGCATTACTGAGCTAGTACATCTCCTTTGTCAATTCACGCTCTGCTACCCAGACGAGCGGTGTTATTCGTACATCGATACGGGGCATTGGGCAATTGCAAGGTGCAGGTAGCTACCCCGACCTCATTGCGTGCGTCCACTACTCTGTATCATATGTGAATTCGGACCTCCGAAAAGTTTAAGATTATACTAAAAAGATAACCACGACAGGCACCTCAGGCTTCGACGGGCAACACCATCAGTAACGCTCCCTATAGGGTAGCTACCCTTACGATCTTAAGGGCAGACTACTTTGATCCACACTTTTTCAGCTGATCAGGACATCTTTTCTGTTTTCTGTACCTGGTAATGGCTTACTTATGAGGATGATGTATGTATGCTGATTATCACAAGTCTGTTCAAAAAATAACAACAGATCATCCTGCTAGGATTTGCATTTGTCAAGGAATATTCAGATTATCCATGCTTACAAGAACGTGGGCCAGATGCCGCCGCTTGCCTTAATACTGGAACCCGCAACTGTGTGAAAACCGTTCAAAATAGTTCATGACGACAACCCAAGGTAAGCAAATCATTAAGGATTGATGTCTTCTCAGATCTATCATGGCATCAGCGCTGCTACACGTGCAGCCGTTCGGAGCAACACAGGCGTTCGTTCTTCCCAGCCCAGACGAGTGACCAAAGGTTTTTCCCCTTTGCAAAGTCCCTAAAGGGAATGGTGACACCCTTCGATAAATTAATAAATAATTATTTAATAAACATATACATAAATGAATAAGGAAATAAATAAATAGATAACACCATTGTTGTCACTGTTTTTGACACTAAAATCGCTATGAGATCTACTAGTCAACTTGCTATGACTGTCACCTGACTTTGCCGCCCGTATCGCTCGGTGCTAGCGCCCATCAAGCAGGTCAGCCTCTGCTGAGCACACCTGCAACCTGGCAGTTACGTTTTATTGAGCCTTTCACATCATCATTGGTGTATCACTGCTTATTGTTACTGTTTAACGTGAAGTCAAGTGGCTCCGCAGGCTCCGGATACAAAACAGGGTAAACTATGCAGCTCCCCGGCAGCCTCGTGCATGATGATCTACACGTAGCCCCCAGGTCCTCCAAACCTCCGCTGCCTTTTTAGACGGGCTTTCCAGGAAGCAGGCGGTGACCTTAGATTTTAGGGTTCACACATTGTTGGCTTCATGTGCTTCATGTACGAGCTGCCGGGGTTACCGCGGCCCCAACCCCATACCCGATCCCCACTTGAAAACCACAACACAATTTCATATTCTGTATTCAAATTCAGCTCCGTGTAACCCGCCGTGCTGCCCTCGGCACCAGGATGGGCTCTCCTCCTCTGTTTCCAGCTCTGGGTCTTGGGCAACCTGGTCGCCTCAGCGCAACCGGAGCTACCAGGAAGGGCCCAGCCTTCGTCGGCGACTGGACAACTGCAGCTACCACCACCAACAAACCCCAAAACAAATAGCCCCTTGCCACAAGGAATGGCCCCGCATTCGGCGTCGAAGCCATCGCGCTCACCAGCCGACAAACCGGACCCACCACCGCGCCCACGACGCCCACGCCATCCACCGGGCCCCATTTCGCCATCTCCACCGTCGCCTTCGCCTCCGCCGCCCAGGCCCCGGCTGCCACCCCCCATTTCGCCATCTCCCCTGTCGCCTTCGCCTCCGCTGCCCAGGCCCCGGCTGCCACCCCCCATTTCGCCATCTCCCCTGTCGCCATCGCCTCCGCTGCCCAGGCCCCGGCTGCCACCCCCCATTTCGCCATTTCTACCGTCGCCTTCGCCTCCGCCGCCCAGGCCCCGGCCGCCACCCCCCATTTCGCCATCTCCCCTGTCGCCTTCGCCTCCGCTGCCCAGGCCCCGGCCCCCATTCCCCATTTCGCCATCTCCCCGGTCGCCATCGCCTCCGCGGCCAGGCCCCGGCTGCCACCCCCCATTTCACCATTTCCACCGTCGCCTTCGCCTCCGCCGCCCAGGCCCCGGCTGCCACCCCCCATTTCGCCATCTCCCCTGTCGCCTTCGCCTCCGCTGCCCAGGCCCCGGCCGCCACCCCCCATTTCGCCATCTCCCCGGTCGCCTTCGCCTCCGCTGCCCAGGCCCCGGCCGCCACCCCCCATTTCACCATCTCCACCGTCGCCTTCGCCTCCGCCGCCCAGGCCCCGGCTGCCACCCCCCATTTCGCCATCTCCCCTGTCGCCTTCGCCTCCGCTGCCCAGGCCCCGGCTGCCACCCCCCATTTCGCCATCTCCCCTGTCGCCTTCGCCTCCGCTGCCCAGGCCCCGGCTGCCACCCCCCATTTCGCCATCTCCCCTGTCGCCATCGCCTCCGCTGCCCAGGCCCCGGCTGCCACCCCCCATTTCGCCATTTCTACCGTCGTCTTCGCCTCCGCCGCCCAGGCCCCGGCCGCCACCCCCCATTTCGCCATCTCCCCGTCGCCTTCGCCTCCGCCGCCCAGGCCCCGGCTGCCACCCCCCATTTCGCCATCTCCCCTTCGCCTTCGCCTCCGCCGCCCAGGTCCCGGCCGCCCCCCCCGCTTTCGCCATCTCCACCGTCGCCTTCGCCTCCGTCGCCCAGGCCCCGGCTGCCACCCATTTCGCCATCTCCCCTGCCGCCTTCGCCTCCGCTCGCAGGCCCCGCCGCCACCCCCCATTTCGCCATCTCCACCGTCGCCTTCGCCGCAGCGTCGTAAGCCCCGGCCGCCATCCCCATTTCGCCGTCTCCACCGCCGCCATCGCCTCCGCCGGCCAGGCCCCGGCCGCCATCCCCCTTTCGCCATTTCCACCGTCGCCTTCGCCTCCGCCGCCCAGGCCCCGGCTGCCACCCCCCATTTCGCCATCTCCCCTGTCGCCTTCGCCTCCGCTGCCCAGGTCCCGGCCGCCCCCCCGCTTTCGCCATCTCCACCGTCGCCTTCGCCTCCGTCGCCCAGGTCCCGGCCGCCACCCCGCTTTCGCCATCTCCACCGTCGCCTTCGCCTCCGCCGCCCAGGTCCCGGCCGCCCCCCCCATTTCGCCATCTCCCCGTCGCCTTCGCCGCCGCTCCCAGGCCCCGGCGCCACCCCCCATTTCGCCATCTCCACCGCCGCCATCGGCTCCGCCGCCCAGGCCACCGCCGCTCCCCATTTCGCCATCTCCACCGCCGCCCTCGCCTCCGCCGCCCAGGCCCCCCCCGCAACCCATTTCGCCATCTCCACGGCCGCCTTCGCCTCCGCTGCCCAGGTCCCGGCCGCCCCCCCCGCTTTCGCCATCTCCACCTTCGCCTTCGCCTCCGCCGCCCAGGTCCCCCCCGCCACCCATTTCGCAATCTCCACTGCCGCCATCGCCTCCGCCGCCCAGGCCCCGGCTGCCACCCCCCATTTCGCCATCTCAACTGTCATCTTCGCCTCCGGCGCCCAAACCCCGCTCGCCACACACACGCACAAATGTGGGTTCGGATCCCACCGCTGGTCCCCCGGGTGAAATAGATTGAACGCGGAGATGAGACACTGGGTTCCTCCAATGCGCTTGGTGGCTGGAGTGGGAACTCACCATGAAGATCTACACACTGCCGCCGAGCAGTGGCGGAGGAATAATTATTCATAGCACTAGGCTGCACACCAGATGGTGGTTGAACAGTGAAACCGGGCGGCGGCAGGATTCGTAAGGATAGGGTGGCGATCGGCACCGGTGTGAGTGTTTTGACAGATCGCGAAGATGTAGAGCATGCGCTCGGTGGGATGGTGGTTGCGTGGCATCTGAGCTGGTGTTTGTAGCTGGTTAGAGGATTCGAACAGGTGACGGCGCCTTGTTAAGGGAGAACGGTTATAGGACTCTAACCGATACAACGCCCCTCCAATGGAGAGGGTGACGGCGGTTGGTCCCGCTGGTATACAGTTAGTGCTCCTGGCCAGCGTCAGGCCCAGATTGATATGTGTGTGTTACATGGTCGTGGGGTGTTCGTTCTCCGTACCTGCAAACCGCCCAATACGAGCCAAGGGCTTAAGGGCTGTCAGGTCGCCTATAAGCACCACTTATACTTCACCATGTGAATTTCTGGTTGCTTGCCGTCTGACGGTGTTCGTCTGGCTGGAAATCTAGACGCGTATGCTTCCAACCACTCACTAATCGGTCCTTGAACACCAATACCACACCTCCTGTCAATAGCCTGTTCGTCAGCCACTCCACTCGTTCGTCTACCTCGTGTAGCCCTTGCGGGGCCTCTTTCCATACACATCGTGCCCCAGAAAACGTAGAAAACGGAGGAGTAGTGCCCCCCATCCGGCCGCTTCGGGGTTCGAGAGGGACTCTGCGACCTCCTGTTGCAAAACCTGGTGTGCCACAGGCCCACGCTGTAAACGGACACGGTTCCAAAACCTCACAATCTGTTTGGAAACGTAATAGTGTAGGGGTTGCAGCGACAATTCAGCGAACAGAAGGCGGTGCGCTGGTCTGACAGCTTCCACAATTTGCCGCATGAACGATACCTGAAGCTGCACAGCCCCGTCCTTCAGACATGCTTCGAAGGGCCCCTCTGCAAGGTTACTCGCATCACACCGCCTCCTGAGCCTGTCTTCAGCTTTAGCATAAACGGTCCCAACACTTCACATCCACACAACTCGTACCTGCCTATCAAAACACCTCATCCTCACATCTGGGGCGAACAACTTCCGCTTATCCAATTTCGTACTCAGCGCGAACATTGCTGCTCTAGCTGTGTCATACAACTGCTGGCGGCAGGCCCAAAATGGCCGTTCTGGCCCATACACTAACCCCAGATATCGTGCACTCTCCTTAGCCGGTACGGCCTCACCAGCCAGCCTGAGCTCATCACACGATGCTTGAACAGCACTCCTTGTGTCGCTGTCGCTCGCAAGAACAAGGCGTTCACATTTCGACACGTTTGGCTGCATCCCAAAATCATCACAGAACATGTCCACGATTTTGAGCAGCTCCGCCATGCGCCCCGCTGTCGTTGCCAGAGCATAGAGAAGGATGGACACTCGCTCGTTTCCAACATATACACACAAACCTGAGGCTTTCGGCTGCTTAGGACGGGGCAGAGGCGCCTCACGCCCCTCTCCCGTCCGCGGGAGAGAGCTTAGGCGGCCTTTCCGTGGGGGCTGGGCAGCAGTCCCTGGCCAGTGTCAGGCCCAATCAGATACATGTAACGTTCATACAAACACACACAAACACACACACAACAAACACACTCTTTCAATTTAAGAAAGCTATGTACCGGGGTAGTTTGGAGTTGCACCGCTGACCTCGCCCTCAGAACCCCGGGGAGCAAATCGCCCAGCAGCTCTTCTTCCTTGTCCCCAGCAGGAGAGAAAAAGATTGGAGGCTTTATTCCGTCGTCAACTTGGATTTTGCTCAAATGTTCTTCGTGGCGACCGTAAAGCTACGTGTTTGGCTCTGGGACGTGTGATTAAATTGGACATGAAGGGTAAGGAGCGATGTCAAACCTAGGTCGCTGCGGCCCCATCATTGAAGCATGCCCTGGCAAAATTGTGAGTTGCGCTATGGCAGGAAACAGCTCCCGCTTGGCTTTCGGTTTGCCTGCGGTAGGCTTGATTATTCAAGTACATAGTCGCTCAAAGTAGCATCAGTGCGCTTTGCTGTGCGGTTTCCTCACCCTTTTTTGTTGAGGTCCGCGTGTAGACCCCTTGAACTGCGTCTCCAGAAGTTAAGAAAGGTTATCTTGTTTACTGTTCGAATGTGAGATGTGCAAAGCTGTTCACCACCGGTAGCGGTCTGCAAACATGTCAGGGTCCGAACTTCCGACCGAAAAGAACAGCACCGGGTGTCAAGGGCGATTTCAAAAACGTAAAGTTTATATCTTATTACCTTCACACATGAGGTTTTGCTCATACACGGACACCTTGGCTAGGTTTTGTCCATCGCAACTGCCGCACGGCACCTGAAGCGCACCATAGGATTTTGCCCATAAAAGCATTCCATCCAGAGCATTTGGGAAGTATCAATACCTGATTCTTATACACACCTTGAATATGTGCTGCATCTTCAGCCGTGACTCAATTAACAGTTTTGCGACGCGATTTCGGCTGCACAGAAACAGAAGGACAAGCGAGCTGAATATATCACTTTGGCAGCTTATTATGTTTGATTGAGGAAATTTGCAACTTATCCCTGATCAAATCGCGGAGCCCGGGCTTGTTTGTCTGGAAATGGGTGAGACTTCAGGGTTTAGTTTCATGGCACCGGACATTCTTCGAGGCCCCGTCCAATTATTCATGGCATCAGAACATACAATTCTATGCTTAATGCCAGCCTTCTTATTGCGGAGGCTGGGAGTAAATACGTTGGCCGTTCCCCTCGCGGACCCTGTTAACGACCCTGTAGTTCCTTACCAAAGCATCATGCTCCATCGCGTTGTCCCTTCTCGCGCGTTTTCCTTACCTTACTGTTTCAGGTCTCAACGCGGTGACAATTTTCCTCGTTGCGTTCGCTTTGTACCATCGCGCGGACGCGCATTCCGGTGTTCTACCCGTCTTATCGCCGAATTATGGCGCCAGCGGCAGTCTCCCGCCTATCTATCCGCCTATCTACCCGCCCGCATCCCAGCCCCTACCCTCGCCACCAGTTCCATCCATGCCCGCTCCGTCTCCGTCTCTTCGTCCGGTGGCGACGTTTTCGGGCATGGCCAGCTTCCTAGGGCCTGCGGCCGATTGCAAGGTACGCCGATCGCGAGTCACCCGAAGGTCATGGTGTGCGAGTCGTTCGGTGGTCCGTTCGGGATTGCAACCGGCATTGCAACGAGATCCTTTCGATTATTTGTACGGGAAAAAACTAACGCTCGCCGATTTGATATTCCTGCCAGGGCTCTGTTGTTGACGGGTACGGTACGTACAACATGATAACATCGCCAAACGGCAGTTTTACTGCCGTGTCGACACCCACGGCGATTGAGGCAAGTAGTACTTGATGCCTGCTAGGGTGATTTTCTATTACAAAGGAAAAACCTGTGAATCTCGGAGGTTATTAGCTTTTTGTGTACGAAAATGCCGAGACTGAAGACTTCCCCTGTTTGCCGTTTAGGCCAATTTTCTCTGGTGCTTAGTTGCGGGCAAAGAATTTCCTGAAGTGTCTAGTCTATGCCAGTCAGCATAGGGTTTTGCCGCCGTACATGGCGGGTAACATCGTACGGCCATGCGGCGCCGCGGCGCCACCTAACTTGGGACTGGCCCTCCTTTTTCCCTGACCCCTCAACATTCCTGCGTTCCTAAACCTTTCCAGGTGTACGTCAGTCTGGGTGGTGCGGACAGATTTTGTACGGACGAGTTTACAGGTCTACCGTTGCCCTTTGCCGTATCTGGAATTTTGTACCGGCCGCCCGCATTGAAATCGGACCCATTCGCCGTCGTGTCGCCAGTGGCAAAGCTACTGCAGTACATTTCCAAAAAGGACGACAATTACGTAAAGGCCGCATACGGCTTTGTGGGATTGGACGCCAGCAATGCCCTGACTGGCAGCCTGGCGGCGATTAAGTCGGAAACGGCCTCTGTAAGGTCAGTTTGATCAAGCCCTCCATTTTCCTGCTTCTTCCTGCTTTTTACTATTTTCATCATTTATGTTCACTCATGAGGAGGAATGATTGTGGAGGAATAAAAAAATATGTCATCTCTGTGAAGCTCGCGCCATCCCATTATTCAATTAGTTAGGCCCCCGACCTTTGTTGGCCGTTCGGGTCGTTGCGTCTTTCTTAAGTATTGCATCTAAGAACCCCCGCGCAACCACTTTTTCCCCCGTGCCTTTTTTTCCGGGTCCCTGCTGGAACAGGCCCGCGGGGTACCCTCATCCTTTTTTTGAAAATCGCTCCGTGCCCACCCACATTCCCTGTGCAGGCGAACGGGCGTGCGAATGGTGTTCGCCGACGCGGCCCTCTCCTCGCTCGTCATCACCGCGGTCGCCGCACTTGCGGCCTTCCCCGCGGGCACATTGCCCTCTTGTACGACGGAAGCGGCGCTCGTTAATGCAGTGTACGGCAGCCTGGCCGCGCGCATCACCACGTCGGCGTCACACGCCATATCGCTGTACGACGCGTCGTTGCTGAGTGACGTCGTGACGGCAGCGGCGAAGGACGAATGCGGCGCATCGACGGCGACAATGTCGAACAAGTACGTGCAGGCCTTACTGACCCAAGGGTCACTACTCTACCAGATGGCTCAGACGGAGCTGTCGGCGGATGAGTCGTTGACGACGGAGCTGACGGCAATGCCGCTGGAGGCCCTGGCGGTGACGTCACGAGTATTATATGTCGTGCAGACCAAGGCGGCGGCGGCGCTGGCGGATCTGGACGTCAATGCACAGGCAGTACAAGAAGTATTGGCCGGTGAGGGTGACTGCAATGCGCATTTTGTGCATTTTTTGTACACCACTATTTGCACTGCGACATGTTTGAAAAGCTGCGCTGGGCGGCGCTTGCGAGTGTGGGCGGTGCGAGCGATGATAGCCTTGGAGACCGTGTACGATTGTGTCGCGCCATCTTGCTGTAGCTTCGCACCTGAACAAACCCCCTTAATTCGACCCAAACCTTTATGTTTGTCCCACATAATGTGTAATACAATTAAAATATAATATATAAACACACAGGGGAAAGGAAGGAGGTCGGGGTCGAAGGGGGGCCGGGAACGCGGGTAATCCTCATGCCCGGTGCCTCTGGGTGTCGCACAATATCGCACAAAACGCTCGCACGATTTCGGAAGGTCCAGAAGATCCCGGAAGCTCAAGGATCGTATTTGTACTGCAATACGACAGGCTGGGTTTCGTCACTCGCGTCGGCGCCTGTCAATCTGGCGTCTATGGCGGCCGTTCTGGGGATGCCGTCCGCGCCTTCCGCCACAAATTTGAAGATTGCTGCGAGAGCCACCGGTGGACTGGCTCAGTGTCGTGTGAGTTTGGGGTTGGTCCGGTCCGCGGCGGTGCGTGTCGCTTGTGATCCCTGTGCCAAGACTGACAGTGCTCGACGCGGCTGTCGATGCTGCCGAGCATTCATGATGGGACATAATAATAATTATTTTTACTTCCGGTTACGTTTTTAACTTTTGTGGCTGTTACTCGGCATTCCTCAACGTTCTTGCGTTGTTTTGCTGGAAAAGGTGAAGTGTCGATTGACGTTTATAATTTTTTTGTCATACGTGTACCACATGCAGGTCTCTGTGAATGATGTTTACCAGCTGGCGATCACGACAGCGACGACGGACAAGGAGGGGGGGGCTGCGGTCCAGAACGTCATGGGCCCTATGGTGAGCGCTGCCTCGCAATGTGTATTTATGTCTTGCAAGATACAATTTTTTTACGGAGGTATGGGAATCCATCGATCATTTTAAGGCAATAAAAGCGTTTGTGGCCGCTTGCAATTAAGGGGCCTAAAGATTTTAATCCCAACAAACAACCGCCAAACGGCCAACAAACAGCTGAAAAACAGAATTAACGGAATGATTAAAATATTTCCCTCGGGCCCCAAACACCCGCCGCCCAACGCCAACAGGTTACCGTTCCGCCCGGCTGCCATGATGCCGTACTCTCAACGGCCAGCCGTACAGTTACAAACGTCTTTGCCCTTTCGGCGCTTACGCCGCTCGGCGTGGCCACTTCTGTCGTGGATGCGGTTGCCGTACTTGCGTCTGCCGTATTTTTTGCCGCCGCCGAGAACTTCACCTCCGTCAAGGCCCGCCACATTGACGCGGAGGACTACGCTTCGGTGTACCACTTCTTCGGTGTGGGCAAGCCCAGCGCCAAAGACCGGCTCCCAACTGGATCAGATTTTGTACAACAAAACTGGCCGGTGACCGCGGCAGTTGGCGCCAGGACTTACATTCTCAATTTGAAACTCCAGGCGGTTCTGGGGCCGCTGAGCAAGTTTGTATCTGGTGAGTGGTTGGGGCTGGTGGATCCCTTTTTCTTATCTAGTTAGTTTTGTTGGTTGAAAACGTCTGGAGGAAGAGTGTGACGTGTCCTCCCTCTCCCACCACCACCGGCACCAGCACCAGCACCAGCACAACATGACTGTTTCAACCGAGAAAAGCTGACAGGTGGGGTTTCCGCTGCACAATGGGTCTTCATAAATTAGTAGATTAGAATGGCTTAGGTTCCAAAGGAAAAGGATAGGAAAATTTTGAAAATTTCCGCAAAAATTATTTGTTTATCTGCCATTTAACATAGCCCCACGCTGTTTGAGGGCCCTCAAACACAACGACCAACGACCTTGTTCTGTGCCCCCTTACCAATGCCCAGGTCTTTTGGGTGCGGGCTATTCCCCCGATGGTGTGGCTCAGGACCTCATCAGCCAGATGGCAAGGGACCTCTGGTCGGGCAGTCTACTGCCCGCCAACCCGGGTTACACGGGGGGCCTTATGGGGTCGTACTACAGGCGGCGAACGGGGGGTTCATCCGGAACAGCCGCGGGACGTCGACGCCGCCTGACCGCCCTCACAACGGATCAGGTGGGGATGCGAATGTGTGGTTGTATGTGCGACGTATTATATGTATATGTGTATATTTGTACATATATAATGTTTAAAAATATAATGTTTGTATTTTGTGCCAGGTTTCAATGGTGCGTGTGTCTTGAAAAGGTTGCTTGGGGCCTTTGTGTGCACTTGTAGGTCTCTATGATTGTACGTGTAATTGTACGGAGATGTGTAGTACGAACCAAGCGGAAAAGGCTCCCCTGGCGCTCTTTTTTCGTATTCCTCTTTTTGCCCATTCCGCCCTCTGTTTCAACGAAGAACACAATAATCAACCTCCTCACCGCCCTATGATAACACCATTATGCCCAACTTTCTATTCCCTTGACAAGCCCTCTATCCTTCCACTGCCCCTCTTCTATTGCCCCCTTCTATTGCAGCTATCCCAACTGTTAACGCGCGTGGCCTCTGCCTTGTCTGATAGCGTGGGGATGCTTTCCAAACTCGACGAACAAATTGTAGCTGCGGCGGAGGCGGGGACGCCGTTCGACCCCGTATCGGTGTTTTTGAGCGCTGCACAGATTGCCTCCGTACAGCAGACATCGATGACGGACGCGCTAACGCAGCTGTCCGCGGCAGCCGCCTCCGGCGACACCGACGCTTTAACATCGCTCATGTCAGCGTTTGAGAGCAACTTTACGGGGGCGAATCTACTGTCTGCAGTACAGTCGGCGGAGGTGGATACGGCGGCGTTGATGGGTATGATGACATCGGGTGGCAATGTGACGGTAACGCCGGAGTCTGGGAATGGCGACGGCGGCAGCGGCAGCGGCGGCAGCAGCGGCGGCGGCAGCGGCGGCGGCAGTGGCAGCGGCGGTGGCGGCGGCAGTAGCAGCGGCGGTAGCAGCAGCAGTAAAAAAGGAAGTGGCATGGCGCTCGGGGTGGGAGCGGCGGTGGGCGCAGTGGGTGGAGTGGCGCTCATTGCCGTTGGGGTTTTTGTGGGTTTGAGGGTGCGGAAGATGCGACAGAAGCAGCACGTCTCCCCGCGAGAAAGTCGGCGCTTCGATGCCCCGCAGCAGCAAACAACTCGGGACCCTGAGGCCGGTGACGGCGGCGGCGGCAGTCAGGGCACCAATATGCCGGTGGGGGCTGCGAGCCTGCCACCGCCACCGTCGTGGGCGGCGGCGACGGCGGCACCACCTGCGCCAGCGGCGGCAGTGCCGACGGGCCCTGCACCACTGCCGCACACGATTGCGGTAATGCCCGAGCCCGGGGGCGCCCCGCCGGGACCTGCGGCACCGGTGTCATGGCCGCCGCTAGGGCCAGAGGCGGCGCCGCCGCCACCTGCGGTAAGGGACCCACCTGTGATGGCGCCCATTGCGTAGTGCACCGCCAGAGCGCTACCGAGGGTTAACGTTGAGGGGAATTGGAAACGGATTCGGAAAAGCTAAATCGGACCTGAGACGTGCATGACATTTTGGCGCATAACTGCTAGCGATGAGGAAGGGGGTTATCTATTTCTATTCCTTCATGCTTTCAGCCTGGAGGACCTGCGTGACCAAAGCACGGCGACGATCCTCGGGATTACTACTGGCGTATGCTTCGTTGCTTGTTGATAGGCACGGTGATTATATACAATATGCGGCCACCAAATTCATCGAATAGATGAAATCTGTGGTTGGGTACATGATGCGTAGACCTTGCTGCGATTGCATGACTAACGCAGGGTGTAATTAAGGTGGGTGAACAGCTCACCATAGCGTATTCATAATTGATTGTTGGTTGCAGGCTATACATTTAAACTGATTTAGAGGTTATGTGGACTTAACGTCTAGTAACTTGGATCTAATTATGTCGTTCCTCGGGTCATCCATGCAAATGCTCGAAGGTTTTGCCTTAGTTTCTTTTTATAATCGCTGACGTCTGTCTTTGCGATCGGCACGCTTCGGGATGGACACGGTCACAACCGTTGCGCTCGCATGAATCCGCTTAATTGGCAAACTCCAACTCCAAATGAATTGTGGATGCCTACGGACGCCTTTGGTGTGACTCATGTTTGGGTGGTACTCTAGCGTACTATGTATCTACTTGTGCAGCGGCTTGACGGTTTTCCTGTTCACGGCCTTATCCATCAGGCCTATGTTGACGAAGCCGGCGAATTTCCGGGGACGGTAAGGGCTGTTTAAGTTTTGTCTTTGAATTTTTCTGAAGTTCCGTTTCAGGACTTCTGGTTCAGGGCTCGTTGGCTTGCCGTACATAAACATCGCGTCATACGTTTAGGGTTGTCGGATGCTATATAACACAGAGGTAGACAAGGCCGGTACCCGAGGGCACCAGCGACACACAGCGGATCCCATGGTCCAAGTTAAACCCGCGCGCCGTATCTGCGCTGCTGAAATGCGCGGCAAGTACGCCGCTTGAGAAAAGGCGGTGCCGTAAAGATATCCGTGCCGCTGTAAAAGGACGGTACAATAAATTTCATGTAACAAAGCGGTTGAAAATTGTGTTTCGGCATCACCGCCGTTGTCTCAGCATCTCCTAAATGTTCATTCAAGACCTTCGAACGCGTCGCTGGACGGATGGAGAACTGCGAAATGTTGGTGGAAAAAAAATAGGATATCCACACATAACAAAATCACAGGTCAGAAGACGAACAAGTCCGTATGTACTGTACCTTTCAGAACCGCCCTCATCGCATCACAACGAGGACGAGGAAACAGGAAGCCTAATCCTAATAGGGCGACACGCTCGCTCTCGTCGCACGCTCTCTGGCACGCCACCCAGCACAACTCTCCCTCTTTCCAAACATTTTCCGTCGTTTGGGGACTACTACCACCATCACCAGTACTATCAACCGCATCGCTCAATCCCCGTGCTGCTGCACCTCCTCCTCCTCTTCCATCTGACCCCCATCCTTCCCACCACCTCCACCTCCTCCTTCACCCTACGTGCCTCAGTGCCGAGTAGCCCAGCCCCATCCCTAGGAACGTCCCGATGGCGTATCCCAAAGTGGAGGTCAGGATGCCGGGGACCACGGAGGAGCTCCAACCCTTGGCAGCCGACATACCCGCCACCGTGGAGGGACCTGGAAACAGACATACGCACACACGCACATAGTTGTTGGAATTTGGGTTGCGTGATGGGAACGCGGGGTGGAAGGGGGCCAGAGGCGGGCGTGGTTGCACGCAGTAGCCAGTTCAAAGGGCGGCCAGGGTGCAGTGTAGGGTGGCAGTAGCAGGAGAAGTAATAAGACTTAGCATGGGCAGTAGCAGCAGCATGCCCCGTGGAGACGTGGGACGAGCGAACATAACACAACGAAACACACAGACGCACACATGCACAAACATACCCCGACCTCCACACACGCACCCCCCCACACACACCCCATACCCATGCGTACCCACCTCCGATGTTGGCATTCGACGCCAGCAGCAGCTCCCGCATACTGAACCCCGCCAGCCTCCCCCCCAGCAGCAGCAACCCCAGATGCGCCCCCAGGGCCAGGGCTGAGAAGAGGAACAGCACGGGGGCGGTCTGAACCACCAGAGCCACGTTGGCTGAGGCGCCGATGGTGGCGTAGAAAATCTGGAAGTACCCGACCCGTGTTTATAAGGTTGGTTTCTCTTAGGGTTTGTTTACAGGATTGGTTTTAGAGTTTTAGGAAATGGTTTTAGCTTAAGGAATAAGGCATATACGGGGTTGGGATTTGGCTTGAATGAAACGCAAGCGGTGAGAAATGTACAGATGCACGCATATGAAGGCGTACACAAACACAAACATGCATAGTAGGTAGGTCGTAGGCGGATGTAGCCCCACGACCATGAACGATTACCGACCCGCATCAGTCCGTGACGTACAGGCCGACCAGGAGTCCAGAAGTAGGTCATGGACCGGAATCGGAGTTCCCGCCGCCGTTAGTCATTAGCAGAAATCCGCGTGATGCTGGTAATGGTGGGTGCTGAACCCGCAAAAGCCACCAACTTCGTAAAAGTCGGCACACACGAGGGTTATGAGAGGGTGCAGGAGGTGCCCCGAAGCAGAGCATCAGGTAGCAGGTAGCAGGGACTGCCAGGCCGGTGGCCGCGGTTGAAGCTCTGGCCAGTTTGTTCACACAAAACCATGCAATTATACATACTTACATACTTACAAAACGGGCACGCGACAGGTAGCACACAAACACGTCTTTTCCCTCCAAAACCCTCCATTCCTGCATACACCCCTCCTCCCAAGCCACAGCCCCTCGAACACAAGCCATTCCGCACAGCACACGAAACCCAAAAACCCTAAAACCCGGACACCCCCACCCATCCCATCCCAGCCCCTAAAACCCCTCAACCCCTCACACGCCTCCGAAACCATCAACCCCACCTGCATCAGCAGCTGCGCCAGCCCCTCCGCGGAGGGCACCAGGGGCGCCAGCTGGCGGGGAGCCGCCGTCGCCAGCGCCACGGTGAGCGCGGTGATGAGGGTGATGGACTGGCCGGGAATACCCCACACGCGGGCGGCCGACACGCACACGTAACACACGGCCGCGGAGATGGAGAGGGCGGCTAAACCCTCCGGGACCTGTACGGCAACGGCAAAGAACAGGGCGGGGGTTTTATGTTGGGGGGAGGTTGTGAATCGGTTTTAGGGGTTTTAGGTGTTTGGATGGCCCGTGCGAGCATCACACATAAACACAAAATATATTAAAAAACATGTATTTATGTATGTATGTATGTTATGTATGTACATACGTACCGTGATCACTTTGCCGCTGCCAGCACCGCCATGCCCTCCGGCTGATGGCCCCGAAATCGCCCCCGTCTCCTCCGCGGGTGCTGGGCGCGGCTGCTGCTGCTCTGCCGCCGTCGTCGTCGTCGTCGTCGTCGCCGCCATCGCTCCCGCACCCGCCCCCGTCCCCGCTCCCGTCGCCGCCGCCGCCGCTGCGTCCGGCGGTATGTTCCTCGCCAGGTAGTAGATGGTGACGAAGTAGATTGTGAGGATGAGGTCGTCCGCGGCCAGTCCCGCCCCGAATGTGGACGGGGAGAGCGAAAGGGCCTCCGAAACCGCCATGTAGTTCACAGCGCCCCCGATGTGACGAGCGGTTAGGGCGGAGGCCACCTGAGGATGGGGGTGTGGGTGGGTGGGTGGGTGGGTGGGAGGGGGGGAAGAGGAACCACTTGAAGAGTGAAGCTGATGCCAAGGAGGATATAGACTGATACGCCAGAACTAAGGCAGCAATAACTAACCAGTCGCGACTTGGGAAGAAAGAATCTTCGCGGTGATGTAGTCATGGAAGATAACGGAAAAAACTACCTGTCTTGCCGTCGAGACTAAAATGAAATGAGGAAAGAAAGCAGTTAAACTCATTCGTAGTATCCTAGAAGTAAATTTAAAAGCCCTCCTCCCCTCCTCACCTTCCACCCCTCCTCCCCCCTCCTCACCTTCCACCCCTCCTCCCCCCTCCTCACCTTCCACCCCTCCTTCCCCCTCCTCACCTTCCACCCCTCCTCCCCT